AGAGTTGTTCAGGAAATCATAAGCTGGCAACAAGAACAGGGAGATGGACTGGAATACACCCGAATGACCAGATTTGTACCGTCTTTGAGTGACATTTTAGAAGTTGGGAAGTACGGTATAAACAAAAGATATAGATTACATTGTTATCCATAAAGATTGTCAATACAGATTTGTACAGTTTTCATGAAAATCTACAATGTGTCTTTTGTTGAAAATTTTCTTACTTATTGCCTAGTATAGAAAACAACAGAGAGGTCTCTAGCATTTATCCATCAATATAATGTGTAAAATATATACTGACGATAGTAATACCTTTAAAATGTGGCTCTGCTTATGATGTATGGGACACCAGTTAGGAATGTTTATTAACAGTTGAAGTTAATGGATAATTTAGTGACAATTGTTCACCAGTGTGGAAACTTGACTCGAATATCCGCCATTGCGAATATAGCTCAATGCGTAATAAAGTTTCACACAGCTGCATTATCTAGCCCTGTTCCGATTAAACGATTTACGATTCATTACATCCTTGCATAGTTTTACACAGGAAGATATAGATATAGGTCGAAAATATATGTGACGTCAAGTATTCCTGTGAGATAAGTTTACTCCAAGTAACAAGAATGTTAACAGTCAAAGGGAGATAACTGAACTATTGTCTTTTATCAAATCTGATACATTATTCATTGATTGTTTATGCGTCCATACGTAAATAAATATTGATGTTTGATATTGTCCATACTCTCCAGGCTTATAACATGTACTCTGGGTCAGAGCACTGAAATACTGCCAAATATCATTATGAGACATGATTATCAAGGGCGCAGTCGACAGTGAGTTTGGTTCAACTCCGCTCTTGACATTATTCCAGTTATATCTCGGCAAGCCATCATTACGTGGGAAGTACGCAAACATCTTAGACGTTTAAACCTACAGTGAAACGAACGAGCACGGGTATGGTGTTGTAACAAACGTAGACACATAACGGGGATGCGAACCACGATCGCACGTTTCTTGCGTTCCCAAGGGATGCAACTCCGCACAGCAAAGTGTGATGTCATAGATGACGGTGGCGGTGAGGTAGCCTTGTGGTTAATGCGTTCGCTCGTCACACTGAAGACCCGGGTTCGATTCCCCACAGGGATACAACGTGTGATGTCCATCTTCGGTGTCTCCAACCATGATATTGCTGGAATATTTGCTAAAAGCAACGTAAAACTAAATTCACTCACTCACTTTAGTCGGCAGCTTAGGACAGCTGGGTCCTGTGCTGTTTGTGCTTTATACAGATAGTCTTGGTAGAGTGATAGAAAATAATACAATGGGCCATCAATCTTATGCTGATGACAGTCAACTGATTAACAGCTTCAAACCCGAGAATGTTCAGGAGGCCGTACAACGTAGTACTGATCGCTCAACTGATGTCAGTTCCTGGATGTCATCAAATATGTTGAAGCTAAATGATGAGAAAACAGGTTTTGTTGATAGGCACTAAACATAATTTGCGTGACATTCCTGTCACCTCTGTTGAAGTTGGAAATGCTTCAATCCCTTTTGCTGACCATGTAAGAAACCTTGGCGTCATCTTTGATTCTCAGGAAATAGATAAACTTTGTAAAACTTGTTACTACCATCTCCGTTGTATCAGTCAAATACGGCATCTCATAAAAAGAGACTTGTGCAAATGCTTGTTCATTCTAGACTTGACTATAGTAACAGCTTACTGATTGGAATCAGTAAACGTCAGCTGTACAAACTCCAAGAACACCAAAATCATCGCACATAACGCCGGTTCTTAAGGATTTGCATTAGCTTCCCATTGAAGCGAGAATCAACTTTAAAATTCTGTGTATGGTGTACAAAATGGCACCACCATATCTTTCTAATATGCTAGTAGACTACATCCCTATAAAGACTTCGATCTCAAAATCTGAATCTTCTGATCAAACCAAAGTATAATCTTACCAGCTATGGACAGAAGTCTTTTGGCCACGCAGCTCCTCGACTATGGAACAAACCTTCCTCTGGACATCAAACTTTCATCATCATTAACTGTACTCAAATCAAAACTCAAGACGCAAGGCTATTATTCATAGACTTTATTTCACCCTACCATTCATGAACTTTAATTCATAGACATTTTCTCCTTCTATTATTCATAGGCTTTATTTCAGGCTATCATTCATAAGTTTTATTTCATACTATTATTTCACTACCTGTGTCTTTTCTCTCATTTTATGCGCTTTGAGCACGCACCTTGTGGATGGATACAGCGTTTTATAAATACTCATTATTATTATATTTTACAGAATAAAGATGAAAATGCAGCAGAGAGGGTTCTGGTGATCCTGGCACAGTCAGGCTGGTAAGGCTCATCATCAGCTCAGGGCCCTTGCCCCCTCTACACGCATCCCAGACAGAGAATGGGACTTCTCCCAGGAAACGCTGCTTGGTCGAACCCACCAAGAACTTTCCAGAGAATATGAAGGCTCCCAAACACTGCAGCCTTCTGCATTACCCAGAGTGTCAGAAGGGCTGTACTCCCGGTGGGAAACCCGGGCACTCTCCTGATCTGCGCCAAGAGATCAGGAGGTACCAAACCAAGGGTACCAAGAACAATGGGGAGCCTGACGACAGTGTACTTGGGATGCAAGCGAAACATTTCAAAGGCGAGGTCCGCATATTTATCATGCTTTTTCTGAATATTGCCAATCACATTGCTGTTAAAAAGGGACAGAAAATTCAATGATATAAATAAATTCATTACCTTTATCAAACAGGAAAAGATCAGGTTTGTTAGCTGGAATTCTTCTGAGGCTGTATATGGGCCTATTCCAGAGAAGTTTGAAAGCATTTCCATGACGCCCTGGACATGTTCAGGGTGCATACCATGGATAGACCTCAGAATCAAAGCCACAGACATGGCGGAGACGGTAGTAGAAGCAGCGAGCCATGCCATCATGTCTTTTAAGATATGCTGTTTGTGCCAAGGAAGGGCATCCACTGACAAGGTGTTGGACAGTCTCTGTAAATGCATTACACAGTCGGATTTTCATGTTTATATTTTCTTTAGGAATCACATGTAGGCGATTGCGAGTAGGAAGTGACTGGTCCTGAGCAGCAAAAAGGAAGCCCTCAGTTTCACATTTGAGACCAGCCGACTTCATCCAGGCGAAGGAGTCGGTGGGATTGCTAATTTGTTCCACACACTGCATGTACACACGATGCAATGGTTTCTCAGAAAGCTTCTCCACAAATGACCCACAAATGACTCTGTGCAGACTTAGTGAAGGACTTCACCTGGTTTACTCCCATCACTGTACCGTCCAGCAGTACATCGCCATCAACAAAATCAACCTCAAATTTCAGATTCTGTCCAACAACCTTGGCACGTTTAAAATAGCTGTGGAATTCCTTGCTTTCATCATGAGTCTTGACATGTATTACCAGAGGATCATCCGATAAATACATTTGTGCAAAAGTGCACAATAAAATTCTATCATGAAGAGCCTCCACATTAATCAAACCCCGACCTCCAGAACTGATTGGCATATACAAACGGTTAAGAGAGGAACGAGGGTGGTGGGCTCTGTTATCAGACATGATCCTTCTGGTCAGGCGGTCAAGACTCTGGATGTCTTGTTTTGTCCAAAGGAATAGGAAAGTACTGGCACAGCAAAAGAATTGGTGGCTTTGACCTTGAAGTTTGTCTTGAATTTGGGCACTCTGGAACTAGTCTCGAACTTGCATTCCTAGATAGGCGTAGGCCTGATCTTCCACAAGATGCTCAATAACTCCTCCCCCCAGTAACTTGACCGATCCACCATTAACTACCTTGCCACGTTTCAAATGGAGACTATTACATTTGTCGAGTCCAAATGTCATGCCAATATCATTAGAAAAGGACTCGACAAGGAGAACCTGTTCTTTCAAATTGGTATCTCCTTTGGCAAGGAGCTTGATGTCATCCATGTAAAGGAGATGAGTAAGCGGTGTTCGGGATCTGTGCTGAGGAGGTCCGGGATGGTAACCCTCCTCTCTATTGAGCAGAAAGCTCAAATGATTTAGGGACAAATAAAAAAGGAAAGGACTGAAGGAGTCCCCCTGGAAAATTCCCCTTCTGATTGGAATCGATTCCGAAGTCTGCACCTGCCCTTGCGAGTACATCTCAAGCTGAGTCTACCAGCAACTCATTAAAGACTTGAGTAAATCAAGTAGTCGTTCAGGGAGGTCAATACAACGTAGAGACTTCAGAATCCACTCGTGAGGGACCGAGTCGTATGCTTTCTTGTAGTCAATCCAACACATGAAGAGGTTGCGGTGATATGTTTTAGCCTCTTCCAAAATCATTTTCTGTATTATTATTATTAAACTTCGTCTGTCTGACCTGGTAAATTCGCCTCCCATACTGTGATTTTGTGTTTTTTATGTACAAATGTATTCACTTCATAAATTAATAATTAATATTACAAACAAATATGTGGGAATAATAAATATAAACATGAATGGACACGAAACACGCCTCTATTATTTTAATGTCGATTCTTAGAGGTTCCGTTAGGGCAGCTTTTGAAAAATGAGAAAGCATTACTGTCATTAGGCTGACATTCGTCAATCCATGATTATAATTACATACATCGTAAGTTCCATTGTTCATGATGTGTAAGAAAAGGATAGAAAAACCAATTATGTATTGTATCAGGGACGATATAGTTTTACTACAAGTCAGTACAAGTAGCTGGGAACAGAGCCTCATATCGGAACACTGTGAGGGAGAATAGAATACGGGGAAATGGCTCCAAGCAAAAAGGGCACATTGAGGTAAGCAAATATTGCCATTGTATACTCAGCCATTCATTTTAACATACCTATTTATTTACATTTATGGCTTCGTAACGATATTAGGGCAAATAAAATGCTGTATGATTTTTAGCAGTTTCAAACAGAAGATATGAATAAATTCTCCCTATATTGTCAATTCAGCCAATCAACGAACCCGTTACACTGGTGATCTGTCGGCTACGTGTCCGGAAGACATCTTACTTCCACGCTGGCTCTGTTTTGTCGCAGAGAAGTACATATCTGAGTGTAGACGATCTGTCGAGCAAAGGCAATTGTGAAATCTCGTTAGGAACAAGACTTCGTCATATGAATGAGGCAAAATGTTGACAAAGTTTGAAACTAAGTCAGCAAGAGTCAAAGGTAAGTTCTTGTAACGTAACCGGTCATCCGGTGTCTGTCAACTCGGACTTTTCAACATCATATTTCTGTACATTCTGGATTGCTAGTCTGAAACGTAGTCATTGCTATCTTCATGTCAATATATTGTATCATGTTTATATTCTAGGTCTCTCCTTTCATCCGAAGCGGCCATGGATTTTGGCAAGTTTGCACAATGGTGTCATCCAACTGTGGGATTACCGAATGTGTACCTTGATTGACAAGTTTGATGAACACGATGGTACGTAATCATGCTAAAAACTTAGAGTTGCCAATATGGAAATTCAATCTGGACACATTTAACATTTGTACAATGACGTATACTAAAATGGGTGTGTTGCTACTAAAATCTGCTTCATCACGGAAATACGGCGACATGATCGAAAACCGGACAATTACGCACACATCAATCAATATATCCTATTTTAAAGGCCTCACCGGGATCAAAAGCTTTGTCCATATTTCCTATGTGTGTAGGAGGCATATACACGTGCTCTCCGTGGGGTGCATTTGTTGGAGGTTTTTAATTGCCAAAGACCGAGTTGCTGTGCCGGAAGTATACCAAACTAGCTCGACTTCACTACCTCCGGCGATCTGATTGGCTAACACATTACACTGAATGAATGTGTTTCTTTAAAAATATTTGTACTCGTTTTAAAATTATTCTTACCAAGATAAAACATCAGAAAGTGACATCTTGGATGATAGACGTTTGAGTTTCCCTCTCATTTTATGCGTGCATTTGTTGTCATTTTATTAACCAATTTGATTAAGCTGTGACCTAGTTTGGTATACTTCGGCACAGCAACTTCGGTCTTTGGCAATTAAAACCTCCAACAAATGCACCCCACGGAGAGCACGTGTATATGCCTCCTACACACATAGGAAATATGGACAAAAGCTTTTGATCCCCGGTGAGGCCTTTAAAATAGGATTATATTGATGTGTGCGTAATTGTCCGGTTTTCGATCATGTCGCCGTATTTCCGTGATGAACCTTTATGTATTATATAGTAGGGGGTGTTGATACTAAACCGGGGCCTAGTTTATCGATTTTCTGACCCGCAGTGGGGGCCTGTGAACTTAAGCTGTGTATATTGAATTGTTGACACTCAAGTCTTTTCTCCTTCTTAATTTTTCATGAAGAATTGAATTGTTTCTGTTCGTCTCTTATTTCAGTAAAATTTACTAGGCTAAAAACCTCTTCCATATCAGATATATACAAGTGCACTTATTTTTACATTAATTTTGGGGGTGTCATTCACATTGTACATGCTTCTCCATAAAACTCATCATCAACCCCCCTAGCCATAAATTATGAACGGTCCCTTACCATGTGTTTTTGTGCCATTTTACCATGATTTATTATTGTAGCATTTATCATGTTTATTTCCATCATTTTAAAGTGTATCTTTTACAACGTAAATGACAATTGTTTAATAATGCTCATTATTTCAACAATGTACAGGTCCAGTCCGAGGCATCTGTTTTCACAACCAACAGCCATTGTTTGTGTCTGGTGGTGATGACTATAAGATCAAGGTAGGACAGGAATATGTCTTTGTGATAATAATTTTCATACTGAAATGTCGAGAGAATGGGATTAAGTCGTTTTGTGTTAACCATATTGGCTGGAGTCTCAAACTATCGTGGAACTCCCACCCTAGCAGCTTACAGTTGTCACATATGCTCAGTAATGATTCAAAAGTGGACGAAAGTGACAAATGGCATCGGCACAAACACACAGACTCACATGTAGATTAAAGTCATGTGACACCATGGCTACTGTAAGTTTCATCATGTTCATAAGTGTCTGTCACCAGTTCATAGCTTTGCATATGACAGATTAATTCACCTGGTTTATCAATGTGGATGTAGTTCAGTTAGTTAGTTGTCTGGCTAACTAACTGAAGTTTGTGAGTTCAAGTAAGTTGTATTCTCTCAGTGACATGTAATCTATGTAAGATCATCCTCATGAGAACAATTTCACTTAGTGATTGTTGCAGCAGCTACCATTTGTTAGTAACTGTCAATATTGTAATATCTTGTTCATCTTCCAGGTTTGGAACTACAAACAAAGGCGATGTTTGTTCACCTTGCTGGGACATCTGGACTACATTAGAACGACAGTGTTTCATCATGTAAGTTGAACGATAGCTGCCATATCTGAAGTATATGCTTCATGATCATTAATCATCCTCAAAACAAAATGCTGCATATCATATGGTGAGTTATTGTTGGTATTGATATATCTGTTGTAATATATAAATGTGAGCTGTTTTTATTTCTATTCTTTGTTTAATAAATAGAACGATTCATGGTTGTGTGTGAATTTCAGGAGTACCCATGGATCCTCAGTTCATCAGATGATCAGACAATCCGCATATGGAACTGGCAGTCCAGGAATTGTGTTTCGTAAGTTTCAAACTAATAAACATTTCAAGTTATTTGGTCTGCTGTAACCCATGCTTGTTGTAAGAGGCGATTAACAAGATCGGGTGGTCAGGCTACTTGATTTTGTAATGAATGTCATTGTATTTCTATTTCATAGTTTGATGATAATTTTGCCAGTAGCAGGATTGTCTGGTCCAAACTTGTGAGCGTGGCATTAAACCGCCAACTCATATTTTGGTCTTCAACATTTGGTTATGTTCGTGGCTTCATATATAACTCTCCCATATTTCCACCATGTGTTAAGACAGTAAGGTTGTGATACTGTATTGCTGTGTTACAGAGTACTGACAGGTCACAGTCACTATGTCATGTGTGCACAGTTCCATTGCTCTGACGATATGGTAGTGTCTGCATCCCTGGACCAGACTGTGCGAGTCTGGGACATCTCAGGTAGGTAGTAAACTCTTCTTATCAATATATTTTGAATCAGCCATTACAGAAATTGTATTGGAAGTACAAGTGTCTACATGTATTGTGTTTGAAAAGAAATTTTTAAACTTATCCTATCTCACGGTATGCACTTCTCTCTCTTGGTTCAACGCTGAGTGGAACGATGTAAACTTTTTTTCCCTTGGCCTCTCTTGTCCATCCGCCCAAGCACTCCATGCTACCCTCATTATAAGACAGCTTCCTAGTTGTCATGCAAAACATGCGGCATGCACCACTAGCTACCAACGTGACTCTCCGAATCATCATTCTCTTTCTTGTCGCACTTGAGTGTGAACTTATTTTGCTTTGCTCAACGTTTTCAACTTAGTCTACAACATGGGCAAAGCTGACCAGCCAAAAAAGACGAAAAAATGCTCCTGATGTAATAAAGTGTTCTCCGCGAGTGATCCACATGCGTCTTGTGTTGACTGTATAGGACAGAGTAAATGGGACTCTCGTTGCGATAAATGCAAGGATCTTACCTTCGAGGCGTTTGGTGACTACACTCGGGCTTGCGCGCGTCGTGTTGCTGACAGAGCTCGTTATGCTGTTTCACTTGACGGACCCAGTCCCTCCAAAGAAGGAAAGTTCGAACTACGCTCTCTGTCTCTCGTTCTCCGGACCAGTTATCTCGGCAACCTGGCTTATCTGTTTCGGACAAGAATCGGCTGATCTCTCCGCCTGACTGCGTACAGCACATGCGCAGAAGCTGTTGTCGCTCTCGTCGTTCATCCAGTAGTGAGAGGAAGCAGTCTACCTCGCCTCAACGCCTGTCAGTGGTTACTTCGCCGTCTCCTTCCCATTCAGCAAAAAGAAGTGTTTCTTGCGTCCAGCTACCTCGATCTTCTGTTTCACCAAAGCCGAGCAGATCGTCTCACAGTTCGCCAGATCACGCTTCGCCTGTCCGCTCCCCTTCACCTCGACTTTCGCCGGACTGTCCACCTTCCCCCAGAATTAGACCGGCTCTCAACAAAACAGCTTTCGCCGAACCGTTCTTCATCAAAACACCAGTCTACGCTTCAGCATTCTCCGGATTGATCGTCTGCTAAACAGAAACAACGTTCGCCGAAATGGAAGATTTCACCGAAACGGCATTCCACAAATCAACATTCATCGAAACGGCATCCCACAAATCGGCTTTCTACGAGCGCTTTTCGCCAGGTGGTAAATCTCTTGGTGATTCACTGAACTCAGTTGGCTCTCCTGGTTTTCTTCTTCGACGAGGAAACATGATTCACCAAACCGTTTGGATCAACCGCCTACCAATATTCGGATTTTATCACCGAAACGACCTGCTCGAAATCTCGTTTTGCCCACATCTATAAGATCCGTTTTACGGCAAATCCCCAGTGTTGTCTCGTACAACTTCCAACACGGAAGATTCCCAGCCTACTGGTTTGTCAGATATTACCCTACTTCTCAGAGATCATGAGATGTCTCCCAGGCACTTACAACGCATTCACCTGGTGGAACTTTACAACGCCATCGACCTGCTTCGCCAGATCGCCCTGCTTTCCCGTCATGTTTCGCTGAACTTATCCAGGTATCATCACCGAACCGTTCCGGCAGGCTGGTTCGCTGCGACATCGCCGAACTGTTATTTCAGCAAGGAATGGCTCATCTCGTTCGTCCAACCCACAACATCCCCGTACTAGTTTGGCAGACCGATCTGAACCTCATCATCGACCTGGTTCGTCAGGCCAAACCGATTTCGCTGTACCAGCACCAGATCACAGTGCCGCTCCAGATCTTACCTCGCCGATCCAGATCACCGAACCGACCCCGGTCCCCGTACCAGGTCGCTGATCCAACAGCATTCGCCGATCTGACAGCGTTCGCGATTCTCACCATGTCATGTCGTGGTGAGAAATTCAGGGTATTTGTGATATGCTGAATTTGTCACCACGACATGACATGCTTTTAGCATGACAATCTGACTTGGTTCTCCGGATTACCCTACGGCATGTGAGGTGCTAGAAGTTTTTAGTCACATGACTTATCCCACCTGGTACCCTTTTTTCAACTGGTTGAATGAAGGTAGTAGCTGTCCCTGTTTTTTCCTGAATATAAGTCTGAACTTCATATCTGCCTTATGTTTTGATTGCTTATGGGTTAGAACTACTTCACTTAGTTTTATACTAAGACATGGAGATACTACCACCTCGGTGGTTGGACGAATCTGGAGCTCGATTCTGTATCATGATGTGGAAGGGTTCGACATTTCACGTTTCCTGACCTCTACTTTTCGAAGCAATTACGTCAGTGAAGTGTGTCACTCCCGAATTTCAGTGGATTTCGTTGCGTTCCAACTCCGAAGTTGCCAGGCTCATCCTTGGACTAAGCTTATGTAAAGGAGTGAGGGTCAATTTGATGTTGACTGGAACTGAACATTAAAATTGCAAGTTTTCTGAGTTGTGCTTCTCTTTCACCTGCCCCTGGTCAGTGACTGTGGGGGTCTTCTCGAAGCTGGGGCTGGCCCGATTATTGTCTATGACTTTAATTTACAGGGGTACCTTGAAAATCGTGGCGAAGTGACATCCTTTCTTGCTGAGCTGCGTCCTTCTCCAGAGGTTGCGGCCGAACAACCGCTCGGGAGCTCCCATCTCCCTGGGAGACGTTGTGCTTAGTAAGCCAAGGAGTTCAGAGGAACTCATCACAAGCATAGGAGTTACGCTCGCCGTAACAGGCCTCCCTTGTGCATTGCTATCTAAGGTTGTTTCCAGTCTACACAGTTCTACTGATCGCACTGACAAGACACAGGGTATCTACGTCCCGCCGTCAGACCGTGGTATAAGTGCATACCGTGAGATGTGCTAAGTTTAAAAAAATTTAAAAATTTAAATACAAAATATATATTATATAATTATCCTATCGCACGCGACGGATTCCCACCCATCCTCCCTGCTATGCAGATTCTCCAAGATTGATATTCCAGTGGCTTCAAGAATGAGAATGATGATTCGGAGAGTCACGTGGGTAGCTAGTGGTGCATGCCGCATGCTTTGCATGACAACTAGGAAGCTGTCTTATATTAATGAGGGTAGCATGGAGTGCTTGGGCGGATGGACAAGAGAGGCCAAGGGAAAAAAGTTTACATCGTTCCACTCAGTGTTGAATCCAGAGAGAGAAGTGCATACCGTGAGATAGCATCAGTATAAAAATATATAATTTATATTTAAATTTTTTAATTTTTAACAATTTCATTCTGCATTAGGCAGGAATCTTTTGGGTTTTTTTGTTGTAAAAAAATGCATAGTCAATTACACTTTTTGCTGTAATTTTAACTTAACTTTCATTTGGAAAATAAGAAATTGAACTTCGTTACCTGAACAGTGGTGCATGTAGTTTAAAGAATGTCTTCTTGGTAGGGCTTCGTAAGAAGAATGTATCACCTGGACCTGGAGGTATAGAAGAGCGGATTCGCAACCCAGGTCAGACTGACTTGTTTGGAACCTCCGATGCCATCGTGAAGCATGTCCTGGAGGGCCATGACCGAGGGGTCAACTGGGCAGCCTTCCATCCAACCCTGCCCCTCATTGTGTCAGGGGCTGATGACAGGCAGATCAAGCTCTGGAGAATGAATGGTAAGATCAAGTGCATGCCCATGGTACTGGTGGTTGCAAATAATAATAATAATAATGGATAGCATTTATATAGCACTAATCTCCGAAAGGACTCTTTGTGCATTTCTGTTCAGGAACATTCAGTGATGAAGAAATACAACAGGAGGACATTCTTGTCTTGTCTGTTTGATGCACTTGTATCAGTACTGTTGTGAATATTAGTCAACATAGTCAGTCAAGCTAGTAATGGTACAGTGTTTGAAATTAAGGAATGTCCTGGGAGATTTTCTGTGGTATTTGAATTTTGGCATCCCGTAAAACTCTAAAGTTTAATAGTAAGGTGAAGACAAGAACCCCTTAACTTTCAGGATTAAGTTCAATTTCAGCTTTACATAAGATTAATAAACTGTTTCATAAGTCACTTGAATGATGAAGTACACCCTGTTTCACAGGCCATCTGTCCACTGATCATTTCATCAATAGTTACTATAATGGACATGCTCTTTGTCTAGATTCGAAGGCCTGGGAAGTGGACACTTGCCGTGGTCACTACAACAATGTGTCCTGCGTGTTGTTCCATCCCAGGCAGGAGCTGATTCTCAGCAACTCTGAGGACAAGAGTATTCGTGTGTGGGACATGAGCAAGAGGTAGGTAACCAAAGCTGACCTATGTTCTTATAAATACCATAGTTAGAGCCTTACAAGATTCAGTGAAAAGGTAAATAAAGAGGCATGTGCTGAATCTCTTCTGACATCCTCCTTTGAATGTGCAGACTGTATTGTCTGTTGTGGTATATTTGCTTGCTGTGGCTAATGGATAAATGTGTTTCTGTTGCAAGAACTGGTGTCCAGACCTTCCGGCTGGAACATGACAGATTCTGGGTCATGTCTGCACATCCCTCTCTCAACCTGTTCGCTGCAGGTCAGTTGTGTTTAGTATGTTTATCATGGTATATACTGTGGCTGGATTGCAGCATACCACATACCTTCAGCTATTTAGGTACTTACAATTTAGTGCACCAAGTCTTTCTTTAGGAGCGGTTTCTAAGTTATCAGCCATTTTTAGCACTTCCCAGGGGCCTTTGGTCATTTTCAGTTACTATAGACAGAAATGTTTGACTGTGTCCCTGGTGAATTTTTTCCGTTGTTAATGTATGTTTTTATATTGTTATGAATTGCTTTGATCGATTTTTATGATTCCATGTGTCAGTGCTTTTAAAAAAAATCTCAAATCTGCTTCACTCCTGGCCTTCCTCCCGCATGAAGCTGACACACACGGTGACAGACTGACATACATCAGTGTGATCCCCATCTCATTCTCACACTGCTATGTGTATACCTTGACTGTTGTGCAGGACATGACAGTGGGATGATCATCTACAAGCTGGAGAGAGAACGCCCAGCCTACGCTGTTCATCAGAACATCCTGTTCTATGTAAAGGAGCGATACCTCCGCAAATTGGACTTCACTACATCCAAGGATGTCCCTGTCATGCAGCTGAGAGGGTAGGTATGCTCACTCGCATAAGTGATGGAGAGATTTATCAAACGTTTGGTTTTATCAATGTAATGTCCTCGTAGAAGCATGTTATCTTAGCAGGGATGGCAATTTTCCGCTGATCCGCAGATTTCCCCCTGATTTTATTTCAAATTGATCAATTCAAACCCCCATTAACACAATAATAGGTTTTCAGCTGAAAATAGATTTTCCTGTTGCCATCCCCGCTTACGTGACTGAGCAGTTGACAACAGTCTCAGGTATCTTAAACAGAACATGCCTGCCTAGTGGTTTGTTACATGCAAGTTCATAGTTAGGTTCTAATGATTACACCAGTTAATGATCAATATGAGGCATGGATTATTGATGTGACCTGACTGTCAGTATGCAGCTCTAGGAGATCCATCCAAATTGTAGTTGAATCCCAGATCAGCTGGAGATATGAACTCACCCTGGGAAAACTGACAACGATAGTGTTGTTGTGGCTCTCTGGGGATGTATTGCGATCATGTTGTTGTGGCTAGCCTCTGGGGATGTATTGTGATCTTCATATTGATATGTATTGCCCAGCTGGATGCCTGATTGATGATGTTGGTTGCAGAGGTTCCCGAACACCCGTCTACAGCATGTCATACAACCCTGCAGAAAACGGTGTGCTGCTCTGCACAGTAAGTTGGTTTGTTTTGTTTTATGGTGCCCAGTTCCATATGTATCACAGTGGTCTGTAAATAATCAATACATGGGTAGCTCAGACTTGGAAATATTATGCATCCCAAGATTTGTTTCCCATGGCAGGGTCAGAAGTCTGTGATAAGAGTTGTAATCAATGTATGCCCAAATTATGTTTGTAGGTTGCTGTCAATCATACCTGTGTGTGTTTTTTGCCATTGTGGTTGATGTTTACCACGTGCATCACTTTAGTCATTCTTCCCACATGCTGACATGCCCTGAAATAACTGTTCACACTGAATAAGTGAGCACAGGTGCTCCTTTGTTCTTAACGATCAACTTTGACTTTCAGAGAACAAGTAATGTGGAGAACTCGACTTATGACTTGTATGCCATTCCCAAGGATTCGGACTCCCAGAATCCAGACTGTAAGTACTGAGGAAAGGACATAAGTGATAATAAATAAATAGGAACATCTCTTCAACCTAAGATCATGTTAATGAGATGGTGATGTGTCAGTTTCACAATAACTACTGTTGCTTTAGTAGGTATACACCTGTCTTTGTAGGTATACACCTGTCTTTGTAGGTATACACCTGTCTTGTAGGTATACACCTGTCTTTGTAGGTATACACCTGTCTTTGTAGGTATACACCTGTCTTTGTATGGATACACCTGTCTTTGTAGGTATACACCTGTCTTTGTAGGTATACACCTGTCTTGTAGGTATACACCTGTCTTTGTAGGTATACACCTGTCTTTGTATGGATACACCTGTCTTTGTAGGTATACACCTGTCTTTGTAGGTATACACCTGTCTTTGTAGGTATACACCTGTCTTTGTATGGATACACCTGTCTTTGTAGGTATACACCTGTCTTTGTAGGTATACACCTGTCTTTGTAGGTATACACCTGTCTTTGTAGGTATACACCTGTCTTTGTAGGTATACACCTGTCTGTGTATGGATACACCTATTGTGTAACAAAGTCACGTGCTTTGTATATCAGATGATTGCTGCAATAATCGCCAATAGAATGCATGCATATGTATACAGATAGTTTAATCAAAGATTTACCTGTTTCTCCTTCTTTCAGCCCCAGAAGGGAAGCGATCGTCTGGCCTGACAGCAGTGTGGGTCGCCAGGAACAGATTTGCTGTTTTAGACAGAACACATTCGGTGAGACCTAGCTCTGTATTGGACTGTAGTAACACCATAATGTTCAGGTTGACGTGTATAAGTAAGCAGTATTGTTATATTTTCAAATAGCCTGAACCTTGGAAACATTGGCAAATGATATTGATCTTCTTTTAATAAATGTCTCAAGAAACCACCCAAGCATCAATACAGTATTCAGTTTCACATCATATGTTACAGAGGAGCTCATTGAAGAGTATTTAAATGACTGTAAAGTGTTCCAGTGGAAGTGTTCAGGTGTGCAGCACAATTGTTCCGTATGGTTGTCCACTCTGCCTACCTGTCGGCTTTACAGGGGCAGTTAGGGATCAGAGCACTAGTGGTGACGCGCGCCAACTCACTGACGTCCACTCTCTTCTGGCTTTGGACAGCATTAGGTGCTGTGCCAGACAGATGATGGGTGTGGTCATGGGTATGCGCAGGCTTTGGCTCTCCATTGCACGTTATTCACCGGCCACGCAACAGGCGCTGCTTTCTCTGCCATTCACAATGGGGTCTTCCCTGTATCCTGGGGCATTACAAGGGAGGCCGCGGAGGCGGTGTCAACCTTCAAGGATTCTAAACCCTTGTTGGAACACCCCTCCACTTCACGCCAACGGCCTTCCCCTCTTGCTGCCGCTTATCCTTCCGCCCCGGCGAAGGAGCCTGCAAAGTGGACTGTCCCTTTACAGAGCAAGCGGAGCATGAGGCAAGGGCAGGCCTGCTCAATCGCAGCCTTTTCGAGGCAAGGGGAAGCCAGCCCCGGCTTCCAGTTGAATCTTCCCTTAGAGCTCTTACTGCCCCCCACACAAGCAAGCGGAGACTTGCCGACTGTGGGGGTGCATTGCCATTTGCCAAACGTCCCTGTAGGCGGCCGGCTGTCACTATTCCTCCTGGAGTGGGAAGCAGCCACTTCAAATCCCTGGGTCCTGTCCACACTCAGGGATGGCCATTTGCCACAGTGGAGGTGAGATCCACCGTCCTTCTCAGGGGTTCAGCACACACCAGTGCCAGCCTCCAGAGAGAAGGCGGACGTACTCCGTGCCGAGGTTCAGTCGTTACTGGACATGGCAGCCATCAAGGTGGTTCCTGAAGGTCAGCAAGGAGAGGGGTTTTATTCCACTTACATTCTGAATCTCAGAGGGTTGAACAAGTTAATAGAGGTGCCGTCTTTCAGGATGGAGACACACAGGTCAGTGATCTCATCCGTCGAGACAGGGGATTGGCTATCGTCAATCGATCTCAAAGACACATACCTCCATGTTCCAATGCACCCTGAGTTCAAGAAGTACCCTAGGTTCTCCTTCGATGGGAAGTGCTACCAGTTTTGTGTGCTCCCCTTCAGCATCTCCATGGTGCCAAGTGTGTTCACCAAACTTATTCCAGCTCAGTTAGCCAGGTCACAGGGCAGTTGTTGTTACCCGTACCTGGACTGGCTTCTCAGGGCATTAGGCCAACAGTTGAGCAGAGATTCCACACTGCGTGTGATGGATATTCTCGTGAAACTGGGCTGGATTATCAACCTCAAGAAATCAGAACTCGTTCTGATGCAGGATCTGGTGTTCTTGGGGGCAAAGTTCAACACGGAGCGTGGGATTGTCTCCCTAGCTCCGGACTGTATCGTCAAACTCCAGAGAACTGTTCTACATTCTTCTTCATAGAAATCGTCCTTGGGGTACATATTATGCATTTTCCAAGCTGAAAATGTCCTGTGACAGTTGTATCAATGTTTTTTGAATAAAAAGATTGTACAATAAATAAACTCTTTTATTTACTATACGGCCCCTACCTCACGGAGTTACCTCCCGTTGAGCATGCGCACCAACTGGGTAAGCTCCTAGACCCGTATCATCATTCCTTCTGCTGTCACTGCGTGAACAGGCGTCCATGAGCATTACAGCTGAACTTTCTGAATAAAGAAAACTATGTCTGATACTACACCACCTGTATGTATGGTCTTTATTTGCCTATGAAAGGAACAGTAAAGCTTTACAGTTGGTTGTTTCATAATTGTGACTTTGTATTAATTTTATCAGCTAACTTTTCCGTGGTTTTACGCCGCGTGTTGCTCTGCCATGGCGGGAAGTTTAGCGTGCCATAATGGTCGTATTATTGCGTATTGAACCAACTCTTACTTCCGTGGTAGCCTTCCGCGTATTTTTCAATGTTTTCACGTATATATATGTTGCTGGTCGCCGTTAGCTACATGCTTGCGTGTTTGCTTTCAGGCCTTTTCGTCCTGTTAGGTCTGTGGACAGAGCATTCCACGGGCCGATAGACATGACCAATGTGTAGCCTGTCTGGAAAAGACCGGCCATGGCCTTGACGATGTGTCCAATATGTCTTGGGTTTTCCCCGTGCCCAAAAAGAGGAGGCTGGCTGACGCGCTCTTTACAAAGAGATGCGAGGCGGGTGGGGAACTGACCCAGGTCCCCGTCTAAAGGCAAAAGCGGTCGGCGTAAGGAAAAAATCCCAAAGCCAAGCCCCTCTCCTGCTTCTACTGGTGGGTTTGACATGTCTTTAATGGATAAATTGTTTCAGCAACATATGGACTCCGTGAAGTCCCGTCCATGTGAGTCTGTTGGAGGGCTCCGGCAGGAAGTTCCTTGCTAACTCGGACGAGGCGGAGAGTCAGGGGTGGGATCGCGGGCTCGGCTCGATCCCTCAGCCTTGAAGGCGTCTGTAGACCCGTTGCCTCTGGCCGGGTCCAGGCGCCTCGGCTGCCCTGGAGGGGAGGTGCTCCCAGTCCCCTCTCGGAGTTGGCGCGGGGACCGTTGAGTATTCCTGGGATTCTGATCCCTGCGGCAGCTCCGCCCATGAGGCCGGAGGCACCAGTTCTGCCTGGTCTGCCTCCAGCGTCACCGGGACCCGAAGTCGTGATGCAGCTTGGAGGCGCTGGCGTGGAGCACTCTGTCTGCTCTTCCCTCTCTGTGGTTCCTAGTGCTAGGCCGCCCACCGGGTCAGGGTTAGGGTCCTCTTTCAGAGGAGACCCAGCCTCAGACTCGGGCTCGGGCGCCGAGTCGATGGAGCTTGGGGAGGTAGAGGAGCATGGCCGGTGCTTTCCGTTTTACTTCAGCTCAGCGGGAGAGTCCGGCAAAGAATTGCGAGGGCCTACCCAAGCGCGGTGCCTGTTGGCTGCTCGAACTTCGGCTGAGTTCCGCTTGCCCAGCGGCGTTTGCCCCTCGGCAGCCCTCGCAGACGCAGCCAGCATTCTGCCGCCGTTGGTCCAGGGCGTGGTTGATCCCCTCTTGTCTGGTTCCCGTGTCGGTTCGACTTGCGGATCTAGAATGCGGAGATACCAACTTGGGGAGGACTCCCTGTTCGTGGTTCCCATCGTTGGCGAGTCGCGTACACTTCCGATCGCCCTGGGGAGGCTCGGCTTGCTCGGAGCAGCTCCGGCTGCTTTCGGCAAAGAAGCGCCTCACTCCACCGTTTGCCCTGGCGGCGCCCCTGCGGCACTGCGTACCCGGACCCTACGAGGAGGTCTACCGGAACAGCGATGCAGCAGGTCAGGGTGGTGAGTCCATGAGGCCTACCTCTCCCTCGATTCAGAGGTCGGCCCTGGAAGCGGAGGGCATGCTGGCGGCGTTTCGCCCATATGTCGTGCTGCTCCGTCAGCTCACCGGAAAGTACAGGCACACCAGGTAGCGACTCTTTGCAGCGGCGGCGCAGCAGACCTTGCTGGCCCTCCCTTTCCGTCTGGGGGCGACCCTCTTTCCAGGGGCACAGCAGGTCATTCGGGAGGCTGCGCTGCAGCTACCTCCTTCAAGGACTCTAAGGCCTTGTTGGAGCACCAGCGTGTCTGCGCCCGCTCCCGTTCCACCTTCCTCCGCCCGGGTGCAGCCTACACCCGAGTCTGCCGGCTGGCTCCGGCCGCTTGGTAGGGGTAGGCGGAGGAGCAGGTCCGCCAAGGGTAGGGGCAAGGAGCAGTCCTCGACTAGCTCCCAGCCTTTTGTCTGCCCCGACCTCCCGTTAACCCATCAGGCTGTCGCTCAAGCCGTGTGTCACGCCCAGTCAGCTCCGCTGCTCGGGACAACGCACGCGCTCCTACCCGATATCCCAGTAGGAGGCCGCCTCTCTCTATTCCTGCCGGAATGGGAGAAGGCTACCAACAATGCTTGGGTGCTGGCCACCGTCAGCATCGGCCATTTACCACTGTGGAAGCGAGGTCCGCCCGACTCCACCGGCATACGCCGCACTCCGGTGCCGTCATGTCAGGCAGAGGCGGACATATTAGCTGACGAAGTTCAGGCTCTGCTGGACAAGTCCGCCAATCGGCGCATTCCACCGGAGAGGAACAGGCGGGATTTTTACTCCCGCGTGCTTCCTGCGTCCCAAAGAAAGACGGCGGGTTCCGTCCCATTCTCAACCTCAAGGGGTTGAACCGCATGCTAGAAGTACCATCCTTCAAGATGGAGATCTCATCTGTTCAGCCCGGCGATTGGCTCACGTCAATCGACCTAAAGGATGCGTATCTGCATGTGCCCATACATCCATCGTTCAAGCAGTACCTTCCGGTTCTCTTACGGACGGGATGTGTTACCAATTCAGGGTGCTCCCCGGCATATCGACTGCCCCAAGGGTGTTCACCAAGCTCATGTTAGTCCCAGCTACCCTCCCTTGCGCTTTCGTTAGCGAGGAAGGCGTTATTACCCTTACCTCGGCGACTGGTTGCTCGGGCACTAACACAGCCAGCGAGTCTAGATGCTACTCACACAGTGATAGACATTCTATGCTTCGACTGGGGTGGATAATCAACCTCAAGAAATCCGACCTGGTACCCACCCAGGACTTGGTTTTCTTGGTAGCGATTCCAAACAAACAAGGATCTCGTTTCCTTATTAAGCCCGACGGATCACCAGAGTTAGGAGATGGTATCTTCGTTCCTCTCCCAGCCCCAGGCACCAGCACGGTCTTGGCTCCGTCTATCTACTGGGCCATATGGTGGCGACGATCTCTGCAATCGAGTGGTGGCGCGGTTGAGGGATCGCCCTATACAGCAAAGCTTTGGCTGCGGCTGTGGGCTCACCGCAGGAGGATCTGGGCGCAGTCTCACAGTCCCCAGTGGTTGACACCTCACCTTCAGTGGTGGACAAATGTCGGGGAATCTCACCAAAGGGGATCCGCTTGGAAATCCGACGCCAGCTCTCACAGTTCAGACCGATCGCGTCCCTCACGGGCTGGGGGTGTGTTCTGGAGCAGTCTGTCAGCGTCCGGACTCTGGTCGAAGGCGAAACCCACCTTCACATCAGCGTGTTGGAACTGAGAGCTGTCGCGGTTGGTTTTGGCGCTTCAGAGAGCATGTCGTTGCTAGGCCAGGTAGTCCGTTGCTTATTGTCTGATAATGTATTTTGTTTTCGGTGTTCAACATGGGCATTTGTATTCTTCTTCATAGAGATAGATCCTTAGGGGTACATATTATGCATTTTCAAGCTGAAGAAATGTCCTGTGACAGTTGTATCAATGTTTTTGAATAAAAGATTGAACAATAAATAAACTCTTTTATTTATTATACGACCCCTACCTCTGCGGAGTTACCTCCCCTTGCGCTCTCGCACCAACTGGGTGGCTCCTAGGCCCGTATCATCATTCCTTCTGCTGTCACTGCCATGAACAGGCAGGTATGTGTTTAATACTTCATGAGGCGGTTATTAGCTGAACTTTCTATTGAACCAGAAATTGAATATGTCTCAAACACCACCTGTATGTAGCATGGTCTTTATTTGCTTATGAAAAGGAACGAGTAAAAGCTTTACAGTTGGATTTGTTTCATAATTGTGACTTTGTATTAATTCTAATACTTGAACTTTCCGGTTTGCCATACGTGTTGCTCTACCATGGCGGGAAGTTTAGCGTGCCAATGGTCTAAATAAATATGTGCGTATTAAAGCCAACTATTACTTTCCATTGGTAACCTTCCGCATTATTTTTCAATGTTTTTACGTGTTTATATGCTGCTTTGTGGCCGTTAGCTACATAGCTTAGCGTGTTTGCTTTCAGGCCTTTTCATCCTGTTCGGTCTGTGGACAAAAGTATTCCGCGGGCGGTGCGACAGGCATGAACAATCGTTGCCACAATGTCTTGAGAAGACGGGTCCGCGATCACGGAATCTTGTCCCATATGTCTTTAGGTTTTCCCGGGCCCAAAAGGGAGGCGGATCATCGCTCTTCTACCGGGGAGATCGTGTGGTGGTGGGGAACTGGCCTTGGGTCCCCCGTCTAAGGCTAAAAAGCCCGTCAAAAAGGGGAAAAATCCGTGGCCAAACCCCTCTCTCCGCCAGTACTGGTGGCACGACATGTATAATGGAAACCTTGTTTCCAGCAGCATATGGACTCTGTAGAAGTCCCTCGTTAAAGTGAGTCAGTTGGAGGTCTCCGGCAGGAGTTCCTACGCTCACTTTCTCCAGGGGGAAGCGGAGAGATCAGGGGTGGGATGGCGGGCTCCGGCTCGATCCCTCAGCCTTGGCGTCTGTTGACCCGTTGCCTCTGGCCTGGTCCGGGCCTTCGGCTTGCGGAGGAGGGGAGGTGCTCCCAGTCCCCTCACCGAGTTAGGCGCGGGGACGTTGAGTATTCCCTGGTGTTCGGTCCCTCACGCACTCCCGCCCATGAGAGCGCGGAGGCACCAGTTCTGCCTGGCCTGCCTCCAGCGTCGGGGACGAGGACCAGGGTCATGCTACTGGCGCTGCTGGCGTGGAGCAGTCTGTCTGCTCTTCCCTTTCTGTGCCTTCCTAGCGTTGGCAGCCCACGAGGTGAGGTTAGGAGTCCCTCTTTCTGGAGGAGGCCAGCCTCTGACCTTCGGGCTCGAGCGCCAGGCAATGGAGCTTAAGGGGAGGTTGAGGAGCATGGCGGGGCTTCCGTTTGCCCGGCTCTGCGGGAGGTCGGCGAAAGAATTGCCGAGGCCTGCAAGCATTGTGCCTGTGGGATTTGCGTGGACTCGGCTGGAGTTCCAGCTTGCCTGTAGCAGGCGTTTGCCCCTCGAGCAGCCCTGCTTGGGCCTTGGCTCCAGCATTTTGCCTTGGTTGGTCTCCCGGGCGTGGTTGATCCCCTCTTGTCTGGTGCACCCGAGGAGTCCGGTTTGACTTGCGGATCGTCGTGCAGCGCTACCAGCAATGGAGGGACTCCTGACCTGCTTAGATTCCCATCGATTGGTGAGTGCGTGTTCACTTCCATTAGCCACTGGGGAGGGCTCGGCTTCCTCCGAGGGCAGCTCGGCTGCTTTCGGCAAGCGCCCTCACTCCCTGCAACCTTTGCCCTGGCGAGGCGCAGCCCCTGCGGCTTGCGGTACCCGGACCCTACGAGGGAGGTCTGCGGAGCGATACAGCAGGTGCGGGTGAGAAGTCCCGAGGCCTACCCTCTCTCCGTTAAGAGGGTCGGCCCTGGTGAGGAGGGGCATTGCTGGCGGCGTTGCGCGCATGTCGTGCTGCTCCGTCAGCTCTCGAGGAAGTTCAGGCACACCTCGTAGCGACTCTTCTGATCTGGCGTGGCTTGGTGATATGCGCAGTCATGGGGATCATGGCTGTGGCTGTCGGCGTCTAGGTACTTCGGCAGCCCGGCATAGCAGACCTTGCTGGCCCACTACTCCGTGGGAATGACCCTCTTTCCAGGGGGAGCCCAACAGGTCATCTGGGAGGCTGCTGCTGCAGCTGCCTCCTTCAAGGATTCCTAAGGCCTTGTTGGAGCACCGGGTGTCACCGCCCAGCTCGGTTCCACCTTCCTCGCCCGAGCTGGCTAAGATCTGCCGGCTGGCTTGACGCTTGGTAGGGGGAGTGGCCGGAGGCACAGGTCCATGAGGTAGGGGCAAGGAGCAGTCTCGACCCCAAGCTCCCAGCCTTTTCCCTTGGTAGCGGGAGGGTCTGCCCGACCTCCGATTAACCCATCAGGCTGCAGCTCCAAGCCGTGTGTCACCCAGTCAGCTCGCTACTAGGGTCCACCTCACAGCTCTACCCCATATCCCAGTGGGAGGCATACTCTCTCTATTCCTCACTCTATGGCTCCGTCAATGGGCCTAAAGGATCTTTTTTGTATCTGCATGTACCAATACATCCATCGTTTAACCGAGTACCTTGGTTCTCTTCTGACAGGATGTGTTACCAATTCAAGTGCTCCCCTTGACATATCGAGCTGCCCCAAGAGTGTTCACAAGCTCAAGTTAGTCCCAGCTACCCTAGCTGGATTACTTAAGGGAAGGCGTTGTTACCCTTACCTAGGCGACTGGTTTGCTTTCGGAGCACTAACTCAGCCAGCCAGTCAAGATGCTACTCACACGGTGATAGACATTCTAACTTCGACTGGGGTGGATCATCAACCTCAAGAAATCCGACCTGGTGCCCACCCAGGACTTGGTTTTCTTGGGCCCTTGATTCAAGCGAACAAGGATCTACCGTTTCCTTGTCGCCCGACGGATCACCAGAGTTAGGAGATGGTATCTTCTTTCCTCTCCCAGCCCCAGGCACCAGCCGCGGACTTGGCTCCGTCTACTGGAGCCATATAAGCGGCGATCTCTATAGTGTGGTGAGGCCTTGAGTTGGTCGTCTATACAGCAAGCTGGCTCGTCTGTGGACTCACCACGGAGGGATCTGGGCGCCCAGTCTCACAGTCCCAGTGGTTGACACCTCACCTTCAGTGGTGGACAAATGTCGGGAATCTCTGGGGATCCCCTTGGAAATCAGCGCCAGCTCTCACAGTTCAGACCCGATCACGTCCCTCACGGGCTGGGGGTCTGGGCAGTCTATGCGGCATCCAGGACTCTGGTCCGAAGCCGAAGCCCACCTTCCACATCAGCGATGTTGGAACTGAGAGCTATGCGGTTGGTATTGGCCTTCAGAGAGCATGGAGTCCATACTTGAGGCAGCCAGTGGTTGATTCCTCACTTGCGGTGGTGGACGGAAGTCGGGAACTTGTCCAGGGTGATCCCTCTAGACACCCCGACACCATCCCTCTCAATTCAGACGGACGCCTCCCTCACTGGACGTAGTTTTTTGTTTTGTAAATATGTTATTCAAATATTGTTACAACTGTCATAGGGATTTTAAATGGACATTTAAATGCTTATTAGTACCCCAAGGAGGAATATATTCAAAGAATCTGCAACCTCCACAGGTTTGTTCGAGTTTGTATTATGGTCTTCCAACCAACAAAAGTAAGTAGTTGATGTGGGTATGTCGTTGTTGCAGATCATCATCAAGAACCTGAAGAACGAGATCACCAAGAAGGTCCAGGCCCCCAACTGTGAGGACATCTTCTATGCTGGCACTGGATGTCTGCTGCTAAAGGACAATGACTCCGTCACCCTGTTCGATGTGCAGCAGAAGAGGTGGGTTGAAGTAGTCTGGATACAATGGAAGAATCACTTCAGTTTTACCATCAAAACATTTGTTATTGCAAAATCAGCAGAAATCCCCCAGCAGACTTTTTAATCAATTATGATGTTATATAGTATCATGTGCTATAATTGGATTATGATCAATTAATAACCAATGTCAGGGCTCTGATTATCTACCTGAAAATTTAGAGCAATAACTAGGATATTGGACCAGTAGTGTATCTTGTATTCCTTTCATTGTCTCATGTGAAAGGAGAACATGGTACTTTGCTGACACTGTCTGACTCAGTAACTGTTGCCATAATATGTCTGTAATGTTGCACTCTGTGACTTGGTCAACTATTAAATACAAATGCCCTTATGAGATTGATGTGTCTGAGTTCATGTGTGCTGTGTTGGCAGAACCCTGGCCACCCAGAAGATCTCCAAGGTGAAGTATGTGGTGTGGGCCAACGACATGTCCTCAGTGGCCCTGTTCAGCAAGCATGGTAGGTTGTGGTCCCTACATAGTTGTTCCAGTGTTAACACATACAGGGAGTAGCTAGAGGCACGTTGTGGCATGTTCATGGATGGCAACATGTGTAATGTTTGTACTGTTGCAATGCTGCTTCAGTCACATGACGAAAGGGCAAGAAGTGACCCTGAGACGTTGTTACAAAGAAAGTTGGTGCTATTCATTATTGTTTCATGTTTGTCTTCAAATTCCTCCGACTTCTAAATTCCTATAAAAAAACTGGTTGTAGTAGGTGCTGACTTCTCTGGTGGCTACATTGATCGGGTGGTCAACCCTGGTCAGTTGGTTTATTCCATGGCATTGTACCTCACTTTTTGAATCACTGGATTGTCTGGTCCACAGTCCATTTATAATGTGTCACCGCCTTCTCCATTCTAAACAGGTCACTGCCTTATAGCTGGAATATTTATATGTACTTCATGGAACAAAAATCTTGATGTCATACGAAGATAGATTTTAATAGCGGCATAGACATTCTTGATTGGAGGGGGCTATGTAAACAAAGGTGCAACAAATTGCAGTGCGGTTACCTTCCTTGGTGTTAAGAGTCTATTGTGTCTTTGGAAGAAGTACATACTTTATCATGACTGCACTGTTGATTGGACTTATCCAACCATGTGTCTCTCAAGGAAGACACTAGACATCTTACTTCCTGTGTCTAAAGAGGCACTCTGCCTAAGTAAAGCTGATATGCCTGAAATACTTGGCGCCAGGTGAACTTGAACACAGTGCTGTGCAGAAAGTGAACTGTTGTATGAATTATAGAAATAACATAGTGAATGTTGTTGTGTCCATTGCAGTGATCTCCATCTGCAACCGGAAGCTGGAGAACCTGTGTACGATACATGAGAACATCCGCGTCAAGAGTGGAGCCTGGGACGAGAGTGGCGTCTTTGTCTACACCACCAGCAACCACATCAAATATGCACTTACAAATGGGTAGGTCCAGTATGATGTTGAAGTTAAAAGACATCTACTTCATAAGCATGTGTTCAAACAGAACATGTTGACATATGTCTATTTGTTATTTCCTCGCATGGGGGTACAGTTAAGAAATACACTTCGCTCTACCACCATGTATAGTGTAATAAAACACACTTTTGCCCTGAACTATTATAGTTAAAGCACGAGGACGCTTGCGTCCGAAAGTGCTTTAACGATATAATAGTTCAGGGCTTAAAGTGTGTTTTATTACACTATACATGGAGGTAGGGCTAAGTGTATTTCTTTCTAAGATGCCAAATTTAATACTTTCTAAAGATAATTACGATTAATTTAAGGCAGAAAACAAACGACGGTGTCGGTGACCTAAATTAAGAATCCCGCGCACAGGGCTAACTGGCTGTTCTATTGATGTGTCTGCCCCCTCGTTAAGACCTAACGTTACCAGAAAAAAACAAATGATAACAGTTTGATGGACGGTTTACGTTCGATTAAATATCTTCTCTGAATTATTTTAATTACATCTGTCATTAACGTAAACCATATGGGGCAATATGAATGTTGCATTTCTACTACCAGCATAAGTTTAGATCAGTACATCCAGAGGAAGTTGAGTAGTCAAGCAACATTCCACAATTGCATTGTGGGAATGTAAACATTACTTAACGCTACCGTGTCGCTGAAAACTTGTGAGTCGAAATGACACATTTTAACCGTCGTAAAACATAAACGTAATGTTTCCACCAGTGATGTTAGCTGCGTGAAGCAACAGCAAACCAAGAAACTGGATGCAACAGTGTAGTTTACTGTAGGAGGCCGTACTAGGCGATGACAACTGACATGCATCGTGACGTCGCTTACATTGTGACGTAATGTAAAATGGTTCGATAACGAGGGGGCACACTAGAATGGCGCAGTGACGGGATAACGTCATTCAATTGTTACGTCATCAAAAAACTATACCTTTATTGTCTGATAATGTATTTTTTTTTCGATTGTTCTAACCGCTAGGCATCTTAGAATTTAAGTTAAAGGCTGTGTTCAGACCACCTTTTATTGACCTGCTCTCACTACAGGGACCATGGCATCATCCGTACCCTGGACCTGCCGATATACATCACCCGCATCAAGGGCAACAACGTCTACTGTCTCGACAGAGAATGTCGACCACGTGTGCTGCAAATCGACCCCACAGAGTTCAAGTTCAAACTGGCTCTCGTGAACAGAAAATATGAAGAGGTCAGTTTTATGAATTTCATTTTTACCTATAAATTGACAGAAACTCATACATTGTCATGATCAATGGGAGACTTACGTTAATAGTTTGGTAATGAAGTTGTCATGTTGTTATGTTTTGTTTGTTGTTAAGGATGAAGTGGTGTCCCTTCATTCATTTCCCTCTGTATAGTTTAGTTAGGATCAGGGTTTTACTCTGTTTTTGTTGTCATTCAGGTGCTACACATGGTCCGCAATGCCAAGCTGGTGGGTCAGTCTATCATCTCCTACCTCCAGAAGAAGGGCTACCCTGAGGTTGCTCTCCACTTCGTCAAGGATGAGAAAACCCGTTTTGGCCTGGCCCTGGAGTGTGGCAACATTGAAGTGAGTGTCATTCATTTACACTGTGATATGACCAGGTCTTCACACAAATTGTTTGAAAAAAGTCTTCCTGAAAGTTCTCTCAGCTGGCCCTCCATTCAGTTTGTGACAGGAGCATGCTGCTTAGGATTTGAGATTCTGCAAGTTGCTGTACCATTGACTACACCGAGATCACTTAACAGAACCCACGAATCCGTTGGTATATGACCAGAGATGGTGGCCACATGAATACATGCAAACACCTAGTTGTGGGTACAACAACGTACAGTAATCTTGGACAAAGTACTGTGACTATGTGTCCCAGTCCACCCAGCTGTGAATGGGTACCTCGTAAGGATGGGAAAGCCACACTAACTCGGTGCGCCTAGTGGATGCAAGAGTTGTATGCTCCCCAGGGAGTTGAGATTGATAATACGACGTGCCGTTGAGATTGACATCCAGTGAACGAGGGGAAAACAAAGCACCTTTGAGCAGCTGAGCAGGATATCGGCTATGGATGGATGGATGGATGGATGCATGATGGTTATGGTTAGGTATTACTATAACATGAGTTGTCTGCTTGGAGTCAGTGTATTGTGTTTGGTTAGGGTATCCATGTTAAGCTACGGCATAGTATTTCAGAGAGACAGCACTTATAAGACCGCCATTAGTCTGGACTAATTCAAGTAGCCATACACGCATCACATGTGCTTACACTGTGCTGTATAAGTGAAACAATCATGGAACACAACAACACGATTCACCTAACCTCACTGACTATTGGCAGATCGCTCTGGAGGCGGCACGTGCACTTGACGACCCCAGCTGCTGGGAGAAGCTGGGCGAGGCAGAGCTGTTACAGGGGAACCATCAGGTGGTGGAGATGGCGTACCAGAGAACCAAGAACTTTGACAAGCTCTCCTTTCTGTACCTCATCACTGGCAACCTAGACAAGCTGCGCAAGATGATGAAGATTGGTAAGCAGAGGACAAATAAGGAAATATGTTATCAGTTATCTGTTAGATGTAATTGTTTGCATGTTGCCCCAAACCTCATTCAGCAGTATTCCAGCTATATGATGGGTGACTGTTGATATAGAGTGTTGAAGTGATTGACATCACAAACATCGATGTATGTGCTTGGAAATGAAGACCTGCAACAACTGTACCAGCAAGTCTGAATACCTGGTCCTTTCAGTCCCCTCTTGGGACAAGTATGTGTGGCTGACAACCGATTCTACCCTGGACCTTCACGGGGCTGAGAAATCTGCTCACTGAACCTCAGCTGTTCAAAGTCAGAAAAGCAATCCAATACAGGATTATAATTCAGATTTTCTTCACAGACATGCAAGACAAGAATTAAGGATGAAAGTTGCAAAAAATTCTCTGTCGCATGTATGCAAGGATTGCTGTAATTGTGTAATCATCCTTCTTCCTTTTTCAGCTGAGATTCGCAAGGACACAAGTGGACACTTCCAGACCGCCCTGCTTCTTGGAGACGTGAACGAGAGGGTCCGGATCCTCAAAGGTGTTGGACAGAGTGAGTGTTCAAGGTCCCTGTTAGCCAAAGTGGAGAAATTAACCTTGCCTCATGTAATGCACAGTGATCATTACACCTGCATATCTGCTCCACAATACTTCCACAGGGGTTTTACCTTGGCCTACAAAACTAGAGATTCAGACAGTGCCCATTTATTAATTTCAAGAGTCCTGATGAGAAATTTGATTGTCCTGTAAAGTAGTGAAATGGTGAAGTGTATTGAGCTGTAAGACAAAATAATTTTGAAATTTGAAATATCTATTCAAGAATTTAGTGGGATGAATATCATCATGCGTCCTTCATATTTATTTTTCTGTGTCTTCTATACATTTGTGCATACTGGGCATATTTCTGTGTCATGTAAAACTCGAGCAAATGTTTCAGTAATTCCTAGCAATCCATGTGGGTGATGCAAGCAACAAGGGGAAAAAATGTACCTAAATATGTGCTGTACTAGGCATACCCCATCAATATTTGGTTATCTGTGCCTGTATTGTGTGTTGAATGGATTGGTGTGGTTACTGTCTATCCCTGTCCAAGTCCAAGTCTTGTTACAGAGTCGCTAGCATACCTGACTGCCGAGACCCACGGTATGTCGGAGGAGGCGGAGCTCATCAAGGAGAGTTTTGGTGAGAACGACCGTGTCCCTGACCTGTACCCCAGTGCCCGCCTTCTCCAGCCACCACCTCCCATCATGCAACAGGAGAGCAACTGGCCACTACTGACCGTGTCCAAAGGATTCTTTGAGGGAGCAATGGCTGCCAGAGGTATTTTCTCGAACATTCTTCATCAAGTCTGAAGCTATGTTATATCTGTATTGAGACAATGCATGGTTACAGGGGCATCCATCACTTTAGATCTTACAGTTTATATGGTAAAATAAATAGTTGGCATAGCACGTATCAGAATATATGGTGTTAATACAGAGTGTTAATGTTATTGTCTTACATCCATGTTAATGTCTATTACTGACACGGAGCAGTTAGTGTGTCAAGTCTATAGAACGGTTGCATGGCCTAGTGGTAAAGACATTTGTTCAAGTTTCTGGTTCAATTCATGACATAAATGCAATAACACAGACAGGAAGTATTTTTGAAATCTGCATAAAACCTGACTAAGTCAGTGTTGTCCATGATCCAGGCAAGCCGTCTGGTCTGGCTGCAGCAGCAGCTGACATCGAGGACGGTGCCGGGGAAGGATGGGGAGAAGATGCAGAGCTGGTTCTGGATGAAGGTATGTCACCATGAAACTGAACCACTTGTACAGTAAAACACCTTTCAGTTGATAGGGATACAGTTGACAAGTTGTGTGGCAGTCTCTGATGCTGAGACTCATGGGTAGATTCTTCACTAATAAACTAAGTAGTCTGATGATGGATACAACGACTTGATCAGCATATTTTTGGTAAATAAAAGGGGGTTCCATTGAGACCATATTGTTACATTGTCTTCATCAATTAACCAGGTTTCACAATGACCAAGTGTTTGATGGTGTTTGTATGATTCTATTTACCATCACACATGTATTTCCTGTTAGCCGCAGCCCAGACCCGCAGCTTGGTAACAGTTGATGTGACATGTTTTCAGAGGGAGGATTCGGAGCTGGTGGAGGGTTTGATGACGAGGAACTTGTTGGTGGTGAAGGTGAAGGCGGTGGCTGGGACGTGGGTGACGACGATCTTGAACTTCCACCTGATCTGGTGAGTTCATGTCTGTGCAGCTGCTCAGTAGATACAAGAGTTGCCTCCCTTAGCAGTGAAGCTGACCTCGTCCTTTTGATCCAGCTGTCAGATTTGTAAATAGTGAGGCTATTTTTATAAATGGATTATTACTAAGTGGGACATGTAGACCCAGTGACTGAAATCCTGGCACCATTATGCTTGTTTCATGTGAACTGTGTATTTCAGGATGTTGGCCCAACACCGACTGGAGAGGAAGGCTACTTTGTTCCTCCTACCAAGGGCACCAGTCAGACACAGGTAAAGAGTCCGTGGCTGATTAGCCTTACACTGTCTGCTATGAACAAGTCTGTATTGATGGATATGAAATCTATAGTGTTATGTCTGTCCTGTCAAGACTTGTATCATTTGAAGTTACTGAAGTCAATTTTGAGAACTTACCATTGAAATTATGAACAGATTTTGGCTGTTAGTACTGTATAGCCAATTCATAGTGTCACAGTCTGAAGTCTGTAACGAAATAACAATTGTTATCTGAGAGACAAGGCAGCTATGTGTTGTCAGTATTGGACTTTGATACAATCTCTACATATTAGTACTGAGTTACTGTACTATGATGCTCTCCATCTCTGCAATAAGTATATCTGATATGCTATAAACTGATACAATATTATATCGATGGAGTGCTAAGTTATTATGGAGGTGGTTCATCATGATACCTCCCACTGATACTGTGTTTGAGGCCCATTCTGCCTTCATTATACTGACTGTTACCAGAAGTGGCACATCACCATACTCCCTCACTGGACAAGTAATAGAAGAAGGGAGTATGTTAGTGAGTATGGTTTTATGCCACTTTCTGCAATGTTCCAGAAGTATCTCGAAGAGGGGACTCCAGAAATGGGCATCACACATTGTACCCAAGTGGGATATTGAATCCTTTGGTGTGCTGAATAAACACTTTAACCACTAAGCCACTGCCCGCCTTTGTTTCAAATTCAATGTGTGCTTTCCCTCCCTCCTCAGGTGTGGTGCAACAATTCTCAGCTGCCAGTGGACCATCTTCTGGCCGGGTCCTTCGAGACAGCCATGAGGGTAAGCCATTCACCAGTGCAGACATTCATTTTGTAGAATTTTATGTTAATGTACTCAAGCCAATTGAATATGTTTTTGTTTTTAATGTCTTCTTAGTGATAGTGGGAGAAAGGTTGAAATTCTTTCGCTTTAGGAAATGTATTAGTAGAATCATGTCAAAGCTTTTTGTTTGTTTTGTCAACAGCATTCATGAAATTTGTAATCTGTAAAATAAGTAAAATGATTCCATCTGTGCCTCCCTCACTGTTGCATGCTTCGTCTCCCTCCAGCTGCTCCACGACCAGGTGGGTGTGGTCAACTTCCAGAGCTACAAGCAACTGTTCCTGCAGACATATGCCCGCTCACGAACAGCATACCTCGGGCTGGCGTCTATTCCACCTCTCTTCAGCTACCCACACCGAAACTGGTATGTGTTGAACATTATCATTTAGTTACAGTCAGGATAAAATCTTCAAGGTAGAGGTTAAGTCATCAACTAGACGCTTTGTAGACATGTGAAAGCTAAGAACAGCAAGTTTTCTGGGTGGAAATACGCGATCAAAGCCATGTCATTTGACCCAAGAACTGCTAAGATTTACCCAGATTTGGAGGAGGTTTGTGTTTTTACATGTGTTTGACAATTCAGACTAATTCCTCTGTTCAGGAAAGAGGCTGGAGCTCGTAATGGTGCCCCTGCCGTGGGTCTGAAGCTGAACATGTTGGTGCAGCAGCTCCAAGCCGCCTACCAACTCACAACCACCGGCAAGTTTGCTGATGCATGTGAGAAGTTCCGCTCTATTCTCCTCAGTGTGCCCCTACTGGTTGTGGACAACAAACAGGAGATTGCTGAGGTAGGTGACTGTACAGGTGTATGCAATGGTGTATGTCACATGTAGAGGGATAGGATGGGTCACACTGGAGGGTCCAGGAGATTGCTGAGGTAGGTGACTGTGCAGGTGTATGCAATGGTGTATGTCACATGTAGAGGGGTAGGATGGGTCACACTGGAGGGTCCAGGAGATTGCTGAGGTAGGTGACTGTGCAGGTGTATGCAATGGTGTATGTCACATGTAGAGGGGTAGGATGGGGTCACACTGGAGGGTCCAGGAGATTGCTGAGGTAGGTGATTGTGCAGGTGTATGCAATGGTGTATGTCACATGTAGAGGGGTAGGATGGGGTCACACTGGGAGGGTCCAGGAGATTGCTGAGGTAGGTGACTGTGCAGGTGTATGCAATGGTGTATGTCACATGTAGAGGGGTAGGATGGGTCACACTGGAGGGTCCAGGAGATTGCTGAGGTAGGTGGTTGTATATGTCACATGTAGAGGGGTAGGATGGGGTCACACTGGAGGGATACAGGAGATTGCTGAGGCAGGTGACTGCAGTTGATGATGACTGCAGTTGATGATGGAGATGATGTTGGGTACGCTGGAGGGATGCAGGAGATGTTGTTGGGTACAGTGGAAGTGTTGATGAAATGAACAGAACATCGTCAGATTATTGATTATTATGATGTAAGAGATGTTGTTTCATTTGTTTTATTTGGTTTGTGTTCTGTTTATTGTATTTTATGTGGATATTTTCAGGCCCAGCAGCTGATTGAGATCTGCCGTGAGTACATCGTAGGCCTGTCGCTGGAAGCAAAGAGGAAAGAGATGCCCAAGAGCAACCTCGAGGAGCAGAAGCGAGTCTGTGAGGTGAGGATTGAGCTGCCAGTTACCCCATTTATTGTCACATTAAGTCGTACATCATGGCTAAACTGGACATCAGGGCAGGATAGGTTTCCCATCCTCTTTATGAGAATGGATGGAAATAATGTTCAGGTTGTCAAAATGTTTGTGATTAAATAACCATTACTGCATCAAAGTGAGGGTGTATAAGTAAGTTCCTGCTTCAGTGCAACCTGTTAAGAATTGTGTAGGACAGAAACAAACCAACCTGGTAGGATTAGAAATGATGCAAAATGTTTCTATGGACATGTATGTCACACAATATCTCGAAGAATGTCAACTTTGCAGAGAGGTAACCCTGTAGTTATTTGTTGTGCAGACCACTAGAAAATATAACGTTTGGTTTTGTACAGATGGCAGCCTACTTCACCCACTGCAGCCTCCAGCCGGTCCACCTCATCCTCACACTCAGGACAGCGCTCAATCTCTTCTTCAAGCTCAAAAACTACAAAACAGCTGCATCATTTGCTCGGCGCCTCCTGGAACTTGGACCCAAACCTGATGTTGCAACACAGGTGAGTTCCATACAGGTTTCCATTTTGTTCCTAACATGGTAGGAACACTACAATAGTAACATAGCAGCTAGGTAGACGGTCTGTACACTATACACTATAACTGTGCAGAGATCGTGTTGAGAGGTTTAGATGGCATGTGGAGAGAAGTAGTTCCTGTTGTTATGTCATGTGAGAATGTCATGCTATTGTCATGCTGCAGACACGGAAGATCCTGGCTGCATGTGAGAAGAACCCTGTAGATGAGCATGAACTGAAGTATGACCAGCACAACCCATTCGACATCTGTGGGGCCACCTTCGTCCCCATCTACCGAGGCAAGCCTGTCATTAAGTGTCCTCTCAGTGGAGCCTGCTACCTGCCAGAGTTCAAGGGTCAAGTCTGTAGGGTCACACAGGTCAGTATTTGATGACAGGAAGTTGTAGTGGGCAGTGACATGGACAGATCTGAACATGACTAGTTGTGTCTTTATACCTTATACACAATTCATACATTAGCTTATCTTCAAGTCTGAATGTTTTGGTATGTGAAATATATATTAAGGAAATAATCGTATGTCAAAATTTTTATGTTAGATTGCCTGATGTAGCGAATGCATGGCTGATTTAAGATGTTTTTGGCATCAGTGGGTGATATTTAAATTTTTGGTTTTGAAGGTCACAGAGATCGGCAAAGACTGTATAGGACTGAGAATCAGCCCAAACCAGTTCCGCTAGACCTCCAACTGTCTGAGCATTGAACATTGCCTACTGGATGTGGTAGAGACAATATGTGTTGAAGTGTCCTCTCATTGGGATCGCTGTGCTGCAGATGATGTCGCTACTGACGGCTTCAGTGTTGCTATCAGCAGCATGCCCAGGTGGATCCAGAACATAATGTGATTGTGTGTAAATGGACATTCCAACACAAGGACGATCTGTATTGTGAATATTGAAAGAATGTTCAACTCACAACATTTAGCTCCTAAAAGTTCTTCTTTTCTCTATATTCTGTATGGAAAATGGTGATTTTTCAGCAGATTTGATGCAAGCATTAATATTGTGAATGCATATTACAAATGTGAATAAATAAATTAACATGTCCACAGGAAACCAATCAAAGTAAGATCAATTGCTAACAGGCAGACCACAAGTGTCATGGAAAACAGCTTAGGGACAGCCCTCTAGTATTGACTGTTATAACTTTTGTTTCTTTGGCATGTTACTACACAATGTCTCTTGAAATGCTTGATCTGTCTGATACCAAGGCCAGTGGTTTATGATTCGACTGGGCATATTTGGTTTAACAAGGGACAGTGTGACATGTTGCAATCAGGCTTTTAAATATGCTGATGCAAATTTTGTTCATTAAAAAAGTTCTTTGGATGGTAGTGTAAACAAAGAGCGGGACCAGCAGTGGACACATTTAATGAGGAATGTTATGGTAGTTGGCAAGATAATTTTACATATAACAATGGGCGTCCATCCCTTGTGATAAAGCTGATAACGATGGAAGCCTTGGAGTAGAAGACAGTGTTGGTGACCTGTCTTCACAGGAAACAATATAGTTATTTCTCTTGTATGACAACTACTATTTATGTATATTTCATCTTGAATGTGAACATCTTTGTTACGTGGGAATAAATGCCATACTTAAAAAGATGACCTTCCCTGTTCTGTGTGTTCAGACAGTTAGGTCACTAGTGACTTGTACTATACTTTGTTCAGTGGGATCATGGCCATCATTGGCAGGAATACATACAAGAACATATGTCAAAACACAAGCTGGTGGTGGCTCAATTAGGCAGTCAAAGTAAACTTAGGCTCAGTATTTTTCGTTACACTGCCATTGTTTCATTGGTTAATCCGTTCGGCCGTCTCGCTTTTGATTGGACGGTCATCAGTCGCTAAAAGGTTAGCTGACGTGACCTTCTACTAGGGTTTGTTAGACTCAGTATAGCAGTGTAACAAATAATACTGAGGGCAGGTTTATGCCTAATTTCTGTTAAACACAGAATAACCTCTTAAAACTCTGGACAAACCACATGAAGCAGAATTTAGCTTATTGTAACTTCACTCAACTCCTTCACAATGTATCCCACTTGACATAAAAGCACCTGATTGTTTCATAGGACCGAAGTCTCTAATTGCTTGGTATGTTGTTTAATGCCACCAATATTCCAGCTATATGGCGGCAGTCTGTAAATAATCGAGCCTGGACCAGACAATCCAGTGATCAGCATCATGAGTCTAATTGCTGGAGCAGATTAACGATAGTTCTTTAACTAGTGGAGAACACATGCTGTTTTGTTTATTATTGGTGTATATTGCAAGGTGGACCAGAGTGGCACAGATGTCAAAGTGTATGTAACCCTGCCACAGTAGGCGGCCAGATTCCGGATGTGTATATTACTGCATCATCACATGTTCAGTAAACAACACAACACAATAGATATCACACGTATTCTTATTGGCATGATTTAGGTCATAAACAAAGTCAATACCATAATGTGTACATACTGACCAGATCTTTCTGGGAGTCTAAACAGAGATCAGGGTGTAGAATGTGATGAAAGTAAATACCTAAGGCAAAACTATTAAGTAGTAATATCCCTGAAAATAGTAACCTTTGTTTCACTTAAAACTCTTGCATTAGTGGAAGATCCAGATGGTACACTTGTACAACCAGCTCTGTCAGAAAGGTTGGTTTCAGACAACATCCACTCCTCTGCTATCATTCAATGTTAACACCAATCAACATTTCCAGTTTCTTCAAGAAATGACAAAATTAGATTGATTTTCTTTTGTGAATTTCCAAATTCAAAACAAAATTGGTATTGAGTGTTTCAATACTTCACCAGTACAGCTCTTGAACAACATCCACAGGTTATTGCATATATGATTGATTATACATGGCTGATTGAACATCAACTTTGAGCAGCATCTTCCAAAAGAACATGATTGTCTTATACTGAGCAGCCTGGTTCAGCACTGTACAGACACAGAGAACAGGGACGACATGAAGCAAGGCCAAATAACACACAGGACTGACTTAATGACACAGCATTTTCAGTGTGGTCATCTCAAGCTCTGTATTTCAAAGAAATGGACTTCCAATTACAAGCAAACTGACCCAAAACACCTGCCCAGGCAAAATCATCAAAGTTTGACTCATGACAATAGATAGTTATGATAGGTTCATATTTGTTCTAATTTCTTCATCAAAGCAGGAATGTAGACTGACAGTGGTCAGAAGACATCGTCTGCCATTACATGGGAGGTTGGGGATGGCAGGAGCTTGTGTGGGTAAACTACTTGCCTGGGGTTACAGATTAAACATCCCAATTTCTGGACAATATATAACCCTCAATACAAATTGCTAGCAAATTAGCTTACACATACCTTTAGTTACAACATGTGGGTACTGGCGTGTAAGCAGATCAACCATTAGTGGTCACGTCGGGAATCTATGCCAGCACTGATTGTCAGCTTTATAACATGTTCCATCTAAATCACATAATTTACACATTTGGTGTAGTTAATAGTTACCTAGTTAATAAATTATATGTTCATTGACAAGATACTGTCTCAAATAAAAAAATGCTAGTTTCGGATTATGCAAAAGGATGGGCAAAAACATACCCGAGATAGATCTCAAATATATAAAAGGCAGGTCTAAAATGTACAAAATGAGTCTCCTGTACACAAGATTCAGATATCCCATGTACGAGAGATGAGTCTGGGAAGGGGAGGTGACAGGCAGTGGTTATCTACAATGCTTGAGGTACCCATACCAGATATAAATGTATGTATATTAGAACTGTCGGATAAAGAATGGAATGTTTATTGTTTCACTGCTATTTATATTAACAAGATCACATATTCTCTGATGAAACTAAAACTAAAACGGAAAGTACATAGTATAAGACTGAAAATACCTGTATTACTCTTTTATACCACTATTGATGGGTGAACTTAATCCATTATTGAACATACTTCTTATAGAAAATGTACACTCATTTTCATGTCTTGAATGTTAACGCTTTGTGGCTTCTAGCAACATTCTTGATGTTGGCTAGAAAATTATATAAATATACATAAAATTTGTCTGGCCTGTAAAAACTGCCTGCTATGGTAAAACCATATTCTGGTTAGCAAATCACTCAATGCAGAGATGGGAATGTGTCTCCATTCAACGTTATTCATCACAAGTCATGCTATGCTCTTGGAGCAAATACAAAAATAAGGTCTCTCAACATCATGATCATCAGCAGTTAACAATGCATACATAAAACAATGCATACATAAAACAATGCATACATATAAAAATTCATACACATATACATATAACAATGCTTTCATATACATATACATAACAATACATACATATTCATATAACAATGCATACACATATATCAACAAATAAATCATAAAACTATACTTGTAAAATAAATTATATCAAAACTGTGTATACTTTGATACAAGAGTCATGTTCAATTTAATATTGTGAAAAATCCTGTGCAAGTTTTCCAAATATATATGCTATCTGGAACTGGTAACACTGCACAGTTATCGAGGCCGTGGTTCGGACTTGAACATTGCTGCTATTGTCAGGGTAAGTAAGAGATGCTGAGATTAACCCACACCATGGGAAGAAGCATCTGCTCTTTCATCTGATAAGGGCAACATTTTTTACTTGTGTTTCTCAGATTATGATTTGGTCACCAATCCAAAAATTTAAAATGTTTTTTTTCCAGTGTTAATGCTGGGATGAAAGTTGCAGGTAGAGGACAAGTAAAATTTCACAAGAAGGCTAAGGGCTAGGTATTAACATTCTTCTTTCTTTACATTTCATTTATTAAAACACTATAGTATACTGAAGAGTAAAGAAACTTATCAATGACCAAGGAGTCTAACTTTGTGACAGTTACATCTGATTCAATCTATTTTGATGTTCTCTGCTGCTTTTACTTGCAGTGCAATCTGTTTTATGGATTCACAATCTGCAGAAAGGACAACAAATGATTTTGCTGTATATATACTTTAAATCCTGAATTAAAAAACCCCAGAAGAGTCATTATTAAGTTCCTTGAGTAGAAAAAGGGGAGATAACTCAATAAATTTAGTCCTTTGTGAAGACAAGAGGAGATAACTCAGTAACTGATACACAAGTGATGACTACATAAATAGAAAGCTTGTACGTACAGTTCCTCCATCACACAGCTGGAATCAGCAGTTATGAGGACTCAGAGAGTGTCTGCTGTAGCTTCCCCTCATTTTATGGTACATACATCAAATACATTGATACAGCATATGTATTGTTTACCCCGGTGCAGACTCCCATCAAAAACATCTCACATTTTGCCGAGCAAAAACCAACAAATGACCTGTAGTTGCTTCAGTTTTGATGTGGCACAGTTAGGTATATACAGCAGGTAGACAGCGTGAGAGGTAACGGCACTTCAAGGTCGTCAGTGTCTGCACTGACACACATAGATATCACAGGCAGCTTGATAGTGGCCTACTAAAGGTCATCATAAGGTCATCATAACATACATGATCATAAAATAAATTAAAACTGAATGATTTGATACAATGTCTCCAGTATAATGAAATATCGTCTCTGATGTGGTTATGTACAGTGGGTCATCTGCATTAATAACAAGAACATAAGATGGTAGGTACTGACGTACCAGAGACAATGCAGTGGTGGTACAGAGATGTAAGTTAGTGAGTTTAGCTTTACGCCGCACTCAGTAATATTCCAGCTATTTGGCGGCGGTCTGTAAAAAATCGAGTCTGGACCAGACAATCCAGTGATCAACAGCATGAGCATCAATCTGCGCAATTGTGAACCGATGACATGTATCAACCAAATCAGCGAGCCTGTACAGAGATGTATAGTGATGGATTATATATAATACTGACCATGCAGCAATAGCTAAGAGATGGTAGCCGAACAGAGATGTACAGATAAACGTACACTGAAGATACAGACATATGGATATGGTAGCAATCACAATAAGCCAATGTTGAGTCATATAAACAAAGGAATCTGACTGGTAAGTAGCAAGTATTTTTCATGTCAAGTACAATTGATTTGATTCAATAATTCCTGTAAAACTCTTAGAAACTATCTGTTTAGCCTATGAGCAGTTACTCCACATTACAACAGACCATGGTTTCTACTTAAGCAAGTACAATACGCTACTGGCACAAACAAATCACTTCAAATCATAGCCACATTGACCCGTACAAACACTGAGATTCTGTCCTGGAGTCAAGACACACGTCCACACACGTGACAGAGGTCAACTTCTCAAATGCAGTTTACTGACGAGTTAATTTCATGTCCGAAGTGATAGTTGCCTGGTCCAGTGACACCTATAGTGACAGTTCTTGTGTTGGGAATATTGCTTAGTTTGGAGTTGATGGAGCAGATATACGACTGACCTTACGTATAAATGCCAGTTACCATTACATGACATGGCATTGCCATGACATCACATAGAATTGGGGTTGACATGATATTACATGAAGCTTGAGGTTGTCATGACATCACATGAGGCTTGGGGTTGTTATGACATTACATGAGGCTTGGGGTTGTCATGACATTACACAGGCTTGGGGTCAACATGACATTACATGAGGCTTGGGGTTGCCATGACATTACATGAGGCTTGGGGTTGCCATGACATTACATGAGGCTTGGGGTTGTAATGACATTACATAAAATTCGGGTTGACTTGACATTACATGAGGCTTGGGGTTGCCATGACATTACATAGAATTCGGGTTGACTTGACATTACATGAGGCTTGGGGTTGCCATGACATTACACAGGCTTGGGGTTGCCATGACATTACACAGGCTTGGGGTTGTCATGACATTACATAGAATTGGGGTTGCCATAACATTACACAGGCTTGGGGTCGACATGACATTACATGAGGCTTGGGGTTGACTTGACATTACATGAGGCTTGGGGTTGCCATGACATTACACAGGCTTGGGGTTGTCATGACATTACACAGGCTTGGGGTTGTCATGACATGACATAGAATTGGGGTTGCCATGACATTACACAGGCTTGGGGTTGTCATGACATTTCATAGACTTGGGGTTGTAATGACATTACATAGAATTCGGGTGGACTTGACATTACATGAGGCTTGGGGTTGCCATGACATTACACAGGCTTGGGGTTGCCATGACATCATACATGACTAGGGGCATGGCAAGATATCCATAACACTTTGTCCTTCATGAAATTAGTGGTACACTATAAGAATGTTCCTTGTGAAGCAATCTGTGACATGACATGGTGTGCAAGACATCAGTTATGCTGGAGACTCTCAACTAGAACACTGTCCAGAGACAGTTGTTTCACACCAATAGCTTGTACCCCAACTTCCAGCTGAATGGTCTCAAGCCTCCAGACACCAAACATCACACTGACTCTAGATGTAGCACTGCTCAGAAGTAAGCGCCAAGCTTCTCAGCCACAAGTTGACAGAAGTAGGAATGGCTCCCGTGTAGCGTCAATGATGATGTCATCGTCTGCCATACTGCCGCGTCCACTGTGTCACCAGCCTGGAAACACACATGAGTTATAACAACATCACATTGAAAATATCACAACATGATATCATAATGCATCAGTATGACATCACACCATCACATCTTAGTATGACACATTATCACATCTTAGTATGACACATCACATCTTAGTATGACACATCATCCCATCTCAGGGGTGGTGGGGTAGCCTAGTGGTTAAAGTGTTCGCTTGTCATGATGAAGACCCGGGTTCGATCTCAGTATGACATCACATCTCAATATGACATCACATCTCAGTATGTCATCACATCTCAGTGTGTCATCACATCTCAGTATGTCACATCTCAGTATGACATCACATCATCAAACCAGGGATCACACATTGCTGGTATTCTCCCTTAGTTTTAGAGAGCTGGGTCATCAGATCAGCCAATTTACAATATTGTTGAAAGAAGTTCATTGATAGTATCATTAACCTTTCAATCTGACAAAAATACATAGCAAAAGCACTTCAACACATGCAGACACAAGAAAACCCTTTATATAACAACCCCATAACACAGAGTGTACTCTTCGAAGCATGCAATCTATGAAAAGATATGTTTTCTGTTGGGATCAATGCATATCACCCTGATCCACTCTCTGTCGATGTAAACAACACGTCACAACCATGCACTTTAACACAATGTAACAACATGCTGTTGGTTCAGGGGAGGTGGCGTACAAGAGGAAGGCGAAAAATGAAGTTTTGAAGCTCTTTTGATGATTTGCGTTTGACCAGAATACTTGCTACTACGATGACCTGACAGAGGAGGTGAACCCTACGACCCAGCCAGGATGAGGGCAGTCATAATGCAGGTTACAATACTGGTACATCATGTATAAGACTGAACAAATTTGGTAACAACATCAAGGCTACAGAATACACCATGAGCATACCATAAATGCAGACCTACTTAACTATTGACAAACAAAAAACACAACAATGGATCAAAAAGCATAGATTGAACATCAATGCATGCTCAGGACAAAAGACTTGTAAGAAGTTGAAAAACAAAAGAGTTGAAAAAAAGGGTTGTAGATTTTACACTAACAGGTTCATATCCAACCATGGACTTCCAATATCTGAACTGAAATGGAATAGCAGAACACAACAAACAATTAACACATGGAAACCATGAATGACCACAATGACATTAACTAGGGGTAACAGTCACTATAGTGACACCATGCATCATCACATAGAAAAGTAACAATCACTATAGTGACACCATGCATCATCACATAGAGGGATAACAATCACTATAGTGACACCATGCATCATCACATAGAGGGATGACAATCACTATAGTGACACCATGCATCATCACATAGAGGGATGACAATCACTATAGTGACACCATGCATCATCACATAGAGGGATAACAATCACTATAGTGACACCATGCATCATCACATAGAGGGATCACAATCACTATAGTGACACCATGCATCATCACATAGAGGGATGACAATCACTATAGTGACACCATGCATCATCACATAGAGGGATGACAATCACTATAGTGACACCATGCATCATCACATAGAGGATCACAATCACTATAGTGACACCATGCATCATCACATAGAGGGATGACAATCAATCCATGCATCATCACATAGAGGGATCACAATCACTATAGTGACACCATGCATCATCACATAGAGGGATAACAATCACTATAGTGACACCATGCATCATCACATAGAGGGATGACAATCACTATAGTGACAATCACTATAGTGACACCATGCATCATCACATAGAGGGATGACAATCACTATAGTGACACCATGCATCATCACATAGAGGGGATGACAATCACTATAGTGACACCATGCATCATCACATAGAGGGATAACAATCACTATAGTGACACCATGACAATCATCATCACATAGAGGATCACAAACAATCATATAGTGACCATGACACCATGCATCATCACATAGGGATGACAATCACTATAGTGACACCATGCATCATCACATAGAGGGATGACAATCACTATAGTGACACCCATGCATCATCACATAGAGGGATGACAATCACTATAGTGACACCATGCATCATCACATAGAGGGATAACAACAATCACTATAGTGACACCATGCATCATCACATAGAGGGGGATGACACCATGCATCATCACATAGACAATCACTATAGTGACAATGCATGCATGACACCATGCATCATCACATAGAGGGATCACTATACAATCATCATATACATCACATAGAGGGATCACAATCACTATAGTGACACCATGCATACATAGAGGGATGACAATCACTATATGACACCATGCATCATCACATAGAGGGATGACAATCACTATAGCGACACCATGCATCATCACATAGAGGGATGACAATCACTATAGTGACACCATGCATCATCACATAGAGGGATGACAATCACTATAGTGACACCATGCATCATCACATAGAGGGATGACAATCACTATAGTGACACCATCATCACATAGAGGGACAACAATCACTATAGACAATCACTATAGCGACACCATGCATCATGACATTGAAGGATAACAATCACTATAGTGACACCATGCATCATGACAAAGAGGGATACAATCACTATAGCGACACCATGCATCATGACATAGAGGGGTAACAATCACAAGAATGACAACATGCAGCCTGATGGAAAGACAAATGCTGAGGAAGAGAGTGTTCCAGACAGGGCCACAGTTAGGGGCATGTGAGGGTTCGAGGCAAGGCCACAGTTAGGGGCATGTGAGGGTTAGAGGCAAGGCGACAGTTAGAGGCATGTGAGGGTCTGAGGCAAGGCCACAGTTAGAGGCATGTGAGGGTTCGAGGCAAGGCCACAGTTAGGGGCATGTGAGGGTCTGAGGCAAGGCCACAGTTAGAGGCATGTGAGGGTTCGAGGCAAGGCCACAGTTAGAGGCATGTGAGGGTTCGAGGCAAGGCCACAGTTAGAGGCATGTGAGGGTTTGAGGCAAGGCCACAGTTAGAGGCATGTGAGGGTTCGAGGCAAGGCCACAGTTAGGGGCATGTGAGGGTCTGAGGCAAGGCCACAGTTAGAGGCATGTGAGGGTTGAGGCAAGGCCACAGTTAGAGGCATGTGAGGGTTCCAGGCAAGGCCACAGTTAGAGGCATGTGAGGGTTCACGAGGCAAGGCCACAGTTAGGGGCATGTGAGGGTCTGAGGCAAGGCCACAGTTAGAGGCATGTGAGGGTCTGAGGCAAGGCCACAGTTAGAGGCATGTGAGGGTCTGAGGCAAGGCCACAGTTAGAGGCATGTGAGGGTTGAGGCAAGGCCACAGTTAGGGGCATGTGAGGGTCTGAGGCAAGGCCACAGTTAGAGGCATGTGAGGGTTCAAGGCAAGGCCACAGTTAGGGGCATGTGAGGGTTGAGGCAAGGCCACAGTTAGAGGCATGTGAGGGTCTGAGGCAAGGCCACAGTTAGAGGCATGTGAGGGTTCGAGGCAAGGCCACAGTTAGGGGCATGTGAGGGTCTGAGGCAAGGCCACAGTTAGAGGCATGTGAGGGTTGAGGCAAGGCCACAGTTAGAGGCATGTGAGGGTCTGAGGCAAGGCCACAGTTAGGGGGGCATGTGAGGGTCTGAGGCGACAGTTAGAGGCATGTGAGGGCAAGGCCACAGTTAGAGGCATGTGAGGGTCTGAGGCAAGGCCACAGTTAGGGGCATGTGAGGGTTCGAGGCAAGGCCACAGTTAGAGGCATGTGAGGGTTCGAGGCAAGGCCACAGTTAGAGGCATGTGAGGGTTTGAGACAAGGCCAAAGTTAGAGCCATGTGAGGGTTCGAGGCAAGGCCACAGTTAGAGGCATGTGAGGGTTCGAGGGAAGACCACAGTAAGAGGCATGTGAGGGTTCGAGGCAAGGCCACATTTAGGGGCATGTGAGGGTTCGAGGCAAGGCCACAGTTAGGGGCATGTGAGTGTTTGAGGCAAGGCCACAGTTAGAGGCATGTGAGGGTTCAAGGCAAGGCCACAGTTAGAGGCATGTGAGGGTTCGAGGCAAGGCCACAGTTAGAGGCATGTGAGGGTTTGAGGCAGGAAACAACTGGACAAGACTAGCTCACCTGGGATTTATTAGGCTGTGAAGAAAAGTAACAGGGATGTGAGGGTGGATATGAATCGGAATCTTAGACATATAATCTTTCATACATGCTGTCTTATGATCAAATGAGAGAAGACTTAAGCAGAGTCGGAAATCCTAACCTCGAAGAAACTTGTAAGAACTTTAAGAAGTGTACAACATAACTGTAAACATGAATTCAACATGTTTCATACAGCAGAACAATAGGAAGGTAGTACAGAAACACATCACACCTGACAAACCAAAACACAGTATCAGGGGAGTTCCTATTTTGTTCACTTCGTAGATGTATTCGGAAATCATATTCCTTCTATGTAGATTATAAAGCCTGAAAAAATGATGTATTGAAGGAGGCAGTGAAGACAGTTATTTAGAATAAGTAAGAGTTATTTACAGTTATCACTCCTATTTACTATCATTTGTTAAGTGACCTTACTTTGTATCTTTGCTACAAAATGACTATTTTTCAAAGCTGACATATTCATACCACTTTATGAGAAGGATACCTACAGCAACACACATCTTCAGAGGTTTTACTGCAGTAAAAATATGATGTTTTGTTTTCATTTAGGCAACTATGAATTCATTTTCCTCACAGACAGATATGTCATGGCATATTGGTGACCTTTCCAAACTTAGCACTGAACACTACAAGAAGCAGGTCGTCACCAAGATAGCTGTCTGCTACTAGGTGAACACTACAAAGAAGCGGTATAGCTGTCTGCTACTAGCACTGAACACTACAAGAAGCAGGTCGTCACCAACGGTATAGCTGTCTGCTACTAGCACTGAACACTACAAGAAGCAGGTCGTCACCAACGGTATAGCTGTCTGCTACTAGCACTGAACACTACAAGAAGCAGGTCGTCACCAACGGTATAGCTGTCTGCTACTAGCACTGAACACTACAAGAAGCGGGTCGTCACCAGCGGTATGGCTGTCTGCTACTAGCACTGAACACTACAAGAAGCAGGTCGTCACCAACGGTATAGCTGTCTGCTACTAGCACTGAACACTACAAGAAGCAGGTCGTCACCAACGGTATAGCTGTCTGCTACTAGCACTGAACACTACAAGAAGCAGGTCGTCACCAACGGTATAGCTGTCTGCTACTAGCACTGAACACTACAAGAAGCAGGTCGTCACCAGCGGTATAGCTGTCTGCTACTAGCACTGAACACTACAAGAAGCGGGTCGTCACCAGCGGTATGGCTGTCTGCTACTAGCACTGAACACTACAAGAAGCAGGTCGTCACCAGCGGTATGGCTGTCTGCTACTAGCACTGAACACTACAAGAAGCAGGTCGTCATAGCGGTATGGCTGTCTGCTACTAGCACTGAACACTACAAGAAGCAGGTCGTCACCAGCGGTATAGCCGTCTGCTACTAGCACTGAACACTACCAAGAAGCGGGTCGTCACCAACGGTATAGCCGTCTGCTACTAGCACTGAACACTACAAGAAGCAGGTCGTCACCAACGGTATAGCCGTCTGCTACTAGCACTGAACACTACAAGAAGCAGGTCGTCACCAACGGTATAGCCGTCTGCTACTAGCACTGAACACTACAAGAAGCAGGTCGTCACCAACGGTATAGCTGTCTGCTACTAGCGTCTGAATGGGACATGCACCACATATGGGAGAAGGTCAAAAACAAGGTGGGGACTAGGAATTCTAATGGGGTTAAATGTTTGCTCTAATTTAAGTTTAAAGCTAAATCTGGAACTTGGTAAACACTCTCTGGAAAGCAACTACATACTCTCTGTTGGAGCTGACCAACTGTATGGGTCTTATTTTAAAGGAAAACGTCTCTGGTTCTACTCATGGATGTTTCACATTATGCTGGCAATGCAGGGAACTCTACCTGTCCAGCACAGAGACTACCCGCTTCTCTTCATGCTGCCACAAAACAAAGACTTTATTTTACTTCCCATCTCATGTCAGGGGCTCATTTCTTTGTTCTACTACAAGTGTCAAAGGGGAGACCCTAATTTCCTCTCACTTCATGCCACTCATCATTACAAAAACAGATCCAAAGAATAAAGAAATATGAGTAATGTCCCTTCAAAATGGCTGCTACTGCACAAAATGTTCAACAGAATCAAATAACTAGTTAGATTTTGACAACAGTTTGGTCAGATTGTTAGCTTAATTGTTAAAAAACATTGGTAAATTCTTTAACGCAGCAATTGGTACAAACTTTCAAGTGTCAACTCATTTAAATCATTATTTGTCTCTCTCATATCACTGCTATACTGCTGAGTTCTGTGCTTAACAATCACTTCAAACAGTCTTTGGTGGCACAAAGGGAAGAATTCACATCATCTCATCACAGCAAAAAGAGTAGAACCTGATTATGTCTATCTAGGACACACAGTAACAACTGGGCCATTGTATCCTGGATGAAAGGAACGGAGGAACCATATAGATCATACACTGAAAAAAAACCCCAAACAACTTTGACCTAAACTCCCCAATTACATTTGTAATCTAATTAATTAACATCTCTCATTTCAAATAATTTCAAGTTTCATGATGATGAAGATTAATAACAGTCATGTGACAAAAGGACAGTGGTTGTGGGACCTTACCCTCAGAACAAAGTGTTTCAGTATGGTGCCTTCCTCGTCGTGGTAGTTGACCACACGCGTCTCCAGCCAAGCATTGTCAGTGTTGCGAGAGTCGTCAGCGTAGTTTCGATACATCTGCACCCCAGATAGAAAAAGAAGTTTGAGGCATATTGATAACTGTCTACTGATACAAGATACTCAAAACTTTTAGTTGTTCAAGCTCACAAACCATCTTACTGAACATAAACTTGACATTGCAGCCCCTCCTTCACCCATCCGATGTTCATGACAAGAAACAGTCTGTGACACTCACCTCCTGCCCCTGTAAAGACAGCTTCTCCAGCCTCTCCAGGATCTTCTCTCTCTCCTCCGGATCGGCCGTGAAGTCAGACTTCAGGATGTCCCAAACCTTCTGCTTAGGCTCACAGATTGCCTGACCAAAGCACAATGTTTCTTAATGGGATCTCATTATCAGATAGTCATCATTGGCACTATGGCTAAACAGGCATGTTCCCCAGCAGTATGTGAGATGGGATTAACGCTGCCTCAACCAGTGTTCCAGGCACATCAGGGCCAGTCAGCTTCACGTAGGAGGAAAGCCTGAAGCCAGCCTGAGACATGTACTGTTATGGTTAAACCCACTAGAACTGGTATGGTGCTGAGAAACCTAGAAATGTAACTTGGGAGAACACTGATTCAAAGCTACAATCATGTTTTCTGGTGTTTGGGACGCGACTTGCAGTGCCCAAGACAACTGGGCCCCATGTGTGGGTTTTCAGAGAGCATGACTAGGGAGATCCTTCCTTTCATTGAACCATCAAGCCCCACAACTACCCCATGAAGAAAAACAAAATCTGAGCAAAATAGGATTCCAACTACTCATGGGTTTCTGATGTGTCCAAGGGAAGCAACTCTGAACCTCTGCCTGCAGCAGTAGTCAGAAAAATGCCAACATTTAGGTGAGGTGAGGTGAAATTGGGTTTAACATCGTGCTTGAGAATATTTCGCTCATATGACGACGACGTGCATGCGTGTGTATGTGTATGTGCGGCTGCTTGTACTAGCCCTGACTGAAGCTGGTTTTATAGTGCTAGCCCTCTGAGATACCATGCCGCAGTGAAGCATGAGTACCCCACTCAGACACATTATACTGACTCCAGTCCTTGTTGTTGTACCCATTAATGCCGAGGGCCAGGCAGGGACCAACAAGTACCATATTTTAACATCTTTTGGTATGACACGCGGTCGGGTCCAACATTTAGACCCCTAGTATGAGGTGTGTAGAGTATCATCTGAAGAGGTGTATAATAATGAAGAGGTGTATAATAATGAAGAGGTGTATAATAATGTCAGTATAAAAGTCCTTCTTTAATAGCAATGCAAGCAGCTATATTTGACAACCATCACTGACCACTATAAATGAGACCATGTGGTGGGTTTGACACTGTTACTATGGCAGCCGAGACAAAAATGGACTTTTCCTTATAGAGTTGCTGGCTGGTTAAGTGATAGACTGGCAGACATACCCCCGGGAGAGCCCACTGTTTGTTGTCTGACCTCTGTACCACCACAAACTCCAGCTGGGGTTTGCCATCAACCAAAGACTTGTTGCCGAACTCATCCAGCTTCCATCTGAAACAGCAGTGACAGGTCAGGACATCTGTGGTTTGTGTTCTGTAAGGCCTTTGCCACAGTACAGTGAGCAACAGCCACCGCACAAACTCTCACACCTTGAGCCTAGTCCACCCCACCACCCCACACCTGCAGTCCACTCAACCCATTCCACCCCTCACACCTTAAGTCAGTCTTGTGTACCCCACCACCCCCACACCTTGACTCCAGCCTACCCCACCACCCTTCACACCTTGGCTCCAGTCTACCACACCACCCTTCACACCCTGACTCCAGTCTACCCCACCACCCTGCACACCTTGAATCAAGTCTACGACACCACCCCTCACACCTTGATCCCAGTCTACGCCACCACCCACACATCTTGACTCCAGTCTACTCCAGTCTACCCCACCACCCTTCACACCTTGACTCCAGTCTACCCCACCACCCCTCACACCTTGACTCCAGTCTTTCAAACCACCCCTAACACCTTGACTCCAGTCTACCCCACCACTCTTCACACCTTGACTCCAGTCTACTCCAGTCTACCCCACCACCCTTCACACCTTGACTCCAGTCTACCCCACCACCCTTCACACCTTGACTCCAGTCTACCAAACCACCCCTCACACCTTGACTCCAGTCTATCAAACCACCCCTCACACCTTGACTCCAGTCTACCACACCACCCCTCACACCTTCATCCCAGTCTACCCCACCCTTCACACCTTGACTCCACTCTACCACACCCCTCACACCTTGATCCCAGTCTACCACACTACACACACACCGTGACTCAAGTCTACCACACTACACACACACTGTGACTCCAGTCTACCACACCACCCCTCACACCTTGATCCCAGTTTACCCCACCACCCCTCACACCTTGACTCCAGTCTACCACACTACCCCTCACACCTTGACTCCAGTCTACCACACTACACACACACCGTGACTCAAGTCTACCACACTACACACACACTGTGACTCCAGTCTACCACACTACACACACACTGTGACTCAAGTCTACCACACTACACACACACACCTTGACTCCAGTCTACCACACTACACACACACCGTGACTCCAGTCTACCACACTACACACACACCTTGACTCCAGTCTACCACACTACACACACACCGTGACTCCAGTTTACCACACTACACACACACCGTGACTCAAGTCTACCACACTACCCACACACCGTGACTCAAGTCTACCACACTACCCACACACCTTGACTCCAGTCTACCACACTACACACACACCGTGACTCAAGTCTACCACACTACACACACACTGTGACTCCAGTCTACCACACTACACACACACTGTGACTCAAGTCTACCACACTACACACACACCGTGACTCAAGTCTACCACAACACCCCTCACATCGCCCTCACCGTGACTCCAGTCTACCACACTACCCACACACCATGACTCAAGTCTACCACAACTCCCATCCAATCCACACCCCTCACATCGTCCTCACCAAACCTCACACCTAGAACCAGATTGATCCCACAACCTTACCCACCTGGTCACAACTGGGTCGCCAGCATGGTTGGGGCCCCATCGGCCCAGACTTCCTCTTCCTGTTATTCCTGTCCGACCCCGAGGATTGATAGGAAGACCATCAACAATTTCATATGTGCCCAAATGACTTGATCTATCCACGTTATATTTGTTGTCAAAACCGTTGAATGTCAAGATGTTCCGCTGTGCAACAGGTCTGAAAACAGTGGAATTCATGGGAAATATGTTTCAAATCTCACTTTATTATATTTTGCATATTAACAGTATGCATGGGATCAATAGCAAACTCACCACAAAGTACAGTCACTGCACATAGTGTCAATGTGCATACAGTCACTGCACATAGTGTCAATGGGCATACAGTCACTGCACATAGTGTCAATGGGCATACAGTCACTGCACATAGTGTCAATGGGCATACAGTCACTCCACATAGTGTCAATGGGCATACAGTCAATGGGCATACAGTCACTCCACATAGTGTCAATGGGCATACAGTCACTGTACGTAGTGTCAATGGGCATACAGTCACTGTACATAGTGTCAATGGGCATACAGTCACTCCACATAGTGTCAATGGGCATACAGTCACTGCACATAGTGTCAATGGGCATACAGTCACTCCACATAGTGTCAATGGGCATACATTCACTGCACATAGTGTCAATGGGCATACAGTCACTGCACATAGCGTCAATGGGCATACAGTCAATGGGCATACAGTCACTCCACATAGTGTCAATGAGCATACAGTCACTCCACATAGTGTCAATGGGCATACAGTCACTGCACATAGTGTCAATGGGCATACAGTAACTGCACATAGTGTCAATGGGCATACAGTCAATGGGCATACAGCCACTCCACATAGTGTCAATGGGCATACAGTCAATGGGCATACAGTCACTCCACATAGTGTCAATGGGTATACAGTCACTGCACATAGTGTCAATACATACAGTCAATGCACAGTCACCGCACATAGTGTCAGTCACTGCACATAGTGTCAATGGGCATACAGTAACTGCACATAGTGTCAATGGGCATACAGTCACTGCACATAGTGTCAATGGGCATACAGTCACTGCACATAGTGTCAATGGGCATACAGTCACTGCACATAGTGTCAATGGGCATACAGTCACTGCACATAGTGTCAATGGGCATACAGTCACTGCACATAGTGTCAATGGGCATACAGTCACTGCACATAGTGTCAATGGGCATACAGTCACTCCACATAGTGTCAATGGGCATACAGTCACTGCACATAGTGTCAATGGGCATACAGTCACTGCACATAGTGTCAATGGGCATACAGTCACTGCACATAGTGTCAATGGGCATACAGTCAATGTGCATACAGTCAATGGGCATACAGTCACTGCACATAGTGTCAATGGGCATACAGTCACTCCACATAGTGTCAATGGGCATACAGTGTCAATGGGCATACAGTCACTCCACATAGTGTCAATGGGCATACAGTCAATGGGCATACAGTCAATGGGTATACAGTCACTCCACATAGTGTCAATGTGCATACAGTCACTGCACATAGTGTCAATGGGCATACAGTCACTGCACATAGTGTCAATGGGCATACAGTCAATGGGCATACAGTCACTGCACATAGTGTCAATGGGCATACAGTCAATAGGCATACAGTCACTCCACATAGTGTCAATGGGCATACAGTCAATGGGCATACAGTCACTCCACATAGTGTCAATGGGCATACAGTCAATAGGCATACAGTCACTCCACATAGTGTCAATGGGCATACAGTCAATGGGCATACAGTCACTGCACTTAGTGTCAATGGGCATACAGTCAATGGGCATACAGTCACTCCACATAGTGTCAATGGGCATACAGTCACTGTGCATACAGTCACTGCACATAGTGTCAATGGGCATACAGTCACTGCACATAGTGTCAATGGGCATACAGTCAATGGGCATACAGTCACTCCACATAGTGTCAATGGGCATACAGTCACTCCACATAGTGTCAATGGGCATACAGTCACTGCACTTAGTGTCAATGGGCATACAGTCAATGGGCATACAGTCAATGGGCATACAGTCAATGGGCATACAGTCACTCCACATAGTGTCAATGGGCATACAGTCACTCCACATAGTGTCAATGGGCATACAGTCACTCCACATAGTGTCAATCGGCATACAGTCAATGGGCATACAGTCACACCACATAGTGTCAATGGGCATACAGTCACTGCACTTAGTGTCAACGGGCATACAGTCAATGGGCATACAGTCACTCCACATAGTGTCAATGGGCATACAGTCACTCCACATAGTGTCAATGGGCATACAGTCACTGCACTTAGTGTCAATGGGCATACAGTCAATGGGCATACAGTCACTCCACATAGTGTCAATGGGCATACAGTCACTGCACATAGTGTCAATGGGTATACAGTCACTGCACATAGTGTCATTGGGCATACTGACACTGCAGCTGCGAAAGTGGCATTAACTTACAGTGCCATGAGATCTGGGTCTGCCCAGGACTGGTTCTTTATGGAGTCCTGGCTGTGTAGAACTGGCATATATTCAGGGAAGGGTTCCTGCAATACACCAAGGCATATGTTACTCTATAATCATGTGCTCTGTAAACAGTGGACTAAGTCATTGATATCCCCAGCAATGGTAAACACTTGATGTGATTATATCATGTTGAAATAGGAACACAAAACATATTTGCATTGTCTTGTTTACAGTTTCCAAGATCTGCTCCAGAAACCAAATCTATGGACAGATAGATGAATGCAGACACTGGCTGGTGTGTCCATGGTAATTCACTATGCAAAATGGAATGCAGAGGATGACGACAGTATTGCACACATCTCCACAATTCTATGTGATGAAAACACTTACATTCCAGGGCACTTTCTCATCAGGCACAGTGAAACGCTGAACCCTGGGATGGGAGCCCGGTAGGGGGAGTTGCGGGACTCAAAGTGGTACTCGTAGGGCTGTATGCGGAGAGACTGTACCAGGTTGCGGTCTTGTTTGTCCTCCTCGTCCTTCCGCTGCTGACCTGCAAAATACACACACAGAGGTAGATGTGGACCTACAGCAGATGTGCATACACACAGAGGTAGATGTGGACCTACAGCAGATGTGCACACACAGGTGGATGTGGACCTACAGCAGATGCACGCACACACAGAGGCAGATGTGGACCTACAGCAGATAAGTGCACACAGGTAGATGTGGACCTACAGCAGATGTACACACACAGGTGGATGTGGACCTACAGCAGATGTGCACACACAGGTAGATGTGGACCTACAGCAGATGTGCACACACAGGTGGATGTGGACCTACAGCAGATGTGCATACACACAGGTGGATGTGGACCTACAGCAGATGTGCACACACAGGTAGATGTGGACCTACAGCAGATGTGCACACACAGGTGGATGTGGACCTACAGCAGATGTGCACACACACAGGTAGATGTGGACCTACAGCAGATGTGCATACACACAGAGGTAGATGTGGACCTACAGCAGATGTGCATACACACAGAGGTAGATGTGGACCTACAGCAGATGTACACACACAGGTGGATGTGGACCTACAGCAGATGTACACACACAGAGGTAGATGTGGACCTACAGCAGATGTGCATACACACAGAGGTAGATGTGGACCTACAGCAGATGTACACACACAGGTGGATGTGGACCTACAGCAGATGTGCACACACACAGAGGTAGATGTGGATCTACAGCAGATGTACACACACAGGTGGATGTGGACCTACAGCAGATGTGCACACACACAGAGGTAGATGTGAACCTACAGCAGAAGTGAACAATAATCAGTTTCTTACAAACCATAAAATTGCACCACTTGAGGGTCGAATAGATTCTCATTTAATAATTTGTCATAGCAGTGGCGTTTATAATACACAATGCATAGATAACATGCAAACAAGATTAGATCAAAGGAAATTAATGAAACACTCTAAACGACAGTGTTGCAACGTCGATGTAGATGATGTTCCTTCTTGCAAGCATGAAATAATTGAGAGTATGAAGTCATTGTAATCGCTTGAGACATAATCATGCTGTTCTAAGTTTGTTTTACTAAATTAACACTTGTTTATGATGCAACAAGTAGGTATAAAGGTGTTTGGCATGAGCAACCAGTCTGCATTCAATCGAAGGAGGAATAACTATCAATGAATTTCAGGTAAGAAGTCCATCATAATCTGACCTCAGGTCATCACCATGGAGTAGCCAATCATGAAGATGAGAAACAATCTCCCACATGTTTGACACCAGTTTTTTTCACATGGGTTTCTCACCCATGGATGTGCAAGAATATATGGTTCCTTAGCACAATAAGGACCTACGTTCTTTAATGGCAAGCTCTGGGTCAGGCAGTAGTGGGCGTTTCTCCTTGCATGCCATGTTGTTCTGGGCCAGAGACATCATGATCCAGTCCAGAGCCTTGAATGTGTGCACCATCTGGAAACAAGGTAACAAGTACAGGGGAGAACAGACTATTATATATCTGACAAGAATCAAGGTCAGATGGGTTAAGACTTATCATGGATTGAACACCACACATTTTTGCATAATTCATTGATATCTTCAGCATGCTAATGATTTCAGAAAATACATCTAGACAGGAGGTCTATATTAAGAGTCAATGTACTAAAATGTAATTTGAAAGACTTCATTTTCAAATCATGACACATTCAGAGTATATTATATTACTGTCATACTTAAGCCAAATTCAAAGAAGTCTTGGAGCATTGATGTCAGAAATGCCCTTATGTGAATGTCATCGTGACACTTGTTTTGATAATTGCAAAATACATCCTTCCATTCACTGCATGTAGTATCAGGGTAGTATCTGCCCAGTAAAGAGTGGAGACTAAATACAGAAAAAGACACTACATATAATCAGCTACAAATTCCAACAAATGCAGTGACAAACTACATGTGAATCTTAGTAGACAAACAGTGCCCATTACCTGGCTCTCAATGAGTTTGAGTCTGTCATCCAGCTCGGGTGGCATGTACAGCGCTGCATTGGGTACATTGTCAGCAGCCTCCTCTCTCAGTACAGACCCAGCCGCCATGACGGAGCCCCCTGCTGTCTGCATGTCCTGGAGGTCGTCAACCTTTGTCGCGAGCAAGTCCAATCTAGACAGAGAATATCACATGATCATGGTCGCCTTGATGACAGGAAAGGTATACATATTTTCACCTGCTCATCTGGATTCAGTATCTGGACTCTTGTCTGGCTGGACATATAAGTTTCCGGTTCCGGCAAATTCTTCAACTACATTCTCAGGACTGATCTATTTGTGGTTCACAGATACTCCTAAGACAGCCCAGCTTTACTCATCATCCACATTCTCAGGACTGATCTATTTGTGGTTCACAGATACTCCTAAGACAGCCCAGCTTTACCCATCATCCACATTCTCAGGACTGATCTATTTGTGGTTCACAGATACTCCTAACAAAGCCCAGCTTTACTCATCATCAACATTCTCAGGACTGATCTGTTTGTGGTTCACAGATACTCCTAACACAGCCCAGCTTTACCCATCATCCATATTCTCAGGACTGATCTGTTTGTGGTTCACAGATACTCCTAACACAGCCCAGCTTTACCCATCATCCACATTCTCAGGACTGATCTGTTTGTGGTTCACAGATATTCCTAACAGAGCCCAGCTTTACCCATCATCCATATTCTCAGGACTGATCTGTTTGTGGTTCACAGATATTCCTAACAGAGCCCAGCTTTACCCATCATCCATATTCTCAGGACTGATCTGTTTGTGGTTCACAGATATTCCTAACACAGCCCAGCTTTACCCATCATCCATATTCTCAGGACTGATCTGTTTGTGGTTCACAGATACTCCTAACAGAGCCCAGCTTTACCCATCATCCTCATTCTCAGGACTGATCTGTTTGTGGTTCACAGATACTCCTAACACAGCCCAGCTTTACCCATCATCCATATTCTCAGGACTGATCTGTTTGTGGTTCACAGATACTCCTAACACAGCCCAGCTTTACTCATCATCCACATTCTCAGGACTGATCTGTTTGTGGTTCACCTGGTAAGGGTTGCTTGAACACGGTTCTCAACAGACTCCTTCTCCTGCTCGTCAGTCTTCAAGAGGAAGGCATCAGCGATGACATTCTCCCACTGCACTAGTTGCTTCTCTTCCATTTTCTTATCCTTGTACACCTTCCCTGAAGTCACATCATATGTACACTGTGACTTCATATGGGTTAAACAGACACAGATGCTACACAAGTACTGTGTACATGAATCTCAGTAGAAACACCTAATACTGTTGTCCTAAAACATATACTTTGATGATCCTATACTTTAAGTGAACTTTGCTTTGAACAGTATTCCAGTCCTACGACAGCATGTCAGCTTAACGTGGAAGAGAAAGTCCTCCGACGTTTGTCACTTCGGTGACACCTACAAGCATGGTAATGGTGGTGACAAACCTCGACTCATAAATCAGGCTACACCAGGATTCAAACAAACGACCATAGTCCTCTGGAATGCCAAAGGCAATGCATCTCAGCAATTCAAATTGTGGCGTTTAAGATATAAATGATATTCTACAAAAATGTAATTTTTGGAGTAAAATTGATATTTTATACTTATCCTGACTCATGCTCTTTTGCAAGAAGAAGAAGACAAGCAAAAGAGCATGAGTCAGGATAAGGAAAAATAAAACAATATATTATTTCCCTCATACATAAGTATTACTTAGATATATCAGATACTTTGCTGGCATTTCAGTACAATTTTATTAAGACATATTTCCAAGGTCAATAAGAAACGAATACACATGAATAAAAATTCTTCAGCTTTAAAACAGAAATCATGTCAGTAGGAAAGAAAATACTATCAGAAACAAATCGCCATGAAACAGAGAGAGAGAGACAGGGAGATAGGATGATATGTTATAGCAGAGTTGGGAAACCGTTCACTCTGGTCACAAACAACATATCTCATACTGAGTATTTATCACAAAATACGTCCAAATGTTTATGTAAAATTTGTTCTCTTTGACTGTATCAGAATATTTTGTAAGAATCGGAACCATGTGGTTCTCCACATGAAATGTTATTGTGACCTCAGTAAGACGATAGTGTTTGGTTGTAACCATGTCTAGCTTCTACTTACGCAGACCACCAGGATTATCCCCTGTCTTTGCACAACACCGATGGAAGCAACATTTGCACAAGGACCAAAAATGACTGACGGCTATGAATGGGGGAGGGAAGGGAGGGCGTGAGTGGTACTCGATGATCAGCTGGAAGCGCTGGAAGTACCAATATAGCTCAGTGTTGTCCTGGATTTGCTGGAAGGTGTAGCTGAAAACCACACCAACCATGTCATTGTCAAGATTTACAAAGAAAACATTATCCTGTTTCCCCAAGACCATGAATGTTCCAGCGACAAACTATCATTCCGAATTTTTGTCTTCATCTTAGTGGTTTATTTACCCAATACTGCTGAACCTACTTTCACTGAAGGTTGAAACATGGTCAAAGAAAAACAGGCATTTCATAAATTCATCAAAATTTTGGAGACTTTGTAAAATAGAGCTAAAAGCAGAAACATTCCAACTGAACATTCCTAAAATTAATTGCAATCCATCCCTGAGAACATCAAGACATGACAGAGGAAGAACATGGACAAAAACCACAGAACAAAACTTCCACAACAAACAACCTTGCTAAACATAGCACATCAACACCAAAGGGTAATAAGAAATCACCTAATCAGTACGGGAATAAACAACACTTGGATATCAAACAAGCTACTGGACAGTAGGGAATAAACAACACTTGGATACTAAACTAACTCCTGAACAGTAGGGAATAAACAACACTTGGATACTAAACTAGCTCCTGAACAGTAGGGAATAAACACCACTTGGATATCCAACAAGCTACTGGACAGTAGAAGACAGGGTGTGTGTTTGAGGACCAGAAGACATGGTGTGTATGTATGTGTGTGTTTGTGGACTAGAAGACAGGGTGTGTGTATATGGACTAGAAGACAGTGTGTGTGTGTGTGTGCGTGCGTGCGTGCGCGTTGCGTGCGTGCGTGCGTCGTGCGTGCGTGCGCGTGTGTGTGAGGGGACTAAAAGACAGGGTGGGTGTGTTGACTAGAAGACAGGGTGTGAGTATGTGTGGACTAGAAGAAAGGGTGTGTGTATGCGTGTGGACTAGAAGACAGGGTCTGTGTGTGTGTGTGTGTGTGTGTGTGTGTGTGTGTGTGTGTGTGTGTGTGTGTGTGTGTGTGTGTGTGTGTGTGTGTGTGAGGGGACTAAAAGACAGGGTGGGTGTGTTGACTAGAAGACAGGGTGTGAGTATGTGTGGACTAGAAGAAAGGGTGTGTGTATGCGGTGGACTAGAAGACAGGGTCTCTGTGTGTGTGTGTGTGTGTGTGTGTGTGTGTGTGTGTGTGTGTGTGTGTGTGTGTGTGTGTGTGGACTAGAAGACAGGGTGTGTGGACTAGAAGACTGTGTGTGTGGACTAGAAGACAGTGTGTGGTGGGGGGACCAAAAGATTATTTGTGTGTGTGTGTGTGTGTGTGTGAGTGAGTGAGTGAGTTTAGTTTTACGCCGCACTCAGCAATATTCCAGCTATATGGCGGCGGTCTGTAAATAATCGAGCCTGGACCAGACAATCCAGTGATCAACAGCATGAGCATCGATCTGCGCAATTGGGAACCGATGACATGTGTCAACCAAGTCAGCGAAACTGACCACCCGATCCCGTTAGTCGCCTCTTACGACAAGATAGTCGCCTTTTTATGACAAGCACATGGGTTGCTGAAGACCTATTCTACCCCGGTGTGTGTGTGTGAGTGAGTGAGTGAATGAGAGAGGACCAAAAGACAAGGTGTGTGTGGAGTGAGTTTAGATTTACGCCGCACTCAGCAATATTCCAGCTATATGGCGGTGGTCTGTAAATAATTGAGTCTGGACCAGACAATCCAGTGATCAACAGCATGAGCATCGATCTGCGCAATTGGGAACCGATGACAACCAAGCCAGCGAGCCTGACCACCCAATCCCGTTGGTTGCCTCTTATGACAAGCATGGGTTACTGAAGGTTCATTCTAACCTGGACCTTCACGGCTCATGTGTGTGTGGTTTATAAGTCAGGGTGTGTGTGTGAGGACTAGAAGAGAGAGTGTGTGTGTGTGTGTGCCTGCATGCGCGGACTAGGATACAAGGTGTGTGTGTGAGGACCAAAAGACAGGGTGTGTGTGTGTGTGTGTGGACTAGAGTGAGTGAGTGAGTATGGTTTTTCCGCGGCTTTTTAGCAATATTCCAGCAATATCACGGCGGGGGACAACACCTGAAATGGGCTTCACACATTGTACCCATGTGGGGAATCGAACCTGGGCCTTCGGCATGACGAGCAAACGCTTTAATCACTAGGCTACCCCACTGCCCCGTGTGGACTAGAAGACAGGGTGTGTGTGTATGTGTGTGTGGACTAGAAGACAGGGTTTGTGTGTGTGTGGACTAGAAGACAAGGTGTGTATGTATGTGTGTGTGTGGACTAGAAGACAGGGCGTGTATGTATGTGTGTGTGTGGACTAGAAGACAGGGCGTGTATGTATGTGTGTGTGGACTTGAAGACAGTGTGTGTGTGAACCAGAAGACTGTGTGTGTGTGTGTGTGTGTGTGTTTTGACCAGAAGATAGGGTGTGTGTATGTGTGTGATGACTATAAGTGTGTGTGTGTGTGTGTGTGTGTGTGTGTGTGTGTGTGTGTGTGTGTGTGTGTGTGTGTGTGTGTGTGTGTGTGTGTGTGTGTGTGTGTGTGACGCTGCGTGCGCCAGAAGACAGGGGGTGTGTGTATGTGGACCAGAAGACTCTCTGTGTGTTTGGGGGGTGGGGTGGGGGGAAAAAGAGACAAAGATTACAGGGTGTCTGTATGTAGACCAGAAGACTCTGTGTGTGTGTGAGTTTGGACCAGAAAAGTCTCTGCGTGTGTGCGTGCGTGCATGTGTGTGCTAGAAGACAAGGTGAGAAGCGATCTGACAGTTGATTTGACGTGCACTGCTGCTGAATGAAGACTGTCATCAAGTTCAGGATTAATGTGTCTAGTCTGAAAGAGTCAACTTTAGAATGTAGAGTTAAACGGTGTGAGTTGGAACCAAACTTTGTTAAGTCAGCCACAGCATGCACAATACTAGACCTCAGAAAATGGGGTTAGGTTATTCCAGGCAAACAAAGAAATTGTCGAGGGTTATTCAAGGCTGACAAAGAAATTGTCATGGGTTATTCAAGCCTGACAAAGAATGGCAGTGAAGTATACACCGGGCATTCCAGGCACATCATGTCAACGCATTGGATTAATCACTTGGATATTCAAGCCAAACCATGTCGGTGTTGGAGGTTATACACAGGGATATTGCAGACAGATATATGTAAATATAGTGGGCTAGACACTGGGATATTCAAGCCAAACCATGTCGGTGTTGGAGGTTATACACAGGGATATTGCAGACAGATATATGTAAACATAGTGGGCTAGACACTGGGATATTCAAGCCAAACCATGTCCGTGTTGGAGGTTATACACAGGGATATTGCAGACAGATTTGTAAATACACTGGCATCCAAGGCAGTCTACCTGAATATAGGTGGCTAGACACAGGCATATTCAAGGGAGTCTAGGTAAACATAATGGGTATTACACTGAGATATCCAAGTCAGTCTAGCTCAATATAGGTGGCCAGACACAGGCATATTCAAGGCAGTCTATCTGAATATAGGGGGCTAGACACTGGCATATTCAAGGCTGTCTACCTAAATATATAGGTGGCTAGACACAGGCATATTCAAGGCAGTCTATCTGAATATAGGGGGCTAGACACTGGCATATTCAAGGCAGTCTACCTGAATATAGGTGGCTAGACACAGGCATATTCAAGGGAGTGTAGGTAAACATACCGTATATGACCGTCCATAAGACGACCCCATGGATAAGACGACCCCCAAACTTGACCCTTAAAATCAGTGTCAAAATGGTATGTTTCGTGCATAAGTCGATCCCCCACGATGGGGTCCTAATCGCGGCAAACACAGACACATTATTCAAAGATTTTACTGTCATATATATTGTGTCTACTCACGGATCGAAACGAAGTGTAGTTGACAGAAAATGCATAATATATTTTGCTTCTCTAAATATCATATTTATTGTAGCAACAAACTGGCTTGCTTATTTTACCCCATTCAACAATCACGAACTGATTACCGCCTCGTTTTCCATTGACTGCTAGTTTACAGTAACATCGGTAAAAATGTGTGAATTTAAATGGCTTCCTACCCCATTCCATGTGCTTACCACGTTCATGAGGGTCCGTATAACCTTAGTGTTGATTTTATATATTTTACATAAAAACTGTAAATAAAATTACACAATGCTAGGATATATTTCTTTGGGTTAATTAATAGTATTCTGTATTATATTTTACTGACGACTGCGTCAGAATTCATCCCGTTATATTATTGTGTATGTTTGAACTTGTTCGCCGGGAAACGTGTGCACAGCTGATTGCTATTTCCGGCTCAAACACACACGGTAATCTTAATTAATTTATAGAGCAAAAACTGTAACTAAAATTACACAATGCTAGGATATATTTCTTTGGGTTAAATAATGGTATTCTGTATTATACTTTAATGATGACTGCGTCAGAATTCGTCACATTATATTATTGTGCATGTTTGCCGGGAAACGTGTGCACAGCTGATTGCTATATCGGCTTTGTGTACGAGACAAATACGCACGGTAATCTTAATCCCTGCAAATAATACAATGCCCAGCAAAAACAACTTATAACTTAAAAGGTAAATAATCTTGTCTAGTGATGTTTAATTGCAAATTTGACGTCTCTACTGACAAAGTCGTCTTCTGTTGTTTGTTCACGCGAAGTGATACGATGTTGTTTTCTTACCCCTGGAAAACATTTGACGAAAGCGTAACCCATGGATAAGACGACCCCCTTCTACAGACTGCTTTTTTTGGTCCTCAAAATTCGGCTTATAGACGGTCATATACGGTAATGGGTATTACACTGAGATATCCAAGTCAGTCTAGCTGAATATAGGTGGCTAGACACAGGCATATTCAAGGCAGTCTAATTGAATATAGGGGGCTAGACACAAGCATATTCAAGGCAGTCTATCTGAATATAGGTGGCTAGACACAAGCATATTCAAGGCAGTCTAGCTGAATATAGGGGGCTAGACACAGGCATATTCAAGGCAGTCTACCTGAATATAGGTGGCTAGACAATGGCATATTCAAGGCAGTCTAGCTGAATATAGGGGGCTAGACACAGGCATATTCAAGGCAGTCTACCTGAATATAGGGGGCTAGACACAAGCATATTCAAGGCAGTCTAGCTGAATATAGGGGGCTAGACACAAGCATATTCAAGGCAGTCTAGGTAAATTTAGTGGCTAGACACTGGCATAATCAAGGCAGTCTATCTGAATATAGAGGGCTAGACACAGGCATATTCAAGGCATTGTACCTGAATATAGTTGGCTAGACACAAACATATTCATAGCAGTCTAGGTAAATTTAGTGGCTAGACACTGGCATAATCAAGGCAGTCTATCTGAATATAGGGGGCCAGACACAGGAATATTCAAGGCAGTCTAGCTGAATATAGGTGGCTAGACACTGGCACATTCAAGGCAGTCTAGCTGAATAAAGGGGGCTAGACAATGGCATATTCAAGGCAGTCTACCTCAATATAGGTGGCTAGACACTGGCATATTCAAGGCAGTCTATCTGAATATAGGGGGCTAGACACAGGCATATTCAAGGCAGTGTACCTGAATATAGGGGGCTAGACACAAGCATATTCAAGGCAGTCAAGGTAAATTTAGTGGCTAGACACTGGCATAATCAAAGCAGTCTAGCTGAATATAGGTGGCTAGACAATGGCATATTCAAGGCAGTCTAGCTGAATATAGGGGGCTAGACACAGGCATATTCAAGGCAGTGTACCTGAATATAGTTGGCTAGACACAAGCATATTCATAGCAGTCTAGGTAAATTTAGTGGCTAGACACTGGCATAATCAAGGCAGTCTACCTGAATATAGTGGGCTAGACACAGGAATATTCAAGGCAGTCTAGCTGAATATAGGTGGCTAGACACTGGCACATTCAAGGCAGTCTAGCTGAATAAAGGGGGCTAGACAATGGCATATTCAAGGCAGTCTAGCTGAATATAGGGGGCTAGACACAAGCATATTCAAGGCAGTCTAGGTAAACATAATGGGTATTACATTGAGATATCAAAGTCAGTCTAGCTCAATATAGGGGGCTTGACACAGGCATATTCAAGGCAGTCTAGATAAACATAATGGGTATTACACTGAGATATCCAAGTCAGTCTAGCTCAATATAGGGGGCTAGACACAGGCATATTCAAGGCAGTCTACCTGAATATAGGTGGCTAGACACAAGCATATTCAAGGCAGTCTAGCTCAATATAGGTGGCTAGACACTGGCATATTCAAGGCAGTCTAGCTGAATATAGGGGGCTAGACAATGGCATATTTAAGGCAGTCTACCTGAATATAGGCGGCTAGACACAGGCATATTCAAGGCAGTCTACCTGAATATAGTTGGCTAGACACAAGCATATTCAAGGCAGTATAGCTGAATATAGGGGGCTAGACACAAGCATATTCAAGGCAGTATAGGTAAATTTAGTGGCTAGACACAAGCATATTCAAGGCAGTCTAGCTGAATATAGGGGGCTAGACACAGGTATATTCAAGGCAGTCCAGCTGAATATAAGGGCTAGACACAGGTATATTCAAGGCAGTCCAGGTAAATTTAGTGGCTAGACACTGGCATATTCAAGGCAGTAAAGCTGAATATAGGGGATAAACACAGGGATATTCAAACCAAACAAGGTGATTGCAGAGGGTTACTTACAAGGATATAGAAGCCAGACTAGCTACACATAGTTGATTATACACAGGGATATCCAAGTTAGACTATGTGAATGTGATTGTAGAGGGTTATTCACAAGCCTGATAAGCCTGATAAGCCTCACAAGATTATTGTAGTGGGTTATAAAACAGGGATATTCTAAGCACTCAAAGTCATTGTAGAAAGAAACAGACAGGTTGCAGAAGCCAGGTATGTGAAGTGCAGGCTAAAACTTCTACAGGTAAGTGAACAAGAATAGACATGCATTTCACAGCAGGCAAAACAAACTGATCCCCTGAAATGAAACACTAAAGTCACGCTCAGGTTACCTCAAGTTCCACAGCAGAAGCAGAAGCAAGTTAGGACCAATTTGGACCAATTTGTATCAAATAGTGTACGTCTAAGGAAAAGTAGAAGCGTTACTCTTGTCTTAGTGCTAAAACCTTCGAATGTTAGTGACACATGACAAGCAGGGGATACAGCAGCAGCAGTTGCAGCTGCAGGGGGAGAATAATGCTCAAGCCCATAGAGGTGGAGGAAGAGAGTACATGCACATGCACATGCACAACATGCAACTTACAAAACCCTGAACTTTCTGTGCCAAGTTTGGAACAGCTGCAGTGCTTGAACCAGCGACAGAGGAGAATGAGGTGACTGATAATGATAAATGGTGGTGGAAGGTTGGGTCGAAGACAGTATTCCATGACAACCTGCAGCCGACTGAACTTCCAGATGCTATCAGTATTCTGCTGCATCATCTCAAACACATAGCTGAAACATAGCAGCACCTAGGTCAAATGTTGAAACATGGCTGAAACATAGCAGCACCTGGGTCAAATGTTGAAACATGGCTGAAAAACAGCAGCACTAAAGTCGATTGATGAATTATTGCTGAAACATAGCACCACCAAGTCAAACGATGAACTATCGCTGAAATATAGCAGCACCTGAATCACCTGATCCTGAATGTACCTCCAGCAGCTTCCACGGTGCAACTTTAAAACAGCTAATAAATCACCCAAAATACATGAAACTTGGAGCCCTACACTTCCATACAACATTTCATATGAACAACGAACCAGCAACACCACTGCAGATCAACAACGACTTGCTCCTAAAAACTGAAAGTTCGAAAGTCTCAGTATTTAGCCTGAACCATTTGCATTTCTAAACATCCTCTGAAAGAGAAACAATCACAATTTATATTGCACTAATGATGTTTGCCTTCTATATATCTTTTATGTGTACCGTAATATATATCGATATTCAGAGAGTAAATCACTTCAGAAGTGTATAACAAATTGTGTACCAAGAATATGTACCACAGCTTGGAGGTAAATAAGTTTCTGAGCTGCTTTCTATCAATTTGCACTTGTTCTAATTCTTTCTCAAGGCAGGTGAAAATGTGTCAGTAAGATGAGATTGTTGTAGCAGTATGATGAAGGGATTCTGTGTTGTTATTCATCCCACTTTAGGTCTTTTACTTGTCATCTCTTGCTCATGGTATAGAAACCTAAAGCTTGACACATAAAACCACACATGACCTTTGTGATATTGCTGTAACTTATAACACAATATATATTAGCAAGATCATGTGAACAAATTAGACCATAACATTCTGATGCAAAGGTGAAATATTATTTGTAACATTAATAATTGTCCTGTTGATGTTCAGTGTAAGATGTCTTTCTACCTGAACATGGCGATGAGGAGGTTGAGGAGGAGGACGTTGGTCAGGAGGATGTAGATACCCATCAAAATTGGCACCAGGAACTTGCCCTGGTTGGTTGGGCATCGATCAGCCTGATCATTCAAGTAAAGGGCTGGGTCATCACTACAAGCTGGCTCAGCTGTCCCTGTGATACAACAATTAGTTTTAAACATTTTCAACTGTCAACCCCTTGTCAGCTTGCCCCACTGTCAACCCCTTGTCAGTCTGCCCCCCTGTGTACCCTTGTCTGCTTGCCCCACTGTCAGCTTGTCCCACTGTCAACCCCTTGTCAGCTTGCCCCACTGTCAATCAGCCCTTTGTGTCAACCTTGGTAGTTTGGCCCACTGTCAACCTTTTGTAAGCTTGCCCACTGTCAATCAGCCCTTGTCTGCTTGCCCCACTGTCAATCGAACCTTGTCAGCTTGCCCCACTATCAACCCTTTGTAAGCTTGCCCCACTGTCAATAAACCCCTTGTAAGCTTGCCCCACTGTCAATCCCCTTGTCAGCTTGCCCCACTGTCAATCAGCCCTTTGTAAGCTTGCCCCACTGTAAATCAGCCCCTTGTCTGCTTGCCCCACTGTCAATCAGTCCCTTGTCAGCTTGGCCCACTATCAACCTTTTGTAAGCTTGCCCCACTGTCAATCAACCCCCTTGTCTGCTTGCCCCACGGTCAATCAACCCCTTGTCAGCTTGCCCCACTGTCAATCCCTTGTCAGCTTGCCCCACTGTCAATCAACCCCTTGTCAGCTTGCCCCACTGTCAACCCCTTGTTAGTTTGCACCACTGTCAACCCTTTGTCTGCTTGCCCCACTGACAATCAGCCCCTTGTAAGCTTGCCCCACTGTCAACCCCTTGTCAGCTTGCCCCACGGTCAACCCCTTGTCAGCTTGCCCCACTGTCAATCAACCCCTTGTAAGCTTGCCCCACTGTCAATCAACCCCTTGTAAGCTTGCCCCACTGTCAATCAACCCCTTGTAAGCTTGCCCCACTATCAACCCCTTGTCAGCTTGCCCCACGGTCAATCATCCTTTTGTAAGCTTGCCCCACTGTCAATCAACCCCTTGTCAGCTTGCCCCACTGTCAATCAATCCCTTGTCAGCTTGCCCCACTGTCAATAAACCCCTTGTAAGATTGCCCCACTGTCAATCAACCCCTTGTCAGCTTGCCCCACTGTCAATCAACCCCAGTGACTGAAAACATCATCGTCAGGATGCCATGTCACAGGGTCTGACCACCCACACCAATTAAGTGGCTTCTTACATCAAGAAGTGTTGGGCCCCAAGAATTTGGAGAAAATGACCAATGGCTTGTAGACCAGACTTTACAGCAGATAAAGCAGATGATTAAAATGGATATCCACAGATAGGAGTTTGCATCACTGCAGTCCAGACAATATCTGTTAAACACCATTCCCTCTCCAATATACTGACAAGTACCTTCAATTTCCTCCAGGAATAGCTCTCCGTAGATGGTCCAGTATGCTTTCCGGGGCAGACGGTACATAAGTTCCCACGTCAACTCCTGGTTAGGGTACAAGATGGCCTCTGATGCTATGGCATACGACACAATGAACACCATCAAGATCACAACAAATGACATCAGGTCATCAATCTGGAATGGACAACATGGAATCGATATTGGCAGGATGTAGATGAAAACAGTTTCTTGACAAATACTGTCATCTGTGATTGATCAGAAGGGAAGACTCAATGCCATTGTTAATGTCAAGTTGTTGCAGACTGACTCAGTACATAGGCAGCAGCAAATCCCTCAGTGAGCCTCTCACTGGCACCTACCATTCTCCTGATCATGACAAGTTTGGGCCCCAGTTGTTTGTTCACAGAGAAGATGTGCAGGATGCGGAAGAAGAAGGAAATGAGGTTGATGCTGAGGACAACCCGAGCTGCATTAAAGCACTCATCATTGGGGATGAAGCGCAGGATCATGCCGGTGGTGAAGAGGACGATGGTGATGATGTCCAAGATGTTCCATGAGTCGGTGAAGTAGCTGTACAGCTTGGACTTGATGGACGTAGCGTTGTTGGCAACAATCTGCAGCACAAGCAGTCTCATGACAGGACAACTACTGAAGACAGTAGAGCTCAGAATAAAACAGTGCAATTTCCTTTTGATCAATGCAATCATCTATGGCCAACCAGTTTATATTTAAGTTCTTATTCCACTTGACCCGTGGAGATCCAGGTTAGAATTGGTCTTCAGCAATACATGCTGAATTTGGAATAATGCTGACAGTAACATCAAACAACACTAATTCACTGTAACTATGAACCTCCATCTTGGGAGGCAAATAAGGGTGTGCAACTCAAGAACATCCTCCTACCCCTATCCCAACCCTGAAAGTTGTACTTAACTTACCTGCCGGCACTCTTCCACCATGATGGTGAATACCCAGAATATGAGAACTCCTTCCAAAACCGAGAAGGCTTTGTTAAAACTGATGAGTAGGATGTAGCTGTAGATTGCCAGGAACACCAGATAGGACACCTGAAAAACATTGTACAAAGTCAGAAACAAGAGATAGGACTGGAACAACACTCTATAGGTAAGGAACAACAGATAGGACATCTGGAACAACAGATAGGACACCTGGAACAACACTGTATAGGTAAGGAACAACAGATAGGACACCTGGAACAACATTGTGTAGGTCAGAAACAACATATAGGACACCTGGAACAACATTGCATAGGTCAGGAATGACAAATAGGACTGGAACAACATTGTCTAGGTCAGGAACAACAGATAGAACTGGAACAACACTGTATAGGTAAGGAACAACAGATAGGACATCTGGAACAACATTGTCTAGGTCAGGAATGACAGATAGGACTGGAACAACATTGTCTAGGTCAGAAACAACAGATAGGACTGGAAACAACATTGTGCAGGTCAGGAACAACAGATAGTACTGAAACAACATTGTATAGATCAGAAACAACAGATAGGACACCTGGAACAACATTGCATAGGTCAGGAACGACAAATAGGACTGGAACAACATTGCGTAGGTCAGGAACAACAGATAGGACTGAAACAACATTGTATAGGTCAGGAACGACAGATAGGACTGAAACAACATTGCATAGTTAAAGGTCACATGCAACATAAAACACAACTTTGCAGATTCTGATACCTTATGGACTTACGAAACAAATCATCAAAATGCAAATTCAACTTATAAAGTTGAAAAATAACGCGATGAAAAAAAACGCGCGAAATCGGAGTTCAAACGATTCACTAATTTTCCCCAGACTTTTCGGGGGAAAACTGGTTTCAACAGCTGGGATGCGCTCATAGCACATGCCCAGTGAAATAGGTTCGCGCAACTTGGAAGCGGGCTGTCCGGTGAATACTCGGTGAAGGCTTTGGTGTGAGCTATTTTCCTAATGTTTTGTTGATATCTCACAGGCGCGAACTTTTTATATGTTATGACAGTATATAAACTGTTTATATAATTTCATTTGTCTATTTCACCACACGTTCTTCTTACCGTGTCACTTTCTCAGTTCGATACTTAAAAGCAATGTCAATATTTAGCGTTGACAGAATTTCTAACTGTGATATAGATATGTCGTTGTCACAGACAAAACTCAATGTCTTGTTTAAATGACACCTGTGTGTCTGCCTGCCTGTCTGCTAATGACAATATTCAATACACAACTGCGATCACTGACCACATGCAATTTGAACTTAACACCAATCAGGCTATACACCATAAACAAAATGCATTGATTTATGGCCCGAGTTCGGTCTCTGTCACATTATGTAATTACACAGACAGGCAGGTGTGATACTTGAACACATGACATGTTATGATGTCTGTTGATTGCAAATGTTATACACAAAAAATGAGCATGTATTTACAAAACCCAACATCTCTATATATACACACACAATGAGCCGTGAGGGCATCTGCAAATGAACCAGCCGTTACACTTGAGTGCACACCCACCCGCTCTGACTGGGTTCGGTATCCCGGCTGCTTCGTTTCTTGGGAAGTAAACCCAAGTACACAATATTGCACTTTTGATTTGCGATTGTACGCTAATAATTTTGTTTATATGTTTTTTCATAACCAGCAATGTATATTATATGTCATGAATAAGTGATAATTGTGTTTTAATTATGTTTGATTTTTTGGTTGCATGTGACCTTTAAGGAACAACAGATGGGACTGAAACAACATTGTATAGGTCAGGAATGACAGATAGGACTGAAACAACATAGCATAGTTAAGGAACAACAGATAGGACTGAAACAACATTGTATAGGTCAGGAATGACAAAGGGCTGAAACAACATAGCATAGTTAAGGAACAACAGATGGGACTGAAACAACATTGTATAGGTCAGGAATGACAAAGGGCTGAAACAACATAGCATAGTTAAGGAACAACAGATGGGACTGAAACAACATTGTATAGGTCAGGAACGACAGATAGGACTGGAACAACTTTGTGTAGGTCAGAAACAACAGATAGGACTGGAACAACATTGTGTTGGTCAAGAACAACAGGTATGAAATAGAATCTCATCAAAATTGTGGGTCAAACACTGTTGATATTGGGTGACGTTCCATCAGTATTCACATCCAAACTGCACCTTTGCTTTACCCACTGAAGTACATCATCAGCCTTGTTAATGAATTCATTTTCAAATCAACAAAACCTTCTTCAAAAACAATCATGGCATCTCAACACATGTGGGTGTATATTTTACAGCATGATTTATAATCTATGATGGTTCTGTAAACACGTCCCTTGTTGTCAACTTACCACATTGAGGCTGAAGATGATGACAGGTGCTGTGTAGAACAGAAACAGCTTCCTGAAAGGGTTGATCCTTCTTCCCCTGTGTTTGGGTTCTTCACTGAAACGAGTAATACATCGTATGATTTGAGAAATGGAACATTGAGCTAGGACTCAATAGACAGAGAGCTATAGCTTGGCATAAACAAGGCTGAAAAGTTGTTATATACTCAACAGACAGAGCTATAGCTTGGCATAAACAAAGCTACAAGTTGTTATATACTCAACAGACAGAGATATAGCTTGGCATAAACAAAGCTACAACAAGTTGTTATATGCTCAACAGACAGAGGTATAGCTTGGCATAAACAAAGCTACAACAAGTTGTTATATGCTCAACAGACAGAGGTATAGCTTGGCATAAACAAAGCTACAACAAGTTGTTATATACTCAACAGACAGAGATATAGCTTGGCATAAACAAAGCTACAACAAGTTGTTATATGCTCAACAGACAGAGGTATAGCTTGGCATAAAATAGGCTGCAACAAGTTGTTATATACTTAACAGACAGAGCTATAGCTTGGCTACTAATGGCTACTCACTGCTGGCTACCACTACTAGCTACTCACTGATGGCTACTACTACTACTGGCTACTCAATGCTGGCTACCACTATTGGCTACTCACTGCTGGCTACCACTACTAGCTACTCACTGATGGCTACTACTACTGGCTACTCACTGATGGCTACTACTACTACTGGCTACTCACGGATGGCTACTACTACTACTGGCTACTCACTGATGCCTACTACTACTACTGGCTACTCACTGATGCCTACTACTACTACTAGCTACTCACTGATGCCTACTACTACTACTGGCTACTTACTGCTGGCTACTCAGTACTGGCTACTCACTGATGGCCACCACTACTGGCTACTCAATGCTGGCTACCACTATTGGCTACCACTACTAGCTACTCACTGATGGCTACTACTACTACTGGCTACTCACTGATGGCTACTACCACTACTGGCTACTCACTGATGGCTACTACCACTACTGGCTACTCACTGATGGCTACTGGCTACTCACTGATGGCTACTACTACTGGCTACTCAATGATGGCTACCACTATACTGGCTACTCACTGATGGCTGGCTACCACACTGGCTACTCAGATGGCTACTCACTGGCTACTCACTGATGGCTACTACTACCACTACTGGCTACTCACTGATGGCTACTACCATTACTCACTGGCTGGCCACTCACTGATGGCTACTACTATGGCTACTACTGGCTACTATCACCACTGGCTACTCACCCATGATGGTTACTACTACTGGTTACTCAATGATGGCTACCACCACTCACTGGCTACCACTACTCAATGCTGGCTACCACTCACCGTTTGGCTACCACTACTAGCTACTCACTGATGGCTACTACTACTACTGGCTACTCACTGATGGTTACTACCACTACTGGCTACTCACTGATGGATACTACCACTAATGGCTACTCACTGATGGCTACTCTACTACTACTGATGGCTACTCACTGATGGCTACTCACTGATGGCTACCACTACTTCTGGCTACTCACTGATGGCTACCACTACCACTGGCTGCTCAGTGATGGCTACCACTACTGGCTACTCACTGCTGGCTACTTACTACTGGCTACTCACTGATGGCTACTACTACTGCTGGCTACTCACTGATGGCTACCACTACTGGCTACTCACTGATGGCTACCACTACTGGCTACACACTGATGGCTGCTTCTACTGGCTACTCACTGATGGTTACTTCTACTGGCTACTCACTGATGGCTATCACTACTGGCTACTCACTGATGGCTACCACTACTGGCTACTCACTGCTGGCTACTAATACTACTGGCTACTCACTGCTGGCTACCACTATTGGCTACCACTACTCTCTACTCACTGATGGCTACTACTACTACTACTGGCTACTCACTGCTGGCTACCACTTTTGGCTACTCACTGCTGGCTACCACTACTAGCTACTCACTGATGGCTACTTCTACTGGCTACTCACTGATGGCTACTAATACTACTGGCTACTCACTGCTGGCTACTACTACTGCTGGCTACTACTGCTGGCTACTCACTGCTGGCTACCACTTTTGGCTACTCACTGCTGGCTACCACTACTAGCTACTCACTGATGGCTACTTCTACTACTGGCTACTCACTGATGGCTACTAATACTACTGGCTACTCACTGATGGCTACTACTACTGCTGGCTACCACTGCTGTCTACTCACTGATGGCTACTTCTACTTCTGGCTACTCACTGATGGCTACTACTACCACTGGCTACTCACTGATGGCTACTACTACTACTGGCTACCCATTGATGGCTACCACTACTGGCTACTCACTGGTGGCTACCACTATTGGCTACTCACTGATGGCTACCACCATTGGCTACTCACTGATGGCTACCACTACTGGCTACTCACTGATGGCTACCACTACTGGCTACTCACTGATGGCTACCACTAATGGCTACTCAATGATGGCTACCTCTAATGGCTACTCAATGATGGCTACCACTAATGGCTACTCAGTGATGGCTACTACTACTACTGGCTACTCACTTCTGCTCCTTCATGTCCAGCCGTGTAGGAGTTCGCTGCAACATTGTGTTCTCACGGCTCAGTGATGGCTGGTCCTATGACAGACAAGTTACAGCTGATACACAGGCATCAGCAGCGTCAATTTATGCTGGTCCTGTGGTCTCTGTCTAGTAAAAATTCATCAGGACCACTAAAGTTTGCAGTGGTCCTGGTGGCCAGTGAATTTTGTATTGATAGTTAAGTAAATCTACGAATGTTATTTTGGACCAGTGAAGTACAGACAGGACCACTAATTATTGTCCACTCCTGTGGTCTTGTGGGAAAGTTTTTTTTCCCTGCTGTGCTACCCTCATCATGTTAGTGATTGTGCTACCTTCCTTATGAGACCCACCGTTACTGCTGGCTTCTTTCCATCTGACTGTGATGAAATGAGAGCCTCAAACTTGGCCTTCTCCTCTTCCCGGAACCGGATGAGGAACCAGATGAGAGGAAAGATGAACAAGCTGGACACAAGCTGCAAACAGAACAATACTGGACAATGCAGTGCCATTCTTGAAGATTAAGTACCAATGAAAGCCCAATATAGCAAATATCGAAGCTGCATATTGATGGTCTGTAAATAATCACGTCTAGACCAGACAATTAAGTGCCTGATATCAGCATCAATGGATGTAATGGGGAAATGATCACAGGCATCAACCAAATCAGAGATTCTGTTAGTCAACTCTTATGACAAGCATTGCCAGCTAAAGACAAATTGCATCTTCACGTGGTTAGACTCAATGATGTCTGATGAATGCCAAGTATTGTTACAGGTGCTTGTACTTTTGACAACTATCTTCACATGTCCACATACCAGTATCTTCCCAGTGTCCATTGACATCTTGCCCATCCAGATACTGTTGAGAAGAGACTGGCATGCAGTCTGAGACACAAACTTCTTGTTGTCTGCCTCCACTGCGATGAGGACAGTAGTGGCCCTGCCCCAGTTCTCCAGCTCCCTGATCAGCAGGTCCTGAGCCTTCTGCTCATCAGAGTTGTAGCAGCTGTTGAGGACTCCCACTGCCAGGTCTTCAAATTCACTAAAAGCACAGGACAGGTGGCACATAGAAGACTTAAACTGCTAGGTCGTCGCAGTAGCTGGGGACACAGGTAAGGAGAAGAGAGGTCCCCCAGCTCACTGAGGACAAAGGCAGGGTCAGAAAAACATGACTGAGTTCAGTTTTACGCCGCTTTTAGCAATATTCCAGCAACATCACGGCGGGGGAAACCAGAAATGGGCTGCACAATGTAGCCATGTGGGCATTCGACAGAAAAACATGAAGCACACAGGGTAGTAAGGGAGACAAGGACAGGAGTGACATCCTCATGCTCACTGGCGATACAGCTCAGAAAGGGAGAGGTCTTCCAAGTCACTTTGGGCAATGGACACAAGTGCAGGAAGGAACAGTTTCTAAAACTCAATAAAACACACGAGCCAGCGAGAATGGTTTTAAACCGCTTTTAGCAATATTCCAGTAATATCATTGCAGGGGACACCAGAAATGGGCTTCACACATTGTACCAGTGTGGGTAATCAAACCCGGGTCTTCAGCATGACAAGCGGATGCTTTAACCATCTGCAGGCTACCCCACTGCCCATACTGGGGATAGAGGTGAGGTGAAATTGGGTTTAACGTCGTGCTTGAGAATATTTCGCTCATATGACAAACTGGGGATAGAGGGCAGATTGAAGGGCATTTAAGATTTCTAACTGCTAGTTTGCCTGACACTTCACATTGATATACAGGCGTGTTGTAGATAAACTTAAGGGTTCTACCGGAACATGGACTGACTCACTTTGCATTTGATTCCAATGTCTTCATCAGCTCTGCATCATCTGTACACTTACGCAGAGCCTTGAGAATGCTGTTGGCAACCAGAGCTGCAGCGGTTTGCTCCTGAAACAAAGGATATCTTCTCAATGCTTGGGGACTTACACTCTCACAAAGGGTAAGCATTATGTTATATTTCCCAGACTGTGTAAGAATTACGTTCCTCTGCCTGTGTGAGATTTGCATTCCCCAGTCTCTGGGAGACTTATGTTTCCCAAGCCTGTGTGAGACATACGTTCCCCAGCCTGTATAAGACTTACTCCCCAGCCTGTGTAAGAGTTACGGTCCCCAGCCTGTGTAAGACTTACGTTCCCCAGCCTGTATAAGACTTACGTTCCCCAGCCTGTGTAAGACTTACGTTCCCCAGCCTGTATAAGACTTACGTTCCCCAGCCTGTGTAAGAGTTATGGTCCCCAGCCTGTGTAAGACTTACGGTCCCCAGCCTGTGTAAGACTTACGTTCCCCAGCCTGTGTAAGACTTACGGTCCCCAGCCTGTGTAAGACTTACGTTCCCCAGCCTGTGTAAGAGTTACGGTCCCCAGCCTGTGTAAGAATTACGGTCCCCAGCCTGTGTAAGACTTACATTCCCCAGCCTGAGTAAGACTTATGGTCCCCAGCCTGTGTAAGACTTACGGTCCCCAGCCTGTGTAAGAATTACGTTCCCCAGCCTGTGTAAGACTTACGTTCCCCAGCCTGTATAAGACTTACGGTCCCCAGCCTGTGTAAGACATACGTTCCCCAGCCTGTATAAGACTTACGTTCCCAGCCTGTGTAAGACTTACGGTCCCCAGCCTGTGTAAGACTTATGTTCCCCAGCCTGTGTAAGAGTTACGGTCCCCAGCCTGTGTAAGACTTACGTTCCCCAGCCTGTGTAAGAGTTACGGTTCCCAGCCTGTGTAAGACTTACGTTCCCCAGCCTGTGTAAGACTTACGTTCCCCAGCCTGTGTAAGAGCCTGTGTAATGGTCCCCAGCCTGTGTAAGACTTACGTTCCCCAGCCTGTGTAAGAATTACGGTTCCCAGCCTGTATAAGACTTACGTTCCCCAGCCTGTATAAGACTTACGGTCCCCAGCCTGTGTAAGACATATGTTCCCCAGCCTGTGTAAGAGTTACGTTCCCCAGCCTGTGTAAGACATACGTTCCCCAGCCTGTGTAAGACATACGTTCCCCAGCCTGTATAAGACTTACGTCCCCAGCCTGTGTAAGAGTTACATTCCCCAGCCTGTATAAGACTTACGTTACCCAACTTGCATGAGACTTACAGTTCCTGCAGTTGTGACTAAATCCTCCCCACACCAGCACCTTTGTAGACTTCCTTCCTTCATCCTGTATGAGATTTACATTCTCGATCCTGCATGCAACTTATAACTCCTTCAAGTGAGTGACTTACATTCTCCAACTTTTGTGAAGATATTTGAGATATTTGCTACCTACAAACTTACGTGTGAAACTTCCACAATAATTGTGAAACTTATGCATCTTGCACATGTCAGACTTACATTCCCCTCCTTCCAAAAAAGGATTGCCATCTCCTGCCTGTTCATGAGGACAGACCAGATGAACAACTCTTGGATAGGACGATGTAACATCACATCACTACAGCCCTGTGGCACAGACCCAGCTCGAGCTCTGTAACATGGAACAAAGTACAGTTAATGAATCATCATTTGGTTCTCAAAAACAAAGAGATCTTGAGATCAAAACAATTAGGTTTGCAATGCATACTGCATATATGTTTATGTCTTTGGTCTTAAATTTACATACTGATCTCACAGTACCTCACAATTCAAAAACCTGTACTCTGTATCAAATCAGTGTAATTGTTGGCAAGCATGTACAGATACCTGGTGCACTGAGCAGCTGCTCCGTGTTGAGTTCCTTGTAGCGGCTGTCTGTCAGGTAGTACGGTTGGTAGTAGTCCCCGATCAGATCCTGCAGCAGATGTCCCACATCCCCCAGGCTGAACTTGTGTACCTACATACATGTGTCATTAGAGCTTCATTCATACATGTGTCATTACAGCCACACAGTTATACATATGTCATTACAGTCTCACAGTCATACATGTGAGTGAGTGAGTGAGTGAGTTTAGTCTTAGGCTGCACTCAGCAATATTCCAACTATATGGCGGCAGTCTGCAAATAATCAAGTCTGGACCAGACACTCCAGTGATCAACAGCATTAGCATCGATCTGCGCAGCTGGGAACCGATGACATGTGTCAACCAAGCCAACGAGACTGACCAGCCATACATGTGTCATTACAGCTTCAGTCATATACGTGTCATTACAGCTTCAGTCATATATGTGTCATTACAGCTTCAGTCATACATGTGTCATTACAGTCTCAGTCATACTTGTGTCAAAAAAGCCTCAGTCATACACGTGTCATTAGTCTCACAGTCATACATGTGTCATTAGTCTCACTGTCATACATGTGTCATTACAGTCTCACTGTCATACATGTGTCATTAGTCTCACAGTCATGCATCAGTCATTACAGTCTCAGTCATACATGTGTCATTACAGCCTCACAGTCATACATGTGCCATTACAGTCTCAGTCATACATGTGTCATTGCAGTATCACACTCATACATGTGTCATTACTGCCTCAGTCATACATGTGTCATTGCAGTGTCACAGTCATACATTTGTCATTACAGTCTCACAGTCCTACATGTGTCATTACTGCCTCAGTCATACATGTGTCATTGCAGTGTCACAGTCATACATGTGTCATTACAGTCTCACAGTCCTACATGTGTCATTACAGTCTCACAGTCATACATGTGTCATTACAGTCTCACATTCCTACATGTGTACCACACCACATTCAAACAAGAGTCATCAGAAGATGACATATTCCCCCGGCCCCCACATCTTTGAAAGAACAAATCATCTGACAGTTACTTAAAGTCCATCTTGATTTTAGACTAAGTGTGAATCGTTTCCATGGAAATCATGAAAAAAATAAATGACAAAAATCAGCAAATAGCAAAAGGCACCACTTCAAGATCTGTCTCACATATCTGCCAAGTCTTACTGAAAGACATTAAGAAGTTTTTGAGTTGTGCTCCGGAAACGAAACCTACCCCGCCCTTTTGAGACTAAGCCTGAATCGTTTCCATGGAAACCGAGAAAAATAAAAATGACAAAATTCTGCAAATAGCAAAAGGCACCACTTTGGGATCTGCCTCACATATCTGCTAAGTTTTGCTGAAAGATATTGAGAAGTTTTCGAGTTGTGCTCCGGAAACGAAGCCCACCCCTCACTTTTGGGACTAAGTCCGAACCGTTTCCATGGAAACCGGGAAAATTAAAATGCCAAAAATCTACAAATAGCAAAAGGCACCACTTAAGGTTCTGTTTGATAAATCTACCAAGTTTTGTTGAAATATATTGAACGGTTCTTGAGTTATACTCCGGAGGCAAAGCCCACCATCCTTTTGGGATTAAGTCCGAATCGTTTCCATGAAACTCAGGAAAAATGAATATGCCAAAATTCGGCCAAATAGCAAAAGGCACCACTTTGGCATCTGCCTCACATATCTGCCAAGTTTTGCTGAAAGATATTAAGAAGTTTTCGAGTTGTGCTCCGAATGAAACCCACCCCTCACTTTTGGGACTAAGTCCGAATCGTTTCCATGGAAACCAGGAAAAATAAAAATGCCAAAAATCTGCAAATAGCAAAAGGCACCACTTAAGGTTCTGTTTGATATATCTACCAAGTACTGTTGAAAAATATTGAGCGATTTTTTTAGTTATGCTCCGGAAACAAAATGATTACGGACGGACAAGGTGACGACTTTATCCCACCGCATTACATGTCAGTGGGATAAAACAATTTTGTTTCTAAAGGATGACAGGTAAAATGGCAACACAACCTCATCCTCTCATGACAGACATAGTCACATTGTATCCCATAGCCATAACCCAACCAACAGTCAAAAGATCACTGATGTATCCCTGCCATCAAGGAATCTCCATTGTGGGGTTACTCGATTCGCACAATACTAACCATTGCCTACTACCATCCCCACAGCTGCAGTAAGAAGCTGTCTGTGGAACACTCACCTCTGTTGATGCTCCATGGACCTTGGTCAGGAGTGTGTACAGCAGGCAGTTCCTGGGAATCTGAAACCATGAAATAACCATCTCATCATCTCTGTCAAACAGACATCAGATGTCCCACATAATGTCCCAAGGTTTCTTAAAGACAAGTACCTACAGTTGAAGAATATCACTTCAAGTGTTCCCACTATACACAGTCCTTCTGTATGTGAATCAGATGCCAAGAACAGATGGCCTGGTAAGTTATGGTATTATCTTCAGTTACACAAAGTTGAACGATAATTACCTGGAAATGGGATTCCCTAAGCCTTAGCCAAGCAGATGTCTGCGATCACATAGTTTGATATATTGAAATCTCTTTATCACAAACAATTATATTAGGTCAATACATGTTTTCATGGACCAAGCTATCAACATACACTTTGTCTTTGGTCAACATTGACCCTTCTTTATATATAAAATAGATGCATGAAGCATGTATAAAGTCTATTATTGTGTAATATTACCTGATTGTAGAGCCTCAGAAGCCTTGCTGGGGTGAGAAAATCCATCAGACTGACACCGTGGTCCAAGAATAAGTCAACAAAGTTCACACGGTTCAGCTCGATGGCTGTGAACATGACTTGGTCAAGCTGACCCATCTGGAAGTAGGCAATAGTGGTACTCGTTTAGTATTTCTACCAATCATCACTTTTCTAATTTAATGCCTTGATCAGATTTAAAAGAATGAGCTCAAAGTTTCTTTGCTTGTGGTACAGACCAACAGTACGTCTGACAAAAATAACTGCCTAAAGTTTCCCCCAAAGAAACAAAAAACAAATCTCATACAACTGAGAATTGACTCAAGCGTTGCAGAATTCTTCAGACATCTGAAATTCAGTTCCGTTTTCAATGGTATAGACAGTTGTTTACCTCCCATTCACGGTCTGTGAAGATTTCACTCTTGGCAACGTCTATCCTGTTCCATGACAGTGCTAGCCTCAACTGATCCATCACCTCGTGTCTATTAGCTGTGGACAGAAAATCACCAGGCCGTCGGACACACATCAATATGTGAATGTAACACTTGCCATTCATGTGATTACACCTCGCCAGTAGAAATCACCCATCACTTATCCATGCAGCTCCCAATACCAATGACCGATATCAGTTCACACTGACCTGTTAGATTTAAGCCAGTGATTGATAGTACGAGCAGCGGTATGACGTAGACAACCATGTCACCGAGCCAAGATACATGGAAGTCTGTTTGGCCATAGCCATACCCATAGGATGTAGAGTGATTGTCACATCTGATGGACCTTGTTAAATCAGTATTCCATACGTCAACATAAGAAGAGAAACTATTCTAGATGAATAGATAAGTAATGAAGCACTTATAAATGTTATAGTAATCTTTTACATGAGGACAGAAATCTAAATGATGGATGTGGACACGTATCTTACGGCAATGAAGACAAGTACACTGGGAACACACATGTGATAAATCAATACAGAGTTTACAATATTTATACCCCAAAAGCCACTATGTGCTGCACATACACCTGAAACATATTCAGTTACCTGGTAAGGTTTGGAGCATGATGAATGGACACTTGATAATGATATGCAACTAGTAACTGTAGGAGAGCTTATCATGTTAAACCACAGGGACACAGGAACACAGGAACACAGACAGTAGAGCATCCACCTACCTTTCAGGAGTGCCTTCAATATGGCCATGTCTACATCCTTGGTGGACATGCGAGAGTCCAGCTCATAGATTGTGATCAGGTCTTTCTTCTTGAGACAAGTTCGAACCCAGCCCACCCTGGTGGCTAGTTCCTTCTCCCCAAAGTCTTTTTTGATCATCTCAGTAATGTCTGCTTCCACAGCGTAGGTCAGCTCTGGCTGCATTCTGTAATGTTGATGGAAATGTCTGTTATAACCTTTATCCGAGTGAGTGAGGTATTATTCAGTAATAAGCAGACTTGCATGAATGGGGTTAAAATGGCTCTCACAGGCAATGTACTAGTGGTAGCTGCAACTCCGCCTTCATTAATCGTATGGCCGTAGATCACAAAGATGCAGTTTCAATGTCAAGGAATCACTGGTTGATCAGCTCAAACATTTCACCACATATTGATCATAATTCTACCATGACTTCAGTAAATACTGGATTGTGATTGGTTAATTAAAGTCATTCAGAAGTATAAAATCACGTTATATACGTCCGATTTTCCAACACAGTATGTGTTTTTTTAAAATCTCAAGAAGGTTATGGTAGAATAGAGATAAACATACACGTGATGTCCTACGCCGATTAGGCGAGGACACGAGTCAGGATCAGGGGTCAAACAACTGCCGAGCTAATAAGTAACTGCAAACTAATGATTCGAAGAAGCCCCACACCACCTACCCCCCCTTCTATTTGGAAGAGGGCTTTCCCGGGGCCCCGATGAAACCCAGAGAAATTATTAACCCCATAAAAACTTTCTGAGGAAATCGACAGAGTGCAAACGCCATTGTACGAGTGAAAAGAAGGATAAAACACCCCACCAAACGCTCTCGGTGCGAGGAGGGTTAGTGTAATCCCCCATCACCCCAAGTGCTGATTAACAAAGACTCCCAAATACAGAAGTGTCAAGAAGAGGGAAATGCTGTTAGCGTACAAATATCCCCAGAATAGCGAAAAGTGTAGCCGAATTAGTGTTGGCTCACTATGACACTTACCTGGTCCTGTGACATGTGGCTTGAAGAAAGGCATGCCAAACAGTGACCCATGGGGGGTTCGTACCCATTTCCATCGTAAGATACCCCCAAACCCAACCCGACCCAAAAGGGTGGTAAGGCTATACGATGTAGTGATATGAACCATACAGACATTGAACACAGAACCGATACCAATGACCAGTTACTTACTGGGTCAGGGTGGCAGGAGAACCTGAATGACCGAACCGAGCACGATCCTTAGAATGCGTGTCAAGTCGGTAATGGCGAATGAAGGTGCTCTGCCAGCTCCAAAGAGTGGCAGAACAGAACTCTTCATTGAGCAGTGCCGCTGCATATTACCATCAAAACGGCAGTTGCCTTCACCAAATGTGCCTTCAACCCCTCGGGGGAAGGTAATCCTTAGCACTGTAACCGAACAAATTACGGAAACACGCCAACGAGATAAAGTCTGCTTGCTGGCAGATTCCCCAGTCTTCCTGCCACCAAACAGCAGAACAGATGGGTACCCGTTCACTGCGACCATCCAACGGGTGAGCACTCGGAAGGATAGTGTTGGAAGTTTGATATGAGCTGTCACGTGGAAAGCAGTATCGATCTGAGAGTGGTAGGTATCCGGGATGCGAATACTGACATGATCAGGATGAAATACTGTCAGTGCCAGGTCAGTGAATATTGCATAGATGTCCCTGACCCTTTTACCAGAGATCACCACCAAAAGAAAAGCCATGTTCCACGTCAACAAGTGAAGTGAGAGAGATGATAGACTTGAAAAGTCAGGGCCAGACAGTCAATTGACAGCAAATGGTAATATTCAAGGTGGGCTGGGTCGTGGCCGAGGTGGTCGAACCCTGTTCATGCCAGCTACAAACCGCTGTACGAGAAGGTGCTGCATAGGCAGAGCACTATCGAAAGGGGTGTGAAACGTTGAAATAGCCATGGAGTACCTGCGAAAGGTGGAGGCCACCATAATCCAAACTAAATCTTCAGAATAGGGATTCTGAAATCCCCCTATCTGCACACTAGCGCACCTTACCTATCCACAAACTGAACAGGTGTCGAATCCCGCCTCGAAGCCAGAATTGTGCCTGCAACTGCTACATGAATTCAGCGTGACTGGAGGTTAGACCCGACAGGCGCCAAGTCACTCAGTGAATCTGAATCAAGTGTGGCGCCCCGTTCAGAGTGAGAATGTCCATGCGGGTTCGAACACCAACCTGACTGCTGTCAATTCCAGCACACTGATGTGCAGGTTGTGTCCAGAGACTGCAGGTCGCCGAGAACATGCCACAGCCGGGGATCTGTTTAGACTGAGAGCGTCGGCATCTCCAGGGCCCGACGTCTGTCCACCACTGCAGTTGAGGAATCAACCACTCTGGTGTCTCAAGAAACTTTCAGTAGCTCCCTGAGTGGGACTCCATCTGTGCCAAAGCTTGCTGTATTGGTCTCATCCTCAAATGTGCATCACCCCCAAGAAAGACCGAATCCTGCTTCGGGGCGGTGGTCTGACTTCTTGAGATTGGCAATCCAGCCCAGTTTCGTAAGAGTGAGAGCGGGTTGGTTTTACACCGCTTTTAGCAATATTCCAGCAAAATCATTGCCTGGGACACCAGAAATGGGCTTCACACATTGTGCCCATGTGGGGAATCAAACCCGGGTCTTCAGCATGATGAGCAAACGCCCTAAACCACAAGGCTACCCCAACGCCCCAGTTTCCATACTCAACTAATGTTCTAGAACCCTGAGGAGCCAGTCGTCCAGGTACGGTTAACATAACCGGCACTGTGATCTGGCTATCTGAGCTGGAATCAACCGACACTAGTGTGTGCCGCAGTCTGACAGGGATTTGCGGCAGAATACAGTAAACCCATACAGTCGGCAACATGTCGTTTGCCGGTGCGGGGCACCTGAGGGATTAACGAGAAGCTCAACAGGCTTCCGTTTTCCTCGAAACAGTCACAGGTGTCATAGGCCCATAACCGCACTCATCATTTGGCTGGCACAGCTATAAATGCTGTCCCTAGCCAGATGAGTGCGGACCTTCGTCAGCTGCTGTGCCAGAGTCACTGATGAAGAATCACCAGTGCTCTTTCCCCTTTCCACCAGCTCCCTCCAGATGTGCCGTGTGGAGCTGACAGTGTTGGGCTGTCAAGTGGGAAGGACGGCAGACTGACAGTAGAATGCGAGGCCATGTCCTTGACGCCTTGCTGGAAGCTTCCGGGAACTCAAACGGTTCGGCCTCCTCATGGACACCTGAGGCAACACAGCCGTGATTCTTTTTTCACACTTGCCTCAGGGACTAACCAGTATACCATCGACAGCCTCTTGGCCATGTATGATAGACATCAGGCCTGAGAAAACGCACATAGAATAAGGGAAAGTAGGCCACCCCGCCTGCCATCTTGAAAACACATAGTTTGAAGTGGTGCAGTGACGGATGTCGAATTACATTGTCAACAACAAAAAGCACCAGCTAGACGTGATGACGTGTCACAAATAATTATGTATATGGAATGTGATGTAATAATAACACACGCGTCAAGAATCCCAAATCTAAAGCGTAGAAGCCTTCCAAGCGAAAACACACACAGAAAAGGGTTAGTAGGCCACCCGCCTACTATCTAGCAAACACATGGTTTGAAGTGGTGAGGCGATGGAAAAGTTACAACATTTATGAATGAAAATTTTTCGAAATGAGTTCCATATATCGCCCATGCGAATAGAAAAGAACCATACATACAATATTTGTCTCTTTCTCACTCATCTTTATATTTTTTTCTAGGAACTCAACTTGAAATAGTTTACAGGACAGCACACACATCTTCACTATGTGAACGACAGCATGGGAAGCGAGTTACGAGGTTGAAGGTTAGAGTTACCTTCTCTTGGTTGCAGGGCCCCAGTGGTGGTCGTACAAGACAAAAACGAGTTTTTGTTTTGTAAATATTTTATTCAAAATATAGTTCCAACTGCCGTAGGAATTTTTAATGATCATAAAAATGCTTATAAGTACCCCAAAGAGGACCTCTTCTGAAAAAGAATTAGATATAAGTGTCCAAGTTAGGGTCATCACAGAAGCATGGATGTCAATCACTCTAGCGACAAGATTGTCAGTGTGTCATTCCCTGATGATAATCAACATACATTTTTTTTATCTTGCCAGTACTGTCTTTCACTTCCACTTCCTGTTCTGTTGCATGCTGGTATGCGAAAGCCAAGATGTCTGCTGCTCGTCCAGACCCCTGTGAGGCGATTGCAAATTGATTAAAGTACCTGTAAGTCAGCTTGAGAAGAGGCTTATCTAATGAATTATGCCTAAAATCAAAAGTTGGCTCAACAAGAAATATCTTTTACAGAATTAGGAATAACATTCTTTACACAAACTGGTAGTATATCTTGCAATCTAAAGGATTGGACTTCCCACATCAAGTTTTGGCAACCATATTAGCTTTGATGACAACTGACGAATATTCAAGTTAGATTTCAAGTAAATGAACTGTTAATGAGGAAGCAATGTTTGTTGAAAGTATATTACAGTACCTTGATGATGACAGCGGGAGTGTTATTCTGAATGGCACTTTTACAAGTCTCCAGAGTGCCTGGTCCCCCCTCCAGCACCAGCAGGACTACTGGAACACCTGAATCACAACAGACATGCACCTTCATATAACACCATTGGCAGCATAACTACGTATCTTGCCTTGCATAAAGTGACCCCATTTATAACCTTCAAAATCAATGCTAGTGTATATACCCATCTAAAAAGCAACCCTGAACGAACCACATTCTGAGCACATACACAATCCCTATATATCTGCAATAAAAATATGTGTGTCTTCCCTTGTCTTTCTATGTGATGCTTGGTCGTGTCCAGCGCATCATGCCATTTTGTGTGTTGACATGGTGCGACATCAAATTGCTGACAATAAGAAAATTGCTTCATTTCAAGCACTGACACTGAAGTTACAATTTACTGGACTTAGTTTTGTTTAACTATGAGTGTGTTTATTCCACAGTCTTTGATACGCCTTTGCTAACTGATGAACAGACATGGGAGCTGATGTCGTGTTCACCGGTTACATATCAGGGATATGTCTCATGGGAAACAGATTGGAGACGTCTCAAGGGAATAAAATTCACATTATTTCATTATTGGTTACAGTTTTTGCTACTTTGTAGTTAATATAGATTATCTTCACCTTGGCCAGTACAACTACACCATCTCAAACATAAGTTGTACAACTACGCCATCTCCACCTTGGCCAGTCCAACTACACCATCTCAAATATAAGTGTACAACTATGCCATCTCAAACATAACTTGTACAACTACGCCATCTCCACCTTGGCCAGTACAACTACACAATCTCAAACATATGCTGCACAACTACGCTATCTCAAACATAGGTTGTACAACTACGCCATCTTCATCTTGGCCAGTACAACTACGCCATCTTAAACATAAGTTGTACAACAAGTGTTTGCCACTGATATGGCAATGTCTCCTGCTGTTAAAGAATGGAATATCTATGTTCACTATTTCTTATTTTTTTGGTCACATACAAGATGCCTGAAATGACTGGTGTCTGCATTATCAACCAATGTAGGCTGTCAACATAATTGAAAACATTGGGTGCAATGTTTTATGAGATATCGCGTTTAAATAAGTTTGAATAGTGGTCAAAGTGTCGTGGTGACCTTGAAGATAAGGTCAAGGTCACCCAAATCAACTGGTGTCTGCGTAATCCCCCAATGTAGGTTGTCACCAAATTTCAAGACATTGGGTACAACAGTCCATGAGATATCACGTTAACAAGAGTTAAAAGTGTGCAAAGTGTCGTGGTGACCTTGAAGATAAGGTCAAGGTCACCCACATCAACTGGTGTCTGCGTAATCCCCAATGTAGGTTGTCACCAAATTTCAAGATACAACAGTCCATGAGATATCACGACATCGTGGTGACCTTGAAATAAGGTCCATGAAATATGGTGTCTGTGTAATCCCCAAGTAGTGTAAAATTTGAAGACATTGGGTACAACAGTTCATGACCTTGAACAAGATTTTGTAAAGTGGTCAAGGTCACCAAATAAAAGGTCACCCAAATCGACTGGTGTCTGTGTAATCCCCCAATGTAGGCTGTCACCAAATTTCAAGACATTGGGTACAACAGTTCATGAGATATTTGGTTAACAAGAGTTTGAAATGTGGTCAAAGTGTCGTGGTGACCTTGAAAATAAGGTCAAGGTCACCAAAATCGACCGGTGTCTGAATAATCCCCCAATGTAGGCTGTGACCAAATTTGAAGACGTTGGGTACCACAGTTCTTGAGATATTTGGTTAAGATTTTGAATAGTGGTCAAAATGTCGTGACCTTGAAGATAAGGTCAAGGTCACTCAAATCAACTGGTGTCTGCATGATCCCCCAATGTTGGCTGTGACCAAATTTGAAGACATTGGGACGTAGGTACGGACGCCGCTGAATACATAGTACTCCGTTCCACGTTGCGGCGGGGGACAACTATGCCATCTCCACCTTGGCACGTACAACTACACCAGCTCAAACATATGTTGTACAACTACGCCATCTCAAACTTGAAAATTTTAATGTAAATTGTATATTTATATACTTATCCTATCTCATGGTATGCACTTCTCTCTCTTGATTCGACACTGAGTGGAATGATGTAAACTCTTTTCCCTAGGCCTCTCTTGTCCATCCGCCCAAGCACTCCATGCTACCCTCATTATAAGACAGCTTTCCAAGCTCTCATGCAAAGCATGCGGCATGCACCACTAGCTGCCCACGTGACTATCTCCGAATCATCATTCACATTCTTGGAGCCACTGGATAATATCCATCTTGGAGAATCTGACAGCGGGCAGGAATCCGTCGCGTGAGATAGGATAAGTATATAAATATACATTTTATATTAAAAAAATTATATTTTTAAACTTATCCTATCTCAAGGTATGCACTTATCCCACGGTCGGACGGCGGGACGCAGATACCCTGTGTCTTGACAGTGCGAACAGCAGGAACTGTGTAAAGCTGGAAACGACCGTAGATAGCGATGCACAAGGGAGGCCTGTTACGCATGCACGCAACTCCTATGCTTGTGCTGAGTTCTCTTGAACTCCTTGGCTTACTAAGCACAACGTCTCCCAGGGAGATGGGTGCTCCCGAGCGATGTGGTGTTCGGCCGCAACCTCAGAAGAAGGACGCAGCTCAGCGAGAAAGGATGTCACTTGCCACAATTTCCAAGGTACCCCCGTAAATTAAAGAGGGTTGACAATAATCGGGCCAGCCCCAGCTTAGAGAAGACCCCCACAGACACCGACCAGGGGCAGGTGAAAGAGAAGCACAACTCGGGAACTCCACGTTTTAACGTTCAGTTCCGGGACAGCATCAAATTGACCCTCACTCCTTTGCCTAAGCCTAGTGAAAGGATGTGCCCGTCAACTTCGGAGTCGGAACGCAATGAAATCCACTGGAATTAGGGAGTGTCACACTTCACTGACGTAATTGCTCTGTGGAATAGAGGACAGTAAGGATGAATGTCGAACACCTCTGCATCGCCGTATTCCAATGCCTTGGTATGGAAGCCAAGTGAAGGGTTCTTAAACCCATAACTTGAGAACAATGATTGAGATCCTGTTCAACTTTGTTCAGTATGTAGAAAGAAGCAGTAAGGCGCAAGCGGAACTGTCCCTCAGCAGCGTTGGTGGGCTGATGTAAGCTGCTGAGGTCCAAACTAGTGTAGTCCCAGGACAGAACTAGTGTAGTCTCGCAGTTAATGTGAAGAGAAGACTATATCTGAAGCCAGAAGCAACCTTCCATGAGAGCGGTCAAGGAGCAGTTGCTACGGAAGGCCATCGTCGAGTCGAGTCTCATGAGGATTGGTGGCGGCAACCCTGCAAAGTGGAGGCTCACAGGATCGCGCCACGCATTCAGAAAGCCAACGTGGCTCGGGAAACCTCAGCTCTTGAAGCAGCCGACAAGGGTATGAAGAGGCGCTTTCTTAGCCATCGACGATCCTTGGAGGCAGCAAGGTAAAGGTGTAGAGCCCTAACAGGGCAGAGTATCAAATCTTCAGTATCATCAGGCCCAAAGATGGACAACGGGGGAATGGTAAACATCCGGTCCAGTTGCCCTGGCAGTTAGTTTTTCACGATGAAGTCCCAGTGGAGACCCAGGAAAAAACCTTGCCATGCTTCTTCTGCTCTAACCACACGCGATTGACATCAAGCGCAGTGAAGCTCAGATATACGAGCAGCAGTAGCCATGCTACCATGCTTCACTCGAAGTCCCTGTCTTCTAAAGGTTTGTAGTCTGTAGAATCACATGATGAAGGACAACAGACAGTTCCCAGGCCAAAAGTCTGAAGTTCCTGGACTGGTCGGTGAGTTGTAGAAGTGAAGAAAACTCTGCCATTCTGGAAGAGTGGAGATCTTCGTACCCGTGTTAGTAGCCAAAACCGAGTTGATAGCAGCCTGTTAGGTAGCTAACGTAGTACCCTTGAGTTCCCTAGTAGCACGGAGATGCTGCAGGAACGCAGAAACGACCTGAGTAGAGGCAGATTGGGAGATGGATTTCCCTAATGTTACAACAGCCTTCAACTTCTTCCACTATTGTCTTAGAAAGAACGGGTCGAATTACGATGATCTGAAGTGATAGCTGTGGCAACTTGACGAGAGTAGCCTTAGCTATGAGTAATCTCTGGAGATGCGCCAAGTGTAGATTAAGGGTCTGAGGGGACCAGAGGCGTAGTTCCGGTTGCCCCAACGCTGTTGGATCTGCGATCTGGCACGGTTCGATGACCAGGATCGGTTAAGTGATCTGGCTCGGCGAGGTAAGATCTGAAACGGTACTATGATCTGGTTCTGGTGTGGCGACTCAGTTTGGACCCACGAACTTGTTCGGTGATGAGCAGATCGATCTGGTTAACTAGTACGGGATGTTGTAGTGAATCAGTTCGCCGATGTGGTTCGGACGAGATGAGCCATTCTGTGCAGAAGAATTAGTTCGATGATGTCGTGGCGAACCAGCCTGCCGAATCAGTTCGACGATGATACTTGGATGAGTTCGGTGGGACTGCTAGTTAAGTCAGAGGTTGTAGCACGCATATCATGATATCTATAATCGTAGATCTCCTATCTGTAGAACCATATTGATGTCTGGAGGGGGACGAACCGGAAGAAGACGCACATATGGGGACCCGATGAGAAGTTCGGGAACAAGGAGGGGAAGTATCGTAAAGAGAATGATAATCCCTGGATCTTGAACGATAGGCAGCAGTCGATCGTGTAGGAGATCTAAGTTGACGGGTCGAGTGCGTAGAAGAGGAAGTCCCATGCTGACGAGAAGACGAAGACCAAGCTGACTTCGATCAAAGAACCGATCTCAACGAAGTAGATGGAGGCGTTGCTTAGTTGAATGCAAACGAGTCGAAGAGTGGCGTCTCGGCGGTGAAGTAGATCTACCAGGTCTTTCCGGTGAACAAATCCGAAGAATAATAGGGGCCTGGTCCAAACGACTCGGTGAAAGCCGTGTCCGTGCTGAGGAGACATGACTGTAGGATCCAACAGAGTTCGGGGAAGTACACAGATGATCCGGAGAAGGGCGTTCCGTTGAATACCGCTTGGAAGAAAGCCGTATCGGCAAAAAGTCGGTTCATCACATGCCGTTTCAGTGAAGTCTTCCATTTCGGCTAACGTTGATTCGACGAAGGTTCGATTAGGTGAAGTCTGTTTAGAAGACGATCGATCCGGAGAATGCCGAAGCGTAGACTGTAGTCGAGGTGGAGGGGAGCGGACAGGCGAAGTGTGATCCGGCGAACTGTGATTCGATCTGGCAGGCTTCGGCAAAGCAGAAGATCAAGGTAGCTGGATGCAAGACACACTTCTTTCTGCCGAATGGGAAGGAGTCGACGAAATAACCACTGACAGGCGTTGAGGCGAGGTAGACTGGTTCCTCTCACTACTGGATGAACGACGAGAGCGAGAACAGCTTCTGCGCATGCGCTCTGCGCAGTCAGGCGTAGAGATCAGCTGATTCTTGTCTGAAACAGATAAGCCAGGTTGCCGAGATAACTGGTCCGGTGAACGAGAGACACGTACGTCGAAGGTCTCGCTGTGTAGAGGTCTCCTGAAGGGTGGTGGCAGTCTCGATAACCACGACCCAGGACGTGGTAGAAGACGAAGGACTCAGGCTGAAATGTTGAGAGCCCAACAAATGCCGAAGGTCTTCCGATAAGTAAGAATCTGACGACGCTCTCATGAAATCCTCTTCATTCGAGTGAGGGGACTGTGACCGCCGAGCAGACAAAGTAGGATGCTTAAACTTTCCTTACTTGGAGGGACTGGGTCCGTCAAGTGAAGCGGCATAACAAGCCCTGTCAGCAACACGACGAGAGCAAGCCCGAGTGTAGTCACCAAGTAAGAACCTTGCATTTATCGCAACGAGAGTCCCATTTACACTGTCCCATACAGTCAATACAATATCCATTTGGATCACTTGCGGAGAACACTTTATTACACCAGGAGCATTTTTTTCCTCTTCTTTGGCTGGTCAACTTTCCCCATGTTGTAGACTAAGTTGAAAACGTTGAGCAAAGCAAAATACGTCCACACTCGTGTGCGACAAGAAAGAGAATGATGATTCGGAGATAGTCACGTGGGCAGCTAGTGGTGCATGCCTCATGCTTTTCATGAGAGCTTGGAAGCTGTTTTATAAGGAGGGTAGCATGGAGTGCTTGGGCGGATGGACAAGAGAGGCCTAGGGAAAAATGTTTACATCATTGCACTCAGTGGCGAATCAAGAGAGAGAAGTGCATACCGTGAGATAGGATAAGTTTAAAAATATAGGTTGTACAACTATGCCATCTTCACCTTGACCAGTACAACTACGCCATCTCAAACATAAGTTGTACAACTATGCCATCTCCACCTTGGCCAGTACAGCTACAGTCCGTTTGAGTCAGAAACGGACCGATGAATTGCAAATTTTATCATTGTACAAAATTGCCACATAAATATAAATAGTACACATGTTTATCATTTACTAATACCCAACAGCTTTCTTATATTTGAAAATTTTCCAGATTCCACCAAAAAGTTGTTTAAGAAACTATCAGCATTGAAAACGCAAAAGTTGTTATCTGTCGCAGTGGGGTGAAACCGCAGAAACGGAACAGCCAGTCACGGCGGGGGACATCTCAAAATCTATTCCGGCAGACCTGTTGGTTCCTCGTCCGTCGTAGTGTCATAGTCACGACTTAAAGGGATGACAAGTGGTGCCACAGTTGCCTGTTGTAAGCCATCCCGAGACCAGTAACCTTGTTCAATGACGTTAGCTACCTTGTTGACACATTTTTGCCAAGTTTCAGTCGTGATTTTGTTAAGGGATTCCTTAACCACAACCTCTACGTCACGTAATCTAAAAGTTGTGTTTGATCTGGCAACATCTCCTTTGACAATACCCCACATCACTTCAATGGGGTTAAGGTCACAGTGATAGGGTGGAAGTCGCAGAATATCGTGACCCTTCCTTTTTATGTAACTGTCAACTTTGTAGAAAGGTTCACTTTGTGGGGTTTTATGATCTCATATAGCTGAGGCCGTGCGATCTGAAATTTGTCAAGCCATGATATCATATCACCTTTTCGACTGTTCGATGTCGGGGCTTTACTGTCGGGGTCCTGCCCGCTGTGGTATGGGGCATTGTCCATTACGATAAAAGACTTCTCTGGTAGAGCTGGTACCAACTTGTTTTTAACCCAATCGAGGAAAACCGCACCATTCATCTCTGAATGGTAGTCTCTGTTATCTGTGGACTTTGACCTGAATACCAAGTCGCACCCTGGGAGAAAGCCTTTGCTGGAGCAATCAGCATGGAGAATGATTAGTCTCTCTCCTTTCCCTAGAGGCAGCTTTCTACGTGACCCCTTATCACCCCCATCGGGTACCCACTGACTGCTGGCAGTGTGCGAGGCATTGACCCAGGTCTCGTCCAAGTACACTGGCTCGAACCCTTCCTCGCGCTTCTTCTTTATAACCCTGAGAAAATTATTTCTCAAGCGAACGATATCAGGGCGTTCACAGAGTACTGACCTATTTTCCCCCGAAATTTTCTTATAACGATACCCGAAAGAGTGTACAGAGTGCCAGAGTGTGTTCTTTGATACTCTGAGGTTGTGTTCTTGCTTCAAATGCTTTTTAAAAATTTTCAGAGACATGTATTTGTTTTCAGAATAGAGCTTGTTGATAGACTGCCTTACAAGGTTATTTTGAAAGTTGTCCAAATGTTTTAATTTGTGTGATTTTGACACGACCCTACCTGCTGCATCACCCTCACAATGTTTGTGTTCCAGAACATTTGTCAGTACCCTTGCTGATACTCCTAAAGCTTTTGCTGCCCGCTTACGGAATTTATTAATAGCATAAAATGGTTTGCCCCTTTCGGCTTCAGCACGGAAAAAATCGTACACTTTAATCATCAACTGTTTCACGTCAGCATTCAACTTTATTTTTCATCAGGCATGTGTATCCCGTGCACGACGAGATAGTGGCTGTTCCATTTCTGCGGTTTCACCCCGCCGCGACAGATAACAACTTCTGCGTTTTCAATGATGATAGTTTCTTAAACAACTTTTTTGGTGGAGTCCGGAAAATTTTCAAATATAAGAAAGCTGTTGGGTATTAGTAAATGATAAACATGTGTACTATTTATAGTTATGTGGCAATTGTGTACAATGATAAAATTTGCAATTCATCGGTCCGTTTTTGACTCAAGCGGACTGTACACCATCTGAAACATGTTGTACAACTACGCCATCTCAAACATAACTTGTACAACTATGCCATCTCCACCTTGGCCAGTTCAGCTACGCCATCTCAAACATATGTTGTACAACTACGCCATCTCAAACATAAGTTGTACAACTATGCCATCTCAAACATATGTTGTACAACTACACCATCTCAAACATATGTTGTACAACTACACCATCTCAAACATAAGTTGTACAACTATCTCAAGCATAAGTTGTACAACTATGCCATCTCAAACATATGTTGTACAACTACCCATCTCAAACATATGTTGTACAACTACACCATCTCAAACATAAGTTGTACAACTATTTCAAACATAAGTTGTACAACCATGCCATCTCAAACATAAGTTGTACAACTATGCCATCTCAAACATATGTTGTACAACTACACCATCTCAAACATATGTTGTACAACTACGCCATCTCAAACATATGTTGTACAACTATCTCAAACATAAGTTGTACAACCATGCCATCTCAAACATAAGTTGTACAACTACACCATCTCAAACATATGTTGTACAACTATGCCATCTCAAACATATGTTGTACAACTACGCCATCTCAAACATATGTTGTACAACTACACCATCTCAAACATAAGTTGTACAACTATTTCAAACATAAGTTGTACATACATGTTCTCAAACATAAGTTGTACAACTATGCCATCTCAAACATAAGTTGTACAACTATGCCATCTCAAACATATGTTGTACAACTATGCCATCTCAAACATATGTTGTACAACTATCTCAAACATATGTTCTACAACTATCTCAAACATAAGTTGTACAACCATGCCATCTCAAACATAAATTGTACAACTATGCCATCTCAAACATACGTTGTACAACTACACCATCTCAAACATATGTTGTACAACTACGCCATCTCAAACATATGTTGTACAACTATCTCAAACATAAGTTGTACAACCATGCCATCTCAAACAAACAAGAATTCCCAAGCCAATACCACCTTACCTGAGCCAGTTGCTGTCTTCTGTTTGGCAATTTCATTCTCAAGTTTCCCGCGGAAGGGAATCTCGACAGCAAACTGCTGCTGTGTCCCATTGTCAACCAGTATGAAATGTGTGTGGTTGGGGTCAAGAAATGACTGTTTTGGTTTTGGATCATTTGTAATCCGGTGTAGTGCAGGCCACTTGCCCTGTGGATGGAACACACACAAGTTGAGCAACAAGTAATAATAATGTTTACACTAATAATGTCAAGATAGACAAACTTCATGCATAACAACTTCATTATTTCATGAGAGTGAAATTTCAATACAGATTCTTGGACCATTGTCATGAAAAACACAAAATGTGATCAGAAAATTTTCAACACCAAAGAAATTAAACAAGCTGATTAAAGATACTCCAACTATACTCTGGTCGTACCATGTCATCAATGAGGCCTTCCTTGTCCTGTACACAGCCCCAGGGAGCTACCCCAATGCAGATGACCTTCTTGTGAGCCTCAGTGGTCAGGCCAAAGTCTCGCACTGCTTCCCCAACATGCTTCATCACGCCAGCATTTGTTCCCCCGTCACAATCCAGGCATCTACAACACAATATCTTATTTAATTGTCATATAACATACTGGTTTTGAACCTTCCATGAGTCATTCCTTCAAAATATATCATACAAGACATCTTCAGTCACATTATGTGGAATGAATTCTTCCTATACACCTTCAGACTGATCACATTGCCCCTCAGAACCATTTCTGAAACAAGTCACCACGACAACACATTCAACTAATGAGATCTTTCTTGAAGCATGAAGTATGAAGGTAATATAGTGGCAATCACCAGTACTGAGGGCAGCTTTCATCAGGCCCCTCCTGAACACCTCCTTTAGCCGAGTCTTCATGTGGAAGTTCTTGGCACCCCCAGTTACCGAGATGAGAAGATTGGGCATCTCCAGTCCCCATCGGTCAGTCATCAGTTTCAGCATGGTCGTCATACTGGTTTGATGGTCAGCACGCACATACTGAAACATTTTCCATACACAGGTGAGCATGCTCATATTAAGACACTGTCTATATATTGATCATCAATCAGTACTGAAATATTGTCATCAATCCAGTACTGAAATATTGTCATCAATCCAGTACTGAAATATTGTCATCAATCCAGTACTGAAATATTGTCATCAATCCAGTACTGAAATATTGTCATCAATCCAGTAGTGAAATATTGTCATCAATTAGTACTGAAATGTTGTCATCAATTAAATCCAGTACTGAAATGTTGTCATCAATCAATCCATCAATCCAAACATGTTGATCATCAATCCAGTACTGAAATATTGTCATCAATCCAGTACCGAAATGTTGTCATCATTCCAGTAGTGAAATGTTGCCATCAATCAGGTACCGAAAGGTTGTCATCAATCCAGTATTGAAATGTTGTCATCAATCAGGTACCGAAAGGTTGTCATCAATCCAGTACTGAAATGTTGTCATCAATCCAGTATTGAAATGTTGTCATCAATCCAGTCCTGAAACCCATGAAGGTCCGGTTAGAATGAGTCTTCAGTAACCCATCAACTTACCGAAGGTCGTATCAGGCCAGTACTGAAATGTTGTCATCATCCAGTCCTGGACCCGTGAAGGTCCTAGAATGAGCCTTCAGTAACCCATACATGTCGTAAGAGGTTCCTAACTGGATCGGGTGGTCAGGCTCAATGACTCATGTTGACACATGTCACTGGATCAATCAGATCAATACTCATGCTGTTGATCACTGGATTGTCTGATCCAGACTCGATTATTTACAGACCACTGCGCGAAAACTAAAGCTGGAATATTGCTGAGTGCGGCATAAAACTAAACTCACTCACTCAATCCAGCACTGAAATGTTGTCATCAATCCAGTATTGAAATGTTGTCATCAATCCAGTACTGAAATGTTGTCATCAATCCAGTATTGAAATGTTGTCATCAATCCAGTTCCAAATGTTGTCATCAATCCAGTTTCAAAATTTGGTCATCAATCCAGTATTGAAATGTCACCAATCCAGTAATGGAATGTATTCATCAATCCTGTTCCAAAACGTTGACATCCATCCAGTACTGTAATGTCATCGATCAAGTTCAAAATATTGCCATCAATCCAGTACTGAAAGGTTGTCATCATTCCAGTACTGTAATGTTGTCATCAATCCAGTACCGAAAAGTTCTCATCAATCCAGTACTGAAATGTTGTCAGAAATCCAGTATTGAAATGTCATCAATCCAGTACTGAAAGGTTGTCATCAATCCAGTATTGAAATGCTGTCATCATCCAGTATTAAAAAGTTGTCATCAATCCAGTCCTGGACCCGTGAAAGTCTGGGTTAGAATGAGCCTTCAGAAACCCATGCTTGTCATAAAAGGCGACTAACGGAATCGGGTGGTCAGGCTCGCTGGCTTGGTTGATACATGTCATCGGTTCCCAATTGAGCAGATCAATACTCATGCTGTTGATCACTGGATTGTCTGATCCAGACTCGATTATTTACAGACTGCCACCGTAAAGCTGGAATATTGCTGAGTGCGGCATAAAACTAAACTAACTCACTACTCAATCCAGTACTGAAATGTTGTCATCAATCCAGTACTGAAATGTTGTCATCAATCCAGTACTGAAATGCTGTCATCAATCCAGTTCCAAAATGTCGTCATCAATCCAGTTCCAAAATGTTGTCATCAATCCAGTATTGAAATGTTGTCACCAATCCAGTAATGGAAAGTATTCATCAATCCTGTTCCAAACTGTTGTCATCAATCCAGTACTGAAATGTCATCAATGCAGTACCGAAATGTTGTCATCAATCCAGTACTGAAATGTTGTCATACTGGTCTGAATAAACTGGATAACATTTTCACGTCAATAATTAAGGGTCAAGTTTGGATCTCAGCTTATCTATGAGGTCCGCTCGTCTACGATCATATACAGTACTGATCAGAATGCACAACTGGTCAATAGTGTCATACTGAATCATTGGCCACACATTTGTCAACAATGTCATACATTGCCAACAGACAAATGTACTGTTATCACTGGCATGGTACACATATTGCCAAAAGTGGCCAGCTGCTAAAATGTTACGTAACCTGTTGTTCAGTTGAGAGTGAAACAGTCCTACCTTGCTGACATGGTCACCATATCCTGGGAATTCCATTTCTCCGCGAAAGCATTTGTCGGATAAGCATTTGTGTCGTTCTTGGGGTCCCATTTATTGCCTCCCTGGCCAAAGAGTGAGTCCTGGGAATGCCCTGATTTGACATACCCACACAGGCACAATGGGTCACTGAACTCTCTACAAGATACAGAAAGGATTTATAACATTTATGTTGAGAACATTGAATTACACTTTTTACTGCTCATTTTGTGAAAATATTGTGAGTGGTTAAGTGTTTGTGCTGTGCTGTGAAATTGCCACTTACCAGATTTTTTATTAAACACAGGATGCCAGTGCTCAGATCTTCACATCACATGCTATCTAATGTGGCAGTTTGTAATTTGGCAGTGCAGGTAAAAATATCAACATAACTTATCACAAAAATAGGTTGTGTCCAAAGCACATTCCTATTTTGTCTTGAAGAGTGGCACATGGTCAGCAGCTTAAAGGCCAGACAATTTCTAAACCTTAGTTTACAATGCACACTCCATATCTCGACAGGAAAGGAAAATGCCTGGGCTAATGGGATATTATTTCAGAACATTTTCAACAATCAGCTCACAATATACATTGGCACAACATAAAAGCAGTGTATTATTAACATCATTCAGCGATTACTGATTAATTCCGTACATACTACTATAGACAGCAGGTGTCTTACCTATGTACAGACTTGGTAGGTGTGTGCACAGGTGGCAAACTACAAAATAATGTGAGTTAAGATTAGGAAGAGTTTAGTAGAGTCAGTCATTGCTTAAGCTCATTTTCAAGCTCTCATTTCATATTGACTGCTAAAGAACAGTGAAGACGTTTTGAACATTCTCAAGCTCTGATTTCATGGTGACTGTTAAAGAACAATGAAGACTTTTTTAACATTCTCATTTCATGTTGACTGTAGCTGTTATCAGCAGAACAAAATGGCAGTATTAGTCATGAAACTGTAGTTTGAGAATCTACTTCCACATAACACATTTGCTCTTGTAACTCTGAGCACCTTTCAGAAAGTTATTTACTGATCACACACAGGATCTTTCTCTCAACACCAATATTTGTCTTCTCAGCTATTAGGTGATTATCACCCGGGAACTATATTGTTTGTACTTTTACAAGGATCAGTGAAGTGAAATGTCACTGTGAATGAGTACATCATGTTTATGTAACTATATCAGCTTCAGTTAAAATAACGCACACAATAACATGTACCTGGGTAGGAACAGGAACAACATGAACAAGGACACAGGGAGGGTCATCCAACTATATGAAAGGCATTTGGGGAGGGTCCTTATTCTCAGTTCATTATTCTGAATTCTTGAAAACTTTTACCCATGGAAGGAAAGTCCAACCAACTTGTCTTTAAACGATTCATTACTTTGGGCAAAACCCCAGAACTGATGTGTTGCATAACAGATATGTTGTTGATAAAACAAGAATTGTATTCAATGTAGTAAAAATCTACAATATCAGTTATTGATATTGGACATAACAGAAGCAGGAGATATCTTTGGTTCATCTCATAAAGTATGACTCTCATATCCATCCTAGATCAATTGCTTCATCTGGTAAGCCAATGTTTAACCATCAACCCACCAGACTGAGTGCAATTATGAGCAGCTAACAGCAATGAGAGCTCTAGAAGCCTGAGTCTCAAGACATCAAAATAAACAAGAACAAGCACATTTTGACTTTAAGACTTTACATAAAATCTGATCATTAGTGTGCTGAAATATTATGTGCTACTGATGTGTCCTGCATTTAGATGTTATTCTCAGTTAAACATTTCACTCATAGGTTGACAATGACATGCTTCAAGCAACAGCTGTTTGGACTTGACTACAACGACTATGTTTCCAGCTTTACATGCATGACAATGACCAAAGGCTTGGGTAGGGTAAGCCAGAACACAACTATGCGGTTCACACTGACGGCCAGGCCACACACTGTGACCACATCATGATCCAACAGTGACAGCCAGGCCACACACTGTGACCACATCAGGATCCAACACTGTGACCACAGCATGATCCAACACTGACCACATCATGATCCAACAGTGACAGCCAGGCCACACACTGTGACCACATCAGGATCCAACACTGTGACCACAGCATGATCCAACACTGTGATCACGTCATGATCCAACACTGTGACCACGTCATGATCCAACACTGACAGCCAGGCCACACACTGTGACCACATCAGGATCCCGCACAGCCTGTACGACATGCATGGGTTAGTAGGGACATACCCTACTCAGTAAGGAATGCATTGAAATAAAAGATAACCTGTACTGCATGAACATTACCTCATTTCTGACTGGTCCCTTAAAAGAAAATATCATTCAGCATATTCAACTATATTCATACAAACAGTCATAAATCAAAGCAGAAGAAACATGAATACAATATCTACTGTGTATAGTTGTGACAAGAAGAAATGGGTACGTGAGTGAGTGAGAGAGTGAATGAGTGGGTGGGTGAGTGAGAGAGTGAGCAATTTGGGTATAACTCTGAACAGTTTATGTGGTACCTGGAAGTGGTAGGAAAGCTTACAAGAGGTCTTTGACAGGTGGGAATGTTGACATTGGTTTGCTAACAGTTTAACAACAAGGAGCATAATCACCAGATCCCTACTGACCAATTATCAATACTCATGACCATGATTATAATGGCAGAATGTATGTATGAATGATTCAGTGTTTGGATCATGTGGAATGAATGCTCGGATAATTCAGTGTTTGGATCATGTGGAATGTATGCTTGGATAATTCAGTGTTTGGACCATGTGGAATGCATGCTTGGATAATTCAGTGTTTGGATCATGTGGAATGCATGCTTGGATAATTCAGTGTTTGGACCATGTGGAATGCATGCTTGGATAATTCAGTGTTTGGATCATGTGGAATGCATGCTTGGATAATTCAGTGTTTGGACCATGTGGAATGCATGCTTGGATAATTCAGTGTTTGGATCATGTGGAATGCATGCTTGGATAATTTAGTGTTTGGACCATGTGGAATGCATGCTTGGATAATTCAGTGTTTGGATCATGTGGAATGCATGCTTGGATAATTCAGTGTTTGTCATTGGAATGATGCCATGTGGGATGCATGCTTGGATAATTCAGTGTTTGGATCATGTGAAATGCATGCATGGATGATTCAGTGTTTGGATAATGTGGAATGCATGCTTGGATAATTCAGTGTTTGGATCATGTGGAATGAATGCTTGGATAATTCAGTGTTTGGATCATGTGGAATGCATGCTTGGATAATTCAGTGTTTGGATCATGTGGAATGCATGCTTGGATAATTCAGTGTTTGGATCATGTGGAATGAATGCTTGGATAATTCAGTGTTTGGATCATGTGGAATGCATGCTTGGATGATTCAGTGTTTGGATCATGTGGAATGCATGCTTGGATAATTCAGTGTTTGGACCATGTGGAATTAATGCTTGGATAATTCAGTGTTTGGATCATGTGGAATGCATGCTTGGATAATTCAGTGTTTGGATCATGTGGAATGCATGCTTGGATAATTCAGTGTTTGGACCATGTGGAATGCATGCTTGGATAATTCAGTGTTTGGATCATGTGGAATGCATGCATGGATAATTCAGTGTTTGGATCATGTGGAATGCATGCTTGGATAATTCAGTGTTTGGATCATGTGGAATGCATGCTTGGATAATTCAGTGTTTGGATCATGTGGAATGCATGCTTGGATAATTCAGTGTTTGGACCATGTGGAAATCATGCTTGGATAATTCAGTGTTTGGATCATGTGGAATGCATGCTTGGATAATTCAGTGTTTGGATCATGTGGAATGCATGCATGGATGATTCAGTGTTTGGATCATGTGGAATGCATGCTTCGATAATTCAGTGTTTGGATCATGTGGAATGCATGCTTGGATAATTCAGTGTTCGGATCATGTGGAATGCATGCTTGGATAATTCAGTGTTTGGACCATGTGGAATGCATGCTTGGATAATTCAGTGTTTGGATCATGTGGAATGCATGCTTGGATAATTTAGTGTTTGGACCATGAGGAATGCATGCTTGGATAATTCAGTGTTTGGATCATGTGGAATGCATGCTTGGATAATTCAGTGTTTGGATCATGTGGAATGAATGCTTGGATAATTCAGTGTTTGGATCATGTGGAATGCATGCTTGGATAATTCAGTGTTTGGACCATGTGGGATGCATGCTTGGATAATTCAGTGTTTGGATCATGTGGAATGCATGCATGGATGATTCAGTGTTTGGATCATGTGGAATGAATGCTTGGATAATTCAGTGTTTGGACCATGTGGAATGCATGCTTTGATAATTCAGTGTTTGGATCATGTGGAATGCATGCTTGGATAATTTAGTGTTTGGACCATGTGGAATGCATGCTTGGATAATAATTCAGTGTTTGGATCATGTGGAATGCATGCATGGATGATGCAGTGTGACACCTGATTAAATAAGTTGGTAATTGAGTATGGTGACCATCATTCTGGATGGAGCTGATGGGATATGCATCAACATGTATAACATTCAGCTGAAATTATTCCAGCAACATGTAATGATGTATGACGGTACTATTACAGATGTGGAACTTTTTAGCAAAACATAATTGACATGAATATTGACTGAAAGACGTGTCCTGGTTTGGATCTCTGAGAAGATGCATTACAATGTAAATACACAGTTGCTACTTACGCTTTGTTGGAATCCTTCTTTACAGGCTTCCCAACATATCTTCTGCATTCTCGTCGTTTGATGTTCTTCATGATCCAGCGAATATTAGGATCCAAGTTATCCTACATCAAATCAAACAATCATGATACACACCATAGACTTTTTACATCCTGGCTTGATACGAAGACCATCCTGGTGACATTGACGCACTCCACACAATCAGAGCATCACAGTAAGAAACATCCACAAGAAACCACAGTGGCAACTCACTTCCTTATATACAATTTCTACAGTCATACCAAGGTAACATTTATTATTATCACCAACATATCACAGTATTACAGGCCCAGCTTCTACCTGCTGGACAGAGAGGATGACCCGACATATGTCTATATGTTAATGTAGATGACAGTCCTGATGTCTGATAGAAGCAATATGGTATATTCAATGCATGTCGTACAAACTGACATAAGTTGTGCACCACTATTGTCTTACCTGGAATCTGTTCCCTGCACCCACTTCATTGGCATGTGTGGCCTGGTCATTGAATTTGAGGCTCTGCAGGCTCCCTGTGGGCTGCATCCCTATGGACTCGTGTGGAGCCACTCGTGCGGTGGCCATGGTTGATCTCACTTGCACAAGCCCATCACCACAAAGCTAAGACCAAAGAACACATCACAATCTTATATTTACATTACATGGGAAACAAACCACTGACATTTCCATTCCATCTATTCTGAGTTATGTCCCAGTCTGAATCCTACAACACTTCCCAGTTCATTCTCAACTGAGCCAGTGCCGGTGTCAGCACATGGTATATTATATGCTTATCATTGTGAAGCAGGCCCTCTTTTTCAAATTTCATTCAATTTTTGTCCTAGAGAGAATCTATCACTACTTGGTATGACTGACAAAAACTGAAAAGAAGAGTCCTCATGTTAACGGATTTCGAACAATTAAGAACATCCGCTATCATATGAACAATTTTTTATTTAAACATATTTATTCAAGAGAATGGATTGGGTAAATATATTTAAATCAAAAATTGTTCAAATGAACAATTACAGAGCATGTCACTAAGTAAGGACAACAGTATCTAAAAACAAAAGCTACCATCCAAGTATTTACAACGTCTGTGCCCGAAAACGCAGGACACCAGAAAACATATAAATCAAATTCTTTGATTCTCTCTCCAAAACTCTCTCAGTAAATGTCTTTCGGTAAATCAGAGATAATTCTACGGATGTTTTTTGTTTGGGTTTTAAAAAAAAAAAATTTGCTTTTTGAAGAACATAAAGTACCTCCATTATCTATTATATTGATTAATGTGTGTAACAGGAAATTCTTTCATGGATTAATCACAGATATATTACGTAAATCCCGATGGTTAACCGTTTACTCGTAATTCAGATAATTTACCATCTCAACACAGGAATGATAACCCTTATCAACACGAATGTCCATGATAACTTTACTCAATCAACAAAATACATGCAAAAATACAGTCTGTAAATGATCTAAAAATATATGTTTTGAACATCAATAAAAACAAAAATTAAAGGACATACAAATTTAATTTGTGGTGCACTGCACGCTTTTTTCGATCGTTCACTACGGCTAGGCGTCTAACTCACACGCTTCGGTTTACCTTGATTTATGTTGTTAACTTCAATAAACATTACGTATTCTCTGTAATATTTGGAAAAATATGACAATAGTTGATTCAAACGCACATAAGATCATATAAATACCCCTGTCGTCAAGATATGGGACTGCCATTTCACATCTGGTGTGTGCAGTGCTTTTCTCTCGGGATGAAAACGCTATGGCGGACAAAGCTGAGCTGTGTGGTGGAGTTTCGTAAGTGAATAAAAAGTGCCTACATTTGGGATGATAAGCACCAAATTGTTTCAATAAATTATTATTGTCCAATATGTTCAAATACTACCTCAATTAATAGGATGTCAGTCTAGAAATCTCACAAAACAAAGAAAGCTGGTGATGAACTTTGACCTCAGCGAGGTGGTTGTTGTTGTGTCGTCATGACGACGGCTGCTAGGGACAAGTGCCCTCAGTAGATTTATCACGTTTTGAATGACTGGGGAGGGAGATGCCGATTGCGGATAATATGTGTTGTAGGTGGAGCATCTACAATATACAGTTGGGCAGCTATATAACATACGTCTTGAAATGATAAATAACAATTTAGTATTTGTGTGTCACGCAAGATGTACAATGGAGTGTTCTTGTGTAGATCATAAATGTTTTTTTTTTATTTGTTGATGCTGTTGTTAGCTATCATCACCAGATAATTAGTTCATGTCATATAATTAGTTCATGTCATTGTGTGGGAAAAGGATCCATTATAATGCTTATAGAAATGTGGTACTTATAACTGATAAAAAGGCATTTAGTTTTTGTCACGAACATAGGATATCGGACTTAAATTGTTAAAATTGTTGACAACTTAACTATGCTATCTCATGCAAGTTTTGGGCTTTGTGAAATGATGGAGTTCACAATTAAAAATTAAAGTAGATTAGAATTTCAGATGCAATTCTAAGTACACGACCCAGTTCGTGAAATACTTTAAGATGATGTTCTGACGTGGTTGTCGTATCCACATATCACATTCACCTGTTTAAATATCGTTTTAAAAACCCGCCCCTCCAAAACAGCTTTTGGACATATTTAGCCTGTACAAGCGTGCTTTATAAGTCTCAACAATGTTTTTAAATGAACGATGTTAAAATTACATTAGGCCAAGTATGAACACGTCTCATAACTTTACTCACGAATTCTAAATGGTTTGTTCATTTTTTATCACATTCCTGTTCTACCGTGTTTTTGTACTGCTCGGAAGTTGATGTTGCTTTTTATCACGGGGTATAAAGAAGGAAGTTGTTTTGTACACCAACACATCGCAAAGCTTCCTGGCATACATGCAGTTAGAAAATATGGCATGTACGTAATAGTGAAACTGTGACGACAGTTTTTTTATTTGGAATAGCATAATTTCATAGCTTACTCCATGAAGACAAACAGTTTCATTTTCCGGGATGGAATATATTTTGTCTTGTTTTGGAGAAGGAATAACTGCCCGTTTTGTCATGTCTGTCCTGCTATGAACACTATGTTTTTGTGCTGGTCGGTAATTAACTTCCTTGTTATGTTGTATCATGTTGGCTGGGGTCGTTGCTCATAACATCAGTCACTGGGTTGTGTGGCCCAGACTACGTTCTCCACAGACTTCCGTCATATAGTTGGTATAGTGACTGCATATTCGGCGTCTAACAAAACACAAACGCACACGCATGGACACACGCACGCACACATGTTTGTCGCATCGTGTATCAAAATTTGTATGTACAGTTATTTAGACATGTTGTTTGTAATACAGAATGTGTCTGGCGACGAATCGTATAGTTGTTTAATTACTGAATATTGCTGAAAAAGACCTGTCAAGACCCCGATATATGACGAAGCTCATATTATCAGTCATTAGATACCTACTTGTATATTACCTTTTTATATATATATATATATATATATGTGTGTGTGTGTGTGTGTGTGTGTGTGTGTGTGTATATATATATTACAACTATATCAATGTTACAAATACAATATCAATATAAGCTCTGTAGTGTACAATATAATAATGACAACACAAATCTCCCCCTTCAACTCTATCAACAATCCAGTGATTAAAAAATTCAGCTTCGTCCTATTTTCACATTTCTAAGCATATATATATTCTGCATTGCATATACATGTATCAAACGATCTTATAACGTATATTCAACCGTATTCGCTCCGAGTAATTAACACACCACAGTATAAATCCGAAGGTAATCAATTATAATCGTTTATAGTTTTATAACTACAATATTAAAAGGCAATCACCTACCTCTTGAAGACAAGTGTTAACCAACTGATGATGTGAAAAAGTTCGTATTAAGGAAATAATATCATATATGAGGAAAATGTTACAAATACAGGTGAATAGTAGTTTACAGCTTCGAAATGAGTTCGTGCATTTACACACCCCTCTCCTTATAAAGATCCAGTCAGCGGTCACGCATGCAGGGAAAGTGTGTATGCGTACCATGCCGGTAGTGATATTTAGTTGATTGTTGTAAACCATTTCCTCGATAAGCATATGGAGTTGAAGAATGTGTCTGCGCGACAGCACTTACACTATACATAATCCTGTACAGTCATTCAAAATTAATTTGTCATTACACATCATATCCTACTCAAGTTTTGACAGGGCTAACAGCAAATAATGGTATTTCTGTCTAAAAATATAGTTGACATATAGTTTGAAACGATCTTGTGTATCTCGCCATATGCACCACAGAGACATAAAAAACAATATCCAGGTCATAAGTGGAGTCCCATGAAGAGATGTTGCCTATGGACATTGCTCCGGTGTCCATATCACCAGGGTATTTCCGTTTGTCACATTTGCATATGTGATGCCAACATTTTTTACTCAATTATTAACTTTGGATGTCCTTACCATTTCATATGCACGTCTGTCACAAGTTAAAGCACCACGAGGGTAGACTTGATGATGATAAACGAGTTACAATCAGGCTAACGACTATGCTAAACGTGATAGATTCCTTGTTGGTTGTATTGATAACATGCCTCCATGTTAATGCCACTACTTTTTTCGGCTTTTTATGGGTGACAAAATGCCCATGCGACGTTCAGTATTAACTACCTCACCCATATGGCCCGGCACTCCTGGTTGATACATATATTATACCATATCGGTGTTCATACTAATTTGAACCCGTGAAGGTCCGGGTTAGAATGTTGATCTTCAGTAACCCATGCTTGTCGTAAGAGGCGACTAACGGGATCGAGTGGTCAGGCTCCCTGACTTGGTTTACACATGTCATCAGTTCCCAATTGCGCAGATCGATGCTCATGCTGTTGATCACTGGATTGTCTGGTCCAGACTCGATTATTTACGGACCGCCGCCATATAGCTGGAATATTGCTGAGTGCGGCGTAAAACTAAACTCACTCACTCACTCATACCAATTTGTCAATGGCAAAGGAATCCTGTATGAACAAGCAAGGACTTTCTGAATGCAAGTTTGGTGAATCGATTCTGATGATTTAACCACTGTCGACACAAACTCCATTTTGTTATATACCGATGCCATATAGCTTGAATAACTGCTATACACGTAATATTAGTAAAACGACAACCGAAACATGACATTTTGTAAACAGTGCCCTGGGAGGTTGCCGGGGCTACCACAGATTGGTCAGAGAAACATGTGACTGACATGGTGACGAGAGAAGTTGTATTTGTCTCTTGCATCTGTATGTGCAGGTGGCAATCCAAAGCCTAAACGTTGCGTATCAGAACCATGTTATATACCAGATGTAGTATACATGAATTACAACATGGCTACTACAGCCGACACATGCAGTTGACACAGGGCCTCTGTCCGAGAGAATACCCAGGGACTACAATCTTACGTGAAATGTGACAGCAAGCAGGTTCATAGGGGTTATGGAGGCATAGAAAGAAAAGGTGTCTCTCTTTATGTTCTTCCTGGCTAAAAGCCAATCTGTGAACCACCTGTCGCACTGCTGTTCTCGAGGTGCACATAGCGACGTGTTAAAGTGCACCAGCCACAATAGCGCACCATGATCCATGCAGGACAGAAGGATAGTTATAGCTGCATTAAAGCCCTGCCATAAATATACTTCCTCACGGTCACATGCTCGAACACCAAGCATAGCTATATATATGCCCTGAAAAGATGAAAAGCTATATACGCGGAGTAGACACAACTTATGGAAAATACCTTTGTTTATTATACGGGATGGCGATGTGTTGGTTGAGATCCTTAAACCGTTGTCATGGAGGACTGGATAATAAACGTACGCCCGGGCGTATAGGACGGAATGTAAGTATTTTCCATTAGCTAATGGAAAAATACTGGCCCATGTACGATAAAAAAATATACTTACATAATGCCACCGTGAATATATACTTCACGGTCATGCACACGAGTTATACGCGTAAGAGGAACGCTGTGTATATTTCTCACACCGTTGGATATTAAAGATGACATTCATGCATGTGCAAGTAATACGAAGTGAGTGACGATTACGCCATGCACTGTTAGTTCAGTATGCAACAATATTAATGGCGCCCGGGCACCTGCACATGGAACACCATGCAGCCATACTGGCAACAGTTCACTCTGTCAGCAATCTAACAACCACTTGCCGATATTCTCCCAACTTAAAAACAAATTGCCCCTAAAATATTACTTATCTCCAAACACAACAACAAGCAAATCTGACAAGAGCTGCATTATGCACCAAAGCTACCATATATGAGAAAGCCTCCGTGAACCAGTACCCGTGTGCATGAGTCTGTCTACACCAACCCACCTTGTGTGAAAATAAGACATTGTAATAAATATTTAATCAGGGGGATCTTTGATTGCTTCAGATCGATCTAGATTCTAATCATGGTTAAGACGCAAAAAGCATTGCATGCAAATAGCCTGACACCGATCGCCAGAAATCCATGACCGTTAACACGAGTCAAGGCTAATCGACCAGCATTTTTCGTAAAGAATATTTAGAAAATAATTATTACAAGGAATTATATAGATTATCTGTCGAGTGTGAAACAGTTTGTGAATCCCGACCCGTAGCGTTGGAGATATTATTTATAGTATTTTATTAAGAACACGTAGAAACAACATCTGTGACGTCATTAACAAGACATGACGTCACATTTTCCATTTGCAAAAATGCATTGTGGGGGTGACATGTTGCATTGCTACCTTTGCAAAAACAATGAAAACTGTGTATCAGTTGGTATGGAGTATCCCACTCAGCATGAAGCGAACTGTTTGTAGTTCAGTGAAAATTACAACCATATCTACGGGTAATATATGTATAATATGTATCATATATATACTGGCCTCAAGGCCCTGGTGGGAGTGTTTACTAGTGAGGGAGCTGGGTTTAAGTCCTCATTGAATATTTAAGTTGTTTCACAGCCTATCAGCTTATATTAATTTGGAAGAAAATCCCTTCGCGGTGCAGGCCTCAAAATATACTCATGCCAATAATGGTTGTCACCCCCTCCCCTCCCCACCTCACCCCAATACCTCTCCAATTAAAAAAATTGAAGGGGGTGACAACCATTATTGGCATGAGTATATTATTTTATTTTATGAACCTAATGACACCTCGTTTCTCATAGGCCTACTGGCCGGGTGGTATATATTTTAATCTGTCCTGTTTATATGTCTATATGTATGTAACGCAGTCGCGCTCAACATTCAATTGATCGTTCAGGTTCATAAGCGACCTCACCCACTCTTCTTCACAATTAGCGTCCCCATTTGTACGTCTGAAAACTTTTACTTAGTAATCAATTATTTGGTGACTTATTGTATAAGTACCTATGTCCGTGTAGTAGACATGTAGTATTGTACGTGTCATATCAGTTACTTTGGGCAAGATAAAGGCTTATCTTTACTCTCACTAAAGATGATCGCACCATGAAACGGACGATTTATTCCAGATGGGAAATTTCCAATAAAACGTGATGTGGAATAATAGGCTGTCGATGGCGACCTTCACATTGGTCTTATGGCGTGGCCTTGTCCTTAAATCATGTAAATATTGAAAGGTCATTTCCCGCAATGTTGGCTGTGTGGCGAAGTTTGTGTGTCGGATCTCGGGTAAGACTAAACATTCCATTACATAATTTAAGGAAATTATATTTCACGTAACATCAATCTTCCATGTGCATTTTAATGTCAGTTATGACCTTTCAGGAAATATGCTCATTAGGCTTGTTATTGCTTCAAGTGTTAGGTAACGGTACCTAATGAAGAAAAAATACGCTCCGTTACTGTTACGAATAATTTCAGTGTTTGTGCATGGTGACAGTGTCAGAAGCTAATATGTGTAGTGTATAATGCACGCTGACAGTGGAATATTAGTGAACTGTCGAGTCTTGGAGAGCAGCTGAGATTGCAGCTGGCACACATATCGGCGACTGTTCGCCCTGTTTACGAGACACATGGCAATACTTTTTGACTCTTACCTACACCAATTATCTCCCTTGTATTGACATCTACTATATATTATCGATATTATTGCATAGGTTTTCAGTGCGAATTTTAATCAGAGTTTTAGAATTATTATTTTTTGTATTTTCCACAATAGTGTGCTTGTATTCCTCTGCTTGGAATGTTGTGTGTTCTTGAAGACAATGTTTAATATAGATCAGAGCGTATTCAGGTTGCACTTACAAAACAGAGTGATGAAATAGGCTCTGTAGCAACCGTGCCATAAAATGGATGTGACAGTCCTACCACGTATGCATCATACGTTTCCAGCAATATTTAAATGGTTATTCAAAAGGACCTGATTTACCTACTATTGCTGATCATATGAACCTCATAACAAAATATTCATTAATTCTGAGAAAAAGGTTTACAAGCAATAATTAAGACTTGCAGGCTTATTGTATCACTTTGAGAATGTTGATAAAATCCATATGAAAAACATATGGTATTACGGTCTCATCAGCTTGAGGGCATTGTTTGCATGTTATGCACAGCTCAGCAGATTCTTTCATGCTTTTTTCAATCTGTTATTTCATTAATGGTTAACGTGTCATGACAAATCCTCTATCTCTCGGAATAGCTGTTCTGTAGACCTCCCCATGGATCAATTCGCTTGGTTCTCATGATCTCAAATTACCCAACCTTGACTTGCATTTGACTGACCCATCAAACATAAAATATGGAAAATGGAAATAGGTAAGGGAAGTGGACATAGACATTTTTTCATTAAAAAATAAAAAAATATATACTTTTTGACGTCTTTCTTTTGAATATCAGTCAGTTTTTCTAAGTTAAATTTCTCTCAAATCCCATAATAATCATAATGATAGGACTAGCCACCATGTTGCTGATATCACTAAAGCAACATCAAGGCTGGTTTGTAACTCACATTCAGATCTGTCCTTTAAACCAGTGGGTGAGTGAGTTTAGTTTTATGCCACTTTTAGCAATATTCCAGCAAACGACTCCACACATGGTATCCATGTGGGGAATTGAACCTGGATCTTAGGAGTGACGAGCGAACGCTTTAAGTTTAACCACTGGGCTACCCTTGTGACCGCCCCTCCATTAGGCTAAGTAGGGTAGCAAATAAGAGTGAGATCCAGGGTTATGGTGGGTTTGCAGGAAAAGGAGATCAGGAGATACGGAGGATGGTCATGACATCAGAGTGTGTCATTGAAGTATGTGAAAGGCATTTAGAAGTTGGATGAACATGAATACATGACACGTTTTATGGATATCAGCTTCTTTTTTATTCTTTACACGACCTTTCAGAGCTAATTCTTGCTTAAATCATTCACCTGGATGAAGGAGCAAGAATTAGCTCTGAAACGTCGTGTAAAGAATAAAAAAGAAGTTGATATCCATAAAACATAAAGAGTGTGTCATTGTTGGCTCATGTCATAACATGACAGCCTGTCATTACTGACATGTGTCATTCAGGCAGCCTGTCATTGTCGATGTGTCACAACTTCTCAGCCTGACATTGTTAACACATTTCACAATATCACAGCCTGACATTGTTGACATATGTCGTGACATAACACACAGCCTGACATTGTTCCTGACATTGTTGACACATGTCACAATATCACAGCCTGACATTGTTGACACATGTCACAATATCACAGCCTGACATTGTTGACACATGTCACAATATCACAGCCTGACATTGTTGACACATGTCACAATATCACAGCCTCGCATTGTGGACAAATGTCACAATATAACAGCCTGACATTGTTGACACATGTCACAATATCACACAGCCTGACATTGTTGACACATGTCACAATATCACACAGCCTGACATTGTTAACACATGTCACAATGTCACACAGCATGACATTGTTAACACATGTCACAATATCACACAGACTGACATTGTTGACACATGTCACAATATCACACAGCCTGACATTGTTAACACATGTCACAATATCACAGAGACTGACATTGTTGACACATGTCACAATATCACAGCCTGACATTGTTGACACATGTCACAATATTACACAGCCTGACATTGTTAACACATTTCACAATATCACACAGCCTGACATTGTTGACACATGTCACAATATCACAGAGCCTGACATTGTTAACACATGTCACAATGTCACACAGCCTGACATTGTTAACACATGTCACAATATCACACAGACTGACATTGTTGACACATGTCACAATATCACACAGCCTGACATTGTTGACACATGTCACAATATCACAGCCTGACATTGTTGACACATGTCACAATATCACAGCCTGACATTGTTGACACATGTCACAATATCACAGCCTGACATTGTTGACACATGTCACAATATCACAGCCTGACATTGTTGACACATGTCACAATATCACAGCCTGACATTGTTGACACATGTCACAATATCACAGCCTGACATTGTTGACACATGTCACAATATCACAGCCTGACATTGTTGACACATGTCACAATATCACACAGCCTGACATTGTTGACACATGTCACAATATCACACAGCCTGACATTGTTAACACATGTCACAATATCACACAGCCTGACATTGTTGACACATGTCACAATATCACAGCCTGACATTGTTGACACATGTCACAATATCACAATTGTTGACACATGTCACAACATCACAGCCTGACATTGTTGACACATGTCACAATATCACAGCCTGACATTGTTGACACATGTCACAATATCACAGCCTGGCATTGTTGACACATGTCACAATATCACACAGCCTGACATTGTTGACATATGTCACGATGACATAATCACACAGCCTGACATTGTTGACACATGTCACAATATCACACAGCCTGACATTGTTGACACATGTCACAATATCACACAGCCTGACATTGTAACACATGTCACAATATCACACAGCCTGACATTGTTGACATATGTCGTGACATAACACACAGCCTGACATTGTTGACAAGTCATGACATCACAGTCTGACATTGTTGATCTGACAAAGTTGACATGTGTCATGACATCGCACAGCTTGTCATTTTTTACTCATGTCGTGACATCACAACTGTAATTATTGACGTGTCATAATGTCGCCACCATACTTTATGACATGAGAAGCTTCTAGATGCTGTTATCAGTGCATCTTGCAGGGTTTTACGTCACTCAGAAATGTGCCTCCAATAGTACGAAATAGTACAGAATGTGTGCAGAAAAAATATCTTGTGTCCACAGCGTACCCTAGTAATATTTCTTGTGCTAAATAAGTAAATTCTTGGCAAGAAACAACTAAAATTATTTCATTTCGTGACATTCCTCTGATTCCCATCTTTGTAAGTAAAGGTTAAACCTTATGTATGCTATTGCACAGCACAGCTACATATGAAGTGATGCTAATATTGTGCATGGTGAGTGTGTATGTTCAGTCTGTACCCTACTTATATCACATGCAGGGGCTGCCTACTTCTCCAACTGCTGGCATTTTGTTGTCATCAATATTGAACATGTTGAATCTTTCTTCAAAGTTTGATGAAATAAAGTACATTTGGAGTAATGTGGTTAAGATGCTCATAGATATAAGAATAAGTAAACAACTATCGTATGATTGTTAACAGATCGTGCTAATGTCTGAGGGCACCGTAAATCTTACAGACTTCAATGGCAGATTTACAGGTCACTTAGTGTAGTTTCACATGATAACATAGATTTATCTACAAGGATTTATCTACACCTATTCATAGGTGAATATTTTGTCCCAGGCATGCAGCAAAAATAAATACATATTTAGAAACTGGAATTGCAATTGTCCATATTCTTGTAAAAAAAATCCAATTCTCTGACACAAAATCTTTTCACTGATTTTTCTAATGATTCCCTGGAAAGTAAACTAATCTGAAACCATGATGGACGTTGGCTTTTAGAATGACTGTAGATGTTTCCCTAACTCCAAACAAAGTACTGGTATCTGTGCAATGGATGATTTTTCCATGGCACTTGTGTTGTTGCCAAGAAAGAATGTCCTTTGCCAAAGCCTGCATCACACAATGAGATGCAGTCATGCATTCCACCTTATGTAGGATTTGCTTTCTGTGTCAGTTTCATCCTTTGTGTGTACGAGACTTTTATCCGTCTGATCTTGTTACGAACATGTACTTGTGACGCGAGACTTGTGAGTTATTTCTACTTACAACTTCCCGTCTGGCAGCTACCAAGCAAAGGCCATTGCACAAGATTCATGTGACGGTTAATTGTCAGCTGGCTCAAGTAGATCATTACCACTCCTGAGTGAGTGAGTGAGTGAGTGAGTTTGATTTTACGCCGCTTTTAGCAATATTCCAGCAATATCACGGCGGGGGACACCAGAAATGGGCTTCACACATTTTGCCCTAGACTAAGGCTTAGTCACTGAATATATAAAATTTTGATAGTAACAAACAAACCCATTTATGTTGAAAAGGAGCCCTAGGGAGACCAGAGATTCAGAACCTGAGGAAATCTAGACTTGCTTTATTTAGGGCTTCAGCACTGCAGAGAGGGCTTGGCAGTAGGGGAAATAATGTGGTTCAGGGACTGTGAGACAGACTAATTTTGCCCATGTGGGGAATCAAACCCGGGTCTTCGGAGTGAC